GCACGCACTCAACTCATACCAAACGACCCACTCCTCTAGCCCTTCAAGGCCCCGGCCTGTCCATCTGGTCGCCTTAGCAGTCAAGATGTGGGTCACTGTGAGGCCACAATCCCGCATATGGCTGGTTGTCAAAATGTTGGCTCCCAGGTTTGCAGCGTAAATCGCCATTCCATGGGGGCCCGTATCATGTGGGCCATATGAGCACTTCACCATTGCGGCACAACAATAATAGGTTTGACTAAGAAACGTACCAGGCGCTCTAGCTCGAGCCTTTTCTTAGCTGCTCCAACAAGGCACGTGCCCCAGTGTTCAAGTTGGCAACTGCCTGCTAGCGCGGCGCTAGGTGCTAGCGCGAAAACCTGCTCATGCTTTCAGGTTTTTCAGATTTCGTGACAGGCGCAATGCTTTCCAGAAGGGCAGGCATGGCAGCCGCAGCGCTTTCGAAAGAGACACGTGCAGATTTCGTGGCAGTCGCAGCACTTTCGCAAGGTCACGTGCAGATATCGTGGCCGGTGCAGTGCTTTCGCAAGGTCACGTACAGATATCGCGGCAGGCGCAGCGCTTTCGCGAGGTCAGGTCAAATAGTACTTCGTCTCCACTCTCCACATGGGTGAGACTTTGCGAGCAAGGAATGCCTCAAGCCCTGAGAGCGACCGGACAGAAGGTCCATGCGTGCGCATCTCACATGCCACGTGAACTAACGTTGCCGTCCTAGCGCACAGCTAGCGCAAAGGTAGCGCTGCCAGTGGGATTTGCATGATTTAGGTGGGGCCCGCTTCATTTCGAAAAGGAAAATACAAGATACAACAGGAATTATGCACATATTGTATATAGCTCCTTAGCCGGGCTTTTTGAACGGAAGCCATATGTGGCTGTCGAGCCCAGTATCGGTGCTTCCTGACACTTGCATCATGTTCTCCATGCTGCTGCAAGAAAATGTAGAAACAACAACACGAAAAGACACTGCTGCAGGCGGGGCCTCATTGACAGCTGACAAGACTACCCTGAAGTTCAATGATTGCCTGAAATTGTTTGCGTTGCCGCGCCAAGCGCTCAACAGACTGTGCCCCTAACCCAACGTGCTACCCTGAGTCTCGCAAATGGCTGTACAAGCGTGGCTGACAACTGAGAAGCAGCTGCAAGTGGCGCCCCTCGCAACAGGCAAATGGATCGTCTTGCGCCTTCCATGCGCTGCCAGGCATCCATCATAACACGACGCGTGTTGTTGGGCGCTCTTGCCCAACCGCCCAGCCACATTGAGCAATGGCTACGGGACAATTACCAGCGTGGGCAAGCAGACGCAAGCTCACGTCCTGCGCATCCCGCTGTCTACACAGGAGGAGTGCCTGCTGCAAACACGTTAACGAACGCTTGTCTCCAAAGTTAGCATTTCCGAAGCGGCTCAGTACCTTTAACAGTACCTACTCGGCGGGCCATCACCTTCAGCACTAAATGGGTATCTTGTTTAAAGATCGGACCCGCAAATTGATTCGGTGGTCTCACATGCTCCACATAGCGTTTGCAAGTGTTTTCCACATCTGTGAGCCATCGCGAAACTCTTCTGCGAACTCCACAGGATCAAACACCCCACATACTCGTCGCATTGACTCTGGCTGTGTGAAGCTCTTGCCACATGGTGCAAAGAAGAATTACATTTTACTGGCCGTGTCAAGCTGCTAGCACGCCTGGGTTGCTTTCTGTTTCCAGCCCAAGCTCAGAACACACATTTTTTCCGCCTGGCAGTGGGTCAAAATTAAACAACCAGGGGACCGCAGGTTTTAGTTCATATGTCCATGTACCAGGCTTGAATTTTGGGGTTACCCCATTTTTGACCCGCAGCCACCTCCCGATGCCATATCCCACTGCAAAACGCAAACAGCGCAAGGCAAAGACAACCGACCCACCGAGCCACCGAGCCACTAGGGGCAAGCTTACAATAGGAGACAGGAGTTCCGGGTAAATCGCTGTGGCTCAAAAAACCGCAATTCCAAGATGGCTTGCCCTGGTAAGTAGAGGCAAAGGCCAAAACCTGCGTAACCCCTCCTGTTTAATTTTGAGCCATACCTAAATCGACAAAGGCAACCTCACCCGCAAAAACATCTGAATCGCCGCCAAGGCACACCCGGGGAGGACACGCCAGTGTGCGCAGCAGCCGCCTAGGTATCAAGGATCCGAATTCTTCACTTCCGGTCTTCTCCAGGATTGGCAGTGCTACATGCACGCATTTGCTAAGCATGAATGGAGTTTCTCAGGGTGAGCCTGTGTGGTTGGTAGTCCACAAAAAGCAAAAGGGCTCGTTTCTACCAAGCGCTGCATTATAAAGCCTTGGCTCGCCTGGCTAACAAAGATTTTGGGTGGACCTCGCAGGACGAGCTTACTCTGCAACCACACACAAAGTTGAACATTAGGCTAACTGTGTCAGTGCGACCCAAGTACCAGCTTCAAAGGTTTTGTCACTTCTCCGGGCCTTCTAATCTGCCTAGTCTTGTGCTTCAGGAAACGTAATGTTTCGTTCATGTCACATCTGAAGAAACCTTGGAATGTGGTATCCTATTGGGTTCGTATTGGAATGAATCACTGGCGGCGCAATGACTCAAAGTCGAAGCCTCTTGCATCATCGAACTGCAACATCCAATCATGCTTCATGCGAATCAGGCAAGCTTGCTCAATGGCGGTTGAAAAGAACATCAACTCCGGAGATAAACCGCGTCACCGTTTGAAGGGCAAACTCAGAAGCATTCAATCGAGCAGTTTACACCCGTCAAGAAAAGCAACACGCCAGATCTAAACACACGAAGCCTCGAAAAGTGGTGCCAACCCTTGCCGTTTTCTTTGACCCGACTTGTTCGTCCTGCCCAGTTGCCAAGACGTGGATCGCCCACAATGCAGCTTGCAACATTGCTTCACAAATCGATGCCGGGTCCAAAACTGCACAAAGGGTATGACTTCGGCGAAGGCAAGCAGTCTGGGTGGAGCCGTGCAAGGCTCTGCAATCAAGAATCACGGGTTTTGGACCCAGGAGGCTAACACTACCTGAAGCCATGAGCAAATATGTTGCCGGCAATGTGCAGGCACATGCAATAACATATGCTGAAATGCCAAGCTGCCACAGCTGCAAAGTATGAGGATAGGGCAAAGTCTCAAGAAGAAACACTTTGGACATTCGTGCAGCTGCAGTTCACAAGCACATTTGTCACATAGCCTACGTCGGTTTGCCTGCAACCTGCTAGGACGTCGCATTGTGCTCCGCCCACGTCACAAGCACACAGCTAAACATATCACGGACGAAACATGACAAGACAGCAAACCAGCCATGTGTACCGGACACATCTAGTGAACATCACTGTTAAATGCTAAATCCATGCACATCGTCCGTATTTGTGTTCCTGTCAAACAGCTCATGGCTGTATCCGAGGCCAAGTGAAAGCGGGAACTGTGGTGAATAGCAGCGCGTGAAATAAGGACTGCCTTCGTCTAGGTCGTCTATGCATGCCAAACTTTGCATGCGTACACTCCTTGACACCATGCTGAGGCTGAGCGGTCGTATCATGCTATCTGCCACGTGTGATGCCATTCCTTCTGGCTAAAGGCATGCGTCAAACCTCAGATCTGTGCACACTTCTTGCGGAACTCTCCTGCAAGTTAATCAAACTTGGATTTGGTAAAAGTTGCTTAACTTACTGAGGCCTGGCTGTGCAAGAATGTGGAGTGAACATCAGGCAAACATAAACGCATATCTGTTATGGTTCTGGCAGACCCTTCAAGCAAGCAACTAGGCAGGTGCATTTGTTTTCACTGCCGGACTCAGGGCTGCCAACATACATATCCAGGCTACTTGCATGGTACAAATGATGCCATGGTGTTTCAATCATGCTGTGCACGAATTACAGGGACTATGCGGGTGCTGACAGGCATGTGTGAAATAATTGACTGCAGGTACACAAGCACTATTGCACTCAGCATGCTGGACATTATCTGCCGAGCAGCATGCATATCCATCTGGGTTAATCTGTTCTCGAGGATGTTCAAACGCGGGAGCAGTGTTGGAAAACTGCGACCTATTCTTCATGCGACTGAGAAGGTTACTATACTCGAATACATGGGTGTTCGTGGAACTCTAAAATCTACATTTCAACACGAAGTACCAAAACACATGACAAAGCAGTATCCGCATGCTACTGCCACGAAAAGTGTGTTCAGGTTGTTCAGTTGTTCCCTGCTTTCTGCCGCAGGCTCTTTCATGCCCAAGGCCTCGATTTGACCTTCCTCGGTCCCAATCAGTGAGCAGAGCTGCCCAAGCACGGAAATGGCATCCCTCATTTGGACCTCCCTCCAAACCCACACCTCTCTCCCAAGGACATATACACACATGTCGTCCAGATGTTGGTGCGTCCAATGGAAAAGTTGCGTCATGAACTGGCAAGTGAACAGCCCGCTGTGCCTCACATTGCCTTTTGACCGAAGCAAGCGCTGCAAGTAGGATCTCATGTTTTCATCTGGTCGCGCCCATGCCATCTCTCATTTTGCAAATGCATGCATCGCGTATTGCACACATACTCAGTACACAATGTGTGTGTGTTTATGTAATCATAGAATACCATAGATATCTGGCAGCTTGCAAATGAGACCATTTAACTTAATGACTGGTTCCGGCCAGGGGGTGTACCAATAAGTATCTTTGAAATGCACCAGGAGTGTCCAAGGTCAACCCCGTGTCTTGGGCAACTCGAATCCGCCGATGGCAAAGCTCAATGTGTACATGGACAGAGCCACGTCAAGCAGCCCCGTTGAGGCAGGGTATTGACCTCTGACGAGCTTGAACCATATGAACTCGACAGCCTGGTTGAATGCTCAAGAAAAAGAGCCACGAACGAATATGGAGTTGTCTGAGGTCTCCAAACTCCCTTGGATGAGCATCTTAGACCCTTCCCGCGGTTTGCACCGGCGACATGTCTATATACCCGGTGTTGCAGTGGCACCAGTCACTGCGTGATTTTGTTTCGTTTATCGAAGGTCGTGATCTAAATGAATCGACTGGCCAGGCCCGGCCGACACTGAGCCAGGTGTCCACCACGGGAAATGCCGCAGCTCAGCTGGAAAGAATATCCGACCTCAGGCCAAGCGGACACAGCCCTCATTGCGACGAAAAAAATCACCTGGGGATTCGAATTCCTGCAGTTCCCTTGAAGCAAATCAGCAATGTGTCAAATGTTGTTGATTGATCACATTGGGAACGGTCGAGGGATTCTCGTGCTCAAAATCTGCAAAGAAAGGCAAATTCCACCCTTTGGGTGCAGCAGTGAGTGAAGCTTGCTTGTCGGGTCAAAATGCAGCAGCAATTGTTGGACCTGATTTTCCGGCCAGGGCCAACATCTCTCAAGTGCTCCATGGCAAGCCAGTATTTCTGGTCGCTTGAGAGAACAGAAGTAGGCATTGATTTCCAAAGGGCGGTTCCCTTCGCCGGACTCAGTTTGCTTAGGCGATCTGAATCCTTAAGCTCCAGGCCCAAAGATCAGGCGCCGCCGCTCCGAGCTACTCAAGCACGTCACACTCTGCCTGGGAATTGCGTGGCAACAAAGGTCGACCTGCGCCAGACACACAAACAGAATGCTGGATTGCCAACCACCAAAACAAGGAATCTGCTGTCATTCGCGCTGGTCGCATCATGTATCACGTCTGCATTAAACCTGGCGATTTATTCACAGAGATAAGAGTCACACCCCGCAAACCTTCACATCAGGTCTCTTGACGTGACAAGACACGCTGTACATCAAGTCTCAAGACGAGGGGCATCTTTGACGTGCAAATCCGTGAATGTGTCCGCCACAAAGGCACAATCAACAAATGTACCAAGACCTCCGCCTTCCAAGTTCCTACGCACTTTTCTATGCCAGTTGCCATCTTATTCATAGATTCGGATGGAGCTTCCTTGTAGCCGTGCAAGCAAACAAAACGGGATATGGCTGCAAGATGCCCTCAACTCGCCACCTTCCAAGGGGCAGGAAGCAGCTGGAAAGCCGCATGCTGCCCAGGGCAAAGTCTGCCTCCACCTAAGCCATTCAGTTTGAGCAAGCCTCTCTCATAGTTTTTCTACAGGTCCCTTCTGGCCTGGGCCTTGCTGAAACATCCTCATAAGGGGATCAGCGAGGCCCCACAGCACGTTTCCTTTAGCGCCGGGCTGGCGCACGCCTCGTGTGGGGCGCTGCTGGGCTGTCCTGGGCGCTTTTCAAAACTCGCTGCACTCTGCGATCTGATCCGGAGCTTCCAGAGCTAAGACGCAGAAGAGTGCACCGGCATTCGCAAGCTGACCCGCCCCTTTTGGAGAGAGCCTCATCGCCTTTGAGATCATCTGAGCCCAAGATCACGCCCATGCGCTCTCAAAGGTGGCAACCATTGCTTCACGTGCTCAGAAACCGCACGAAGCAAACACTGAACCACTGCCAGCCGGGCCATTCTGTCAGATGCTCGCGTAAAACTGCCCGACAAAAAGAGCAAACAAGTGCAACAAACAACTCGAACGTGTGGGACTTGCAGGGCAAAGTAACGTCAATCCTAACTTAGAGGCTACCCTTCGACACTCTCTTCTTGTTCCTGTAGTGTCCTTGACCTACATGGCAATTCAAACACTGTTTGGGCCAGGCTTGGAGTTGGCCTACTATTGCATTGCACATCACGCCAGGAAGCTCACTTAAATTAACCCAGAAAGTTTCAATTGCCCCAAAGGTGCTACGTAGAATACCACCAGGAGAAAACAACGATAGGTCTCGAGCCTCCATGTCGGCCCGCTCGTCCTCCTCAAAATATTCCAGATCCTTGCGAGACTTTCAAACGCTCTGTCGTGTTCTTTTGGAGCATCCCTTGATTCTAGCTGGTCTTGCACGCAAGGCATGATCTTTTTGAATGCACCAGAACGCGAGATCACATATTTTATTTTACTGATGGAGCGAGCAAAAAACACATTCATTAGAATAAACCACCTACGAACAGCCTGTAACCAGAGAGTGGCATTCTGTCCTCTTGCAATGCCTCCTGCCGCAGCTGCTGAGCTGTCTCTGCATCAGCACCTGCGATGCTGTACGCCATCCGGTCTCACCATGGTCACTCATCCCTCCAAATCCTGGTGTTTCCAGTTGGTTTTCCAGGTCTCACGATTTAGGGTCCATCCAAATGCTGGGTTTTTTTCCAGTTGGTTTTCCAAATGCTGGGTTTCCAGTTGGTTTCCTTTCTCAAACCCATTAAGGAAAGATGTCGCTAGGCACAGGCTTTGGACCAGATCTCCTGCACCAGGCCTGCAATTTGGCACACCAGTGCCCACACGTAGACGCGCAAAGACCCACGCAGAAAATCTCGCAGGATTTCCTGGGCAGTATGCCCACGTCCGAAAAGGTTCCCCATGCCCTGTCATTGTGAGTGCAGTACTTGCAGTACATGCATCTGATATCTGATACTAAAGATGATTGGTTGATGACCGTTCTGACGCGCCTCCGCCATTCTCTCCATTACCTGCTCAATCATTTGCAGAAGCAACCGACGCCAGCCCTTCTGCAATGGATCATCTTTGCAGGGCGAATGAATCGTAAGAAAGGGCCAGGAAAACCCTCAACCGCAAGTCTGCGCAATCTGCACATAGATTTGGTATATGCATTGGTCTTGACCTTTTGGAGAAGCTCGCCGATCAATTTTGTGCCTTTGGGCCCGAAGGCGGGTTTTTCTCTGCCTCCCGCGGAGTACTCAGAGAGCTGCTGCGACACCAAAACCTGGAGAAACAGGACGCACCCCTAGTTTTGAGTCTATTGTCAGTTGTTCAGTGACCCTGGAAAAAATGGAACCCTTTTTGGGGAGGACCATTTTTAGTGGGGCAGCCACCAAAAAAAAGGGGGAAAAAGGGGGCCACTGAACAAGTGAGCATTGTGCAAAAGACGTTGCAGATTTGCGCCAGGGGGGCAAGACGGCAACGCACACAACCAGACGATCATATCATTCTTCTGAAAGCATCACGATAGGCAAGAAGGGGGTAGGCTTGACTCCTTTCGGCTGAGGGCGCTTCCACAAGAAGCCATAGTTCGGATCGGCATAGGAGCACAAGATCTGGCACAGTTTGCATTGCACAAGCAGGCACCTCTTCTGATTCTGGTATGAGAAGTTTAAACGCGCAACGTTGTGCCATTGTCCTCAGGCAATACAACAAAGAATGCATATCATACGGTTTTCATGGATGCTGTCGCCCGAAGAATGCCCTTATTCCGAACTTCTACTGGCCATACTCCCAGTACATGGGGCAATCCCATTCAACTAACAAATGGTCCTTGCCAAGCAAGAGACTCACTTGCTGTGGCACATGAGCCTCATGCCGTGCCATCAAAAGCCAAAGCCAACCAAACCCCAAGAGCCTCCAAGCGATTCAAAGCCACCGGAGGCCTTGGTCGAGCGGCCCAGTCTCAAGTGGGCTTGAGTGAACATGCCCAGCGGCGTGCTGATCCATTTTGCGCAAAGTGCGAGAATTGAACCCTAAACCCTAAACCCTAAATCCCTAAACGTTGCTGCGATAAGTCAGTCGCTTGATCAAAGTCTACAACTTGCAGGTATGATAGCCTTGGTTTATATTCAGAGAGCCTCGCTCGCTTAAATCAAGGGCCTGGCGCGCCCTCCGTAGTCAGGTCCTGGAACTTTGCTCTCAAAACTCAGCCGCCAATAAGAAGACAAATGCAATCAGCAATAGTTTGCGAATATAGGGTCCAGGAATCTCTTGATTGGTTCCACGAATGTTTAAAGGTCAATATCTGCGGGAATTGGCCAATGAGGAGTGATCTCCGTACCCACAAACCATGTGAGATCTTCAGAACTTCTAGCCGCACAAAGTTACACGGAGCATTTCGAAGGCGGCAGTGTCAACCATTTCGATTCAAGCTTTGGAAACGGATGTAAACATGAATTTCCGACATGGTACTTGGGCTCCGACAATTCCAAAGCTGCAAAGCCAAAGTTTAAGGCCTGCGGACCTGCCGTTTGGACTGAGCGATTCTCCTGGGCAGTCTGGAACTCGTCCTGCCCTCGCTGGACGGTGAGTGGAAAATTTCGGCACCTGCGGAAACGCGTCACTCACGCAGTTGTTCAACGAGTCAAGACAGAACTCGACAGAACTCTGCGTCTCAACAAGGGATGGTCTCCAAGGGAACCCAAGCCTTTTGCGTTTTCTTCCATGGAGGTATGCCGCTAAAAGCAAATGTACTGGGACCCCGCCACAAACAAAAAAGCAAAAACAAAAAACGGCGGCGCCTTCGGCAGTTGAGTTGCAAGTTTGTTCATGAAAAGTTAAATCAAAGTTAACATGTGCCGGGGGCATGGATCCAACAGAGTAGCCAGGATTCAACCGTCACAGCTCCACCTGGTTCTGATTCAAGAGTTTGTGCTCTAAGCTCTTTGTGATGCACAACCCCCACGTCGCCGGTTTCCACGGGTGCTTCTTCTGTGATGTCATATGAGCTTCTGTGATGCCTCTACAAAAACCCGTTGTGCTAAATACCCCCCTTGTGTTGGCATGTTTCCATTGAAGCCAAAACGATCCCTGTGGACGTCCCAAACGCAGCGGCCAATTACCAACTTGGCCATGGGTCAGAATCCCGTACCCCCAGCGAACATCCCAATCCCTACTAAAATAGACTAGACTAACATGGGTGGTGCACCTACCCCAAAATGGTACCATTGGTTTTGACCCACAGCCACTTCCTACCCGCGGCCGCAGCGACAACATCTCATGGGCACGAGCCGATTCGCCATCCCTGTGGCAGGCAAACTGTCGCACTTGTTCACTCCCATTGAATGGTACCCGTTGCGCGCTTTGCCTGGACTCCAAAGAGGAATTCCTCCAGTCCCAAAGACGGCGAATGAGCCGCGGCTGGGAATCAACCCAACTGTCTGCAAGACAAAGTGTCCACCCGGCGTCGTTGAGTCTCAGCGCATCATACACTGTTTTTTTCAGCAACTATACAATCAGCATTTCTTTCTGTGGACGATTCTTGGAATGCGTCCTATCTCACTTTCGGCTCGCGGGCCGCTTTTGAATCGTCTTCATCGTCTTCATTGCCTTCGCCTTCGCCGAAGCGCCCTTTGCCGGGCTCGTTGCTTTTGCCCCGGGAGCGCGCCACTCTTTCACCGCAAAGGACTTCTTGATAAGAAGCTCCAGCGCCTTCATGTTCACGTCTGCCAATGTTTTGAAATAGAGACATCCGACTCCGTGGGAACATGTTGGACCAACCTTGGCCACAACCTCGCTGGTCAATTTGGTATTCAGACCCAAATAGATAGAGACACTTGTCTTACGAGGGGCAACTCCACACTGAAACCAAATGTACGGCTTTTGGCTCTTGCTCTGATACATCAGCTTTCCAGCACCGATAATTCCATCACCCCACACATTGATGTCCTTGGTAAACTTCTTGAAGATTTGCAACACCTTAGAGACATCGGCCCGCTTTTCGGCAGGCGTGGTCTTGGCAACCAAGCTTGAGACAGTGATGCTCTTATTGATCTCGGTCATCTTAACCATGACTGGATTCTGCGTGCTGTGGATAGTCACTTGATCACATGCAGCGCAGAGATGCGGATTGGGCAAGGGCTGTCGGCCAAAAGGCAGTTCAGTTGAACCCGGCAAACCAGGACATGGTGCAAGCCAATCAAAACGTCAAGGCGATAGGCAAATCAAATCGAATCAAATCAATCGTTCCATCTATCTGCCAATCAGTCAATTCATCAACAAAGTCAATTAGATCTTCTTAAGAAAAGCAACAGGTCAACCAATCGACCAACCAAGCGAATCAAAGAAACAATCCAATCCAGCTCAAGCCAACCCAATCCATTGCAATCCATCCAATTTTATCCAGCACTCAAACAAATCGATGGACCAAGCAATTCAATCAAATCAAACCAAATAAAGCCAGTTAATATAAAACGAACGAACGAACAAACTAACCGATTAACTGAGTAGCTAACCAACTGAATAACTAAATAAATAAATGAGTGTCGAACACATTAACCACGACTCATGTTCTCACATACACACGTTACATTACATTACAATGTATTACACTACATTACCTTGAGGTGCACACACACACACACATACATACATACATTACGTAAATCACATTACAATACATTGCATTACATTTCATTTCATTCCATTACATAACATGACATTACATTGCATTACATACATACAAACACACATTACATTAATCTAATCTATCGGGCAATTCCAACCTATCCAAGCAATATGTTCAATGAACTAGTCGATCCATTGATCCATGAATCAAATCAAATCAAATCAATCAATCAATCAATCCGTCCATGCATAAGTTCAAACAAGCAATCAATCAAACACTCAAACAAGCAATCGAGCCAAGCCAAGCCAAGCCAATCCATCCATCAATCAGTCAAAAGAATGAATGAAACAAGAAAGAAAGAAAGAAAGAAAAAAAGAAAGAAAGAAAGAAAGAAAGAACGAAAGAAAGAAAGAAAGAAAGAAAGAAAGAACTGAATGAATGAATGAACGAATGAATGAATGCATGAAGGCATGCATGAATGCATGAAGACATGAAGGCATGAATGCATGAAGGCATGAATGCATGAAATAATGAATGAATGCATGAAGGCATGAAGGCATGAAGGCATGAATGCATGCATGCATGCATGCATGCATGCATGAATGAATGAATGAATGAATGAATGAATGAATGAATGAATGAATGAACGAACGAACGAATGAGTGAGTGAATCGATCAATTAACCAATCAACCAAACAACCAGCGAATTCCTCAAATAAGAAAACAATAAATCAACTTAAAATCAACTCAAAATCAAAACAAATGCAACCAACCAACCCACCAACCCACCAACCAGCCCCAACCAACCCCAACCAACCAACCAACCCACCAACCCACCAACCAGCCCCAACCAACCCCAGCCAACCGACCAACCAACCAACCCACCAACCAGCCCCAACCAACCCCAACCAACCCCAACCAACCAACCAACCCCAACCAACCAACCAACCCCAACCAACCAACCAACCCACCCCCCAGCCAACCCACCCACACACCAACCACACCCAACCAATCCAACAATCAACAGAACAACAACCAAATACATAATGGAATGGAGCGAAATTGGACATAGTGGCATGAATGAAGACGTGAAACAGTGAATGAACTCGTTTATGACAGAATGCATGCATGAATAAGTAAATGAATGAACAAACAAATGCTGAAATGAATTCACAAATCAACCCCTCAAGCAAGCAAGTACGCACGCAAGCAAGGAAGCAAGCACGCAAGCAAGTAGTCAAACAACAAAAAAAATACTTAAACAAACCAACCCTGATCATGTCGAAATACCCAGCAGAGCAACCCGCCGATCAACCAACATATCGTCAAAGAATCGGACAGTGACAAGAACGAGGCATTATGCTGACAAAACAATGTTGGTCCGCGATGAGGTCAACATGCCAGTCCTAAAACACTTTAGTTCTGTCTGCCACAGAAAATGCACAGAATACCCGTCTCAGCTGTATTCCGTTCTTCCAAATGAATACGGTGCTCGCCCCCCCCTCCTCATATTGGCGTGCCTCTCCAAGACGATTCCAGGATCAATTGCACGTTGTGATTACAACATGTGGTTGCATTGCATCTTTTCCACATCGAATTAACACATCCAAACAAATGAGCAGCTGTAAAAAAAGTATTTGAGAAGCAAATTACGATTTGGGCGGCTTGTGTTGACCGGGAAAGGACCGGTTGTTGCTGTGTACCTTGTTCCAGAGCTACATTATGAACACCAAATAAGTTGCTTCCACTCCCTGCCAATGCCATTTGTAGTCAATCTTTAAAGTCAATCTTTGAAGTCAAACCAAAACTTTCCAACCCCTTGGTATGGTAGCAACACACTCTGATTTTGCAACCCCCCCCCCCCCCTCCCGAAAAGTAAGCAAACATCAAACCTCCAAACGCATCAACCTACCACAAACCAGTGAAGAAAAAACGAAGCAAAGCTATGGGCCGGGCTCTGCATCACCCTGTCTCTGAGGTGATGCCACCAAGCCTTAAACCCTACTGTGGATGGACGAAATCTGGCACCACTTTGAAACCATGGGAAGCCATTGTTCGTTGGTATTTAGGGGGGAATCATTCATTCCAGGGTTTCCTAGGTGGTGCGAAATGGATTTCGTCCACACGCAGCTCCAAAAACGAAACACAAACGCTAGCCATGGGCTCGGGTGTCCGCTCGCTTGGTTTTGCTTCGTCAGTGGCCGGGCCGGCCTCAAGGCCTGCGCCGCTCGATGGCAAATCCTGTGCAGCACCAGGGCCAAGACCTGACGAAAATCCCGGTGCCATGGCAACGGGGTCTGGTATTGATCTTCCAATCCCAGGCGCAGAAATGCTATAGCGGGAAGGGTAAAAGTCCATTCCTTTGGTCCAGCTAGTTCAGCTGTACAAAGCATGGGATCCAACTTGAGAAACACTCGGGTTGTATTGAAGTCCAAGTCAGGATAGTGCCTTGCTTCTGCGCTTCGGGATGGAGCAGTGCTTGGATAACTGCCGAAGATCCTACCACAACGTCTACGTATCATGGAAGCCCTCTTGAATACAAGAGGGGAACCAAAAGAGGAGTGCTGCATTTGCTGAAACAAGCAGGGCAGAGGAAGCTCTGTCCCCTGTTCGAATAGCTAGCCGTCACCGAAACGACAAGCTTGCAAACAACATTACTGGAAGATGTGGGGCTTGGAAGTGTCAAAGGGCCCTCTGTCTCTTAGCCCGCACAGGACAAACATTTGGCAGGGGGTCAAAAATCGGTACCCAACATGGGACCCTGTAAACAGAACCCAGGACTAAAACCTGTGCTGCATATCCTGGTGCTTGAACATTTGACCCAAAGCCACGTGAATCTGGTGCTCTCCAAACATATCTCCAATGGCGCAAGGCCAGCTCTGTCGTGCTTTGGCCAAACAGCATGTGCGCGTAATTCGCGGTTCAAGATCGGGCGACATGGTGATGCGTGATTGGTTTAGCATGTTGTACCTTGAAGCCAGACATGATGTGCATTAAAGAGAGGCGCCCACTGCACTTTCACATGTGCATCAAACATATGTTTATATATTTTGGAAACTGCGGTCACAGCACCCTCCATACAATTCATAAACTGTCCGGACCCTAAATCACCATGTAAACGGCGATACTTTCCGATCTTGGTGATGCCACGTGGCTCAATCTACAGTTCTCACCTCATCCTCCAACCCCAACTCTTAAGAACCAGGAGACTGAGAGAGAGAAGTCCACACGAGTAAACCAAGAAACATCCAAGAGCAAAAGCCTTGGAGTGTGGGCAGCAGGCTTTCTGAAACTTCTTGGTTCCTGAGGCACGAAACCCCCAGGAACCCACTTCCAGCCAAGTTGCGGCGTATCGCCTTGCATCCCAAGCTCCTGCAAAGCCGTCAAGATTCAGCATCACGCGGTGTGGCAATGGTCTTGATAGTTGAGGAACAAGGACATTCTGTGTGGCTGGTAAGCGCAGCAAAGACTTACAACAAGCGGTGGGGGTCAAGTTGTACTTATAATATATGATATCAGTTGGCACCCATGACTCACATGGAAAGCAACAAATATTGATCAACAAGTTGGGTCACTGCGGGTTTGCCGTGCTTCGAATGACGGCTCAAGCTGCCGTTGTGATGCCAGCTGGTAGTGTGCATGGAACCAACGCGCAAAAAGGCCCAACCCTCGTCAATCCCCAACACCCACAGTGTGCGTGTTGAGGCAACGCAAAGCAGGCTTGCGGCACAAATGCTGGTTAAGCGCATGTTTGCAACTGTGGCACACTTGTGCGGTGATGGCGTCTAGGCGCGCCGTGCGATGACAACATTTGACGTGCGCTGGCCAGCGCTGAAACAGGCCCAAACCCAAACCCCTCACTTCCATCTCCCCCTGACGAGTGTGCATGCTGAGGCGGAACAGGCAGGCATGCCGCAAAAATGCTGGCAAACACACAGAGTCGGGTTGAACGCACGGTCAACTGCGTCTCTTGCAAGCGCTTAAGACTTGCGCGGTGATGGCACGCGGGCCACGGTGCTGGTATTAACCGACGCCCTGGCGTGCCAAGAAAATGATGCGAGTTGACAAGCGTTGCCGCTTCCCGGCAAGAACGCATGTTGAGGCGGCGCAAGCTGGCATGTAGGCCACGGGACCATGCAGTGACAACACCCCCGCGTCAGTCTCCTCCCGTCAAGTGCGCATGTTGAGGAGGTGCCGCAAGCATGCTGGAAAACACATGCTCGATTTCACACATTAAGTGTCTCTTGCCAGTGGCGCGAACTTGCGCGGTCGCGGCATGTGGGTCACGGTGTTGGTATTGACCGGCGCCATGCAATGCCAACACATGATGCGCGTTGACGAGCACAAAAAAACTCCCCTCCGCAGTCGCAAGTGAACGTGTTGACGCGGCACAGGCAGGGGGCGCGCAAATGCTAGTAAATCACACGCTGGATTTGCGCACAATAACGATGTCTCTTCCACGTGCGGCGAATATGCGCAGTCATGGGGTGTGAGACGCGGTGCGATACCAACATATTAATGCGCGACGCCTCGCGCTTAAACAGGCCCAAGCCCCTCGCCTCCACCTCCTCCCAGCAAGCACGCGTGTCGAGGCTGGCCGCACATGCTAGATTTGCGCATGTTAACAATTGTCTCTCTGGCAAGTGCGGCAAAAGTGATGTGGTATACAGCACCGTGTTGGTCTTGGCCGCCGCCATTCAATGCCAGCATATTGCGCATTGCCTGACCAGCACAGAAGTAGGCCCAAGCCCCACACTTCCCTCTTCCGCCGTGCAAGTGCGTCAACCTTTTCGTTGGCGGAACACGTTGCGCGGTTTCCACCTCGATGCGTCAGGCAACTTCTCAGCGGGTTGGACAAGTGAAGGCCCTGAGCCCAGAAGGGTCAATTCTCACCATTGGATACATGGGTGTGCTTTTTAGGGGACCCCCCAAACATATGATGAGTTGCCATTTGGTTTCCCTTGATACCCACCCAAAAAGGGGTACCCTCAACAAAAGGCACATCCGTTCCTTACAGTCTATATATACCCAGCAAGGTAAGCGTGATGCAGGGCAGGCAGTGATGGAAGGTGTGTTGAAAATGACACGATGATGGCGCCTTCTGCCCATCGGCAAATGAACCCCAACCGTGCTGATATCCACAAGTCCGGTCTGTTCATATCATCTTTTAAGTGATCTTCACAAACCAACAAAGGGCGTCCAATACACTGACCAAGCTTGCCATGCTGGGCTAGGCGTCATCTGGGAAAGGTACCGAGCTGACAATGAGGTTGGCCGTTCACAGCATCTCAGGCATATGCTCAAATGACGCCACCAATATGCTAGCGCACAGCAAAGCTTCTTAAGAAACTGTCTCTTTTGAAAGGGAGCCATACCAAAAGCTCACAGAAGAAAAACAAAACAAAAACAGCTCGTGTCGTGTTCCATGGATCTCGGTCCTGGTGTGCCCAGGCCAAGCATGAGCGGCTCGGCCCGGATCCACTGGGCAAGACGGACAGGAAGGCTCAAGCTAGGTGCAAAGGTTTCAGTTGTTTAACACCTCAAGAATAGTGAGACAAACTATTTTCATGTCTAAGACTCATTTATATAGGTTTCATCTCATTTTGCTTAACACTCTCAAACCACGATGGTTTGCTCAAGAATTGTCAAACTCGACACACACCGCCATGAACGCACACAGAATGTCACAAGCAAGCGCACACAAGTGCCAATTTATGATAAAACAATGCAGCATTGTCATTCCAGTCACTGCGATGTGTGGCAATGTCTTGTCCGGAGGTCTGAAGCTGCGTTTTGCAACTGCTTCGCATGATGGGCCATAGGAATGGAGGCACAACTCAGGCGCTTGTTTGCGTTGCGAATCGTGCTGGATGGCGCATAAAGCATTTTAGGATGTCAAAGCCAGAATAAACAAATACCTGGCGGGTCGACATGCACGTCCTAGTTGCCCAGTGGCAATGGGGGAACGAGGGCGCCCATTGCTGTTTTCCTCATTCTGGAGATCAATGGAAACAGGATGCACCATCAAAGTGCAAACAACCATTTGGCTCTCTATTGCATACTTCCTCATGATGGCACATTGCTGGTATGAGATCAACCGGTCCCGGCATGTGTCCAGTCTCCAAGTCTTTCCCCGAAGTTGTAGGTTAAAGGGAAACAGCCAGGTTTCTGTCGTTCAGACCCCCAGCAACACTCCAAACCTCAGGCCCTACATCAACGTGCGTCAGCTACCGAGGTCCCCGGCAGACCTGAGCTCCAACAGAAAGCGAAGTCGGAAGAGCTCCAAAAAGGAATCGCCATACCTTGCTGCTCTGATTCAAAAATGTCGGCTAGCTCTCTTTCTTCCTCTCTTTCTTCCTGTCTCTCGCTCTCCATCCCCTCCCTCCCCTCCCTCCCTCCCTCCCTCACTCCCTCCCTCCCTCCCTCCCTCCCTCCCTCCCTCCCCCTCCCTCCCTCCCTCCCTCCCTCCCTCCCTCGACTCTTCCTCTCGCCATCCCCCTCCGTTGTTGCTCATTCTGCATGCTGAGGCCACGTCTGAGGAGTCAGGTGCACGGCAAACTCCAAGCACTGCGCAGGTCACAGGAATGAGCGCCGGTTTTCTCTGGACAGAACAATTCTCCTTTAGGCCGTCAAGGAGCAAACAGATTGGTTGAGCTGGCTCGGAAGGGCAGGTATGCTTGCAAAACAAATTCACAACATGCACCCACTGTGAAGTTTGTCGATACTACAAGCCGAAGCAAGGTAACTTGCCGGCAAGTACGCGAATGGGCGGAAACCCAATATATATATATAGTGGTAAAATAACATATGATGAGACAGAGAGAGAAAGAGGGGAGAGTGAGCCATCAACCGTTGGCATCCCAGTGTGGCTACACATTGCAAGCAGAGAGGCCTCAAAGCCACCGCGCGTTCGCTTAGAGCTTTGGGGAAGCTATCACAAAAATATCAGCCGACTCTGATCAACACAAGGGAGTTCCCAAGACTTGGGGGAAGCCAACGGCCGTTGCGACAAGGCGTGGCCTTATCTCTAAACCAAAAACGATCGGATAGCCGTCTCGCAAACGATCGATGACAAAATGCGCAACGGGCAGTGGAATAGGTGCAGCGATCATGCTGGCTTGTTTAGTCTGCTGATGCTTGTCCTGCTGCTGATTGGCTGGGAGAAAGATAGGACAACTTGCATAAGCAGCTCTCTACTTGGGTTTGCCTGAAGGTCATAATGCCAGATTGCCGGCTATTGAGGGCAAATCCACGTTTACGCCAACCAGCAGCAAAGGCAAATAATTTGCTACAGCTTGATCAGACCGTGGTCAACAAACTTGCAACAGACTAACACCACATTTGGGCTTGCATCAAAAGCCTGCAACATTCTACAAGGGGCGTCCAAAAGAAAGTTGGTCTCATGCTTCATGTCAACACGCAAAGCATGGTTGCCAATGAAATCTCCGATCAAAGTGAATTGGGGGATATTGCCAGCAACCTCCCAGCGCCCGGCCCACAGCGAGCGGCCTTGCCCGCGCGCTGCAGGTTGAAGTGTGGCCCCAGCGGATTCATGAAGATTCGCGCACCTTCACACCAAACCTGGACAGATCCGGTGCACAACGCTTGCCTTGTGCTGTTTGACTTAAAAACGACAGAATATCAACATGAGGATTCTCCAGCCGGCAAAAGTGGCAGTTGCCACTGCTGAATCCATTCAGAACATAGCACACCTTATCAAAACAGAATGACAGGGCGAGTTGAAGGTCTGAGTAGCAGCCCCGAGTTGCAAAGCAAGCCTCAGGCATCAGACTCACAAGGCCCTGCGACTAAAGGCATGAGGGCAACTTCCCTGCGACTGAAAGTGAACCACCCATACTGGAATGATGGCAAGCAGAACCGCCCTGGTGCCTCAAGTATTCGGCTAGCCAAAAGGTAGCCGAAAGATCCATCTGTGTTTGCTGGATTGGAACAAATCCAACCTCAGACACATGCTAATGTTTTCTTCGGGCACTTGTCTGGCCGCTCAGGGCCCGCCTCGCCGCTTTTCGCCACCTCGGCGAAGAAAAACAGCGCTGAGTGGATGTGTTAAGAAAGCCAAGCTGGTCTGAAAACAAAGCTACTCTACTGTGAGCATTTGAACATTCATCCAAGAGTGCAAATGGTTTTTGTTCACCTTCCATTTTAGCAGAAAACACACAATGCAAGTCCCAGACATCAGCAGCATGCTGTTGATCCTTTGTCTTGGTAGATGGGTGCTTTAGGGTGGTGTTAGGTTGATGTGTTTGTTTGGGGTTATCATTGTCCGTCTACCAGCATCATCTACATCAACAGCATAACTAGCGGCTCGTGGGTGTGGGCATTGTTTTACAGTTCGGTTAGGGAGGGATTGGTTTGCAGTTTGGTTGGGGTGGGTTTAAGGTGGTTTGGGGTGGTTTAGGGTGGTTGAGGAATATTAGGGGCAGCTACTTTAGGCCGGGGTTGAGTTGAGGTGGGTTACGGTTAAGGGATAGGTTTAGGTTTGGTTTTGGGTTGGTTCTGGGCTTGGTGTAGGGTGGCTTGAGGGTGTGGTTTTGGGTGGGGTTGGACTAACGAGTAAAGGTGTTTAGGGTTGGGGTGGGTTTTGGAGTGGTTTCGTAGCGGTGCTATGGTTCAAATGCCGTCAAGGCCTTTTGAGCCACCAAAAGCCACAAAAGCTGCACAAGCCACTCTGCGGATTGAGGAAAATGAAACAACGACAATGGCCCTCCAGTATGGGTTGATCACTCACCAAATGTGTTGTGTTCCGTCCGGTGATCTGGCTATTGCCTCGCCAAGACGTCGCATGACCTGTTTCCGGCTGCCACGAAGAAGCGGGGGGATGCTTCAAGGTGTTTAATGTTTATCTCCCAAGCAAAAGAAAACTGTTCAACTTTCAACATGGAGATGCAAGTAAGTTGTGTATATATACATAAAAATATATGTTATAACTTCTCTTGTCCCCTGAGTCTTTCTGCCAAACACGGGGCATCTAGCTGGACATACTTAGCGAGGCCGCGCTTCCTTCGATCTGCGCAGCTCGCCTCCTGGGCTGCTTTCTTGAAGGTCTCCAAAGCTGCACTCGCCTAGAGCGTTGATGCGCAACAAAACGGCTGCGCCACAGACGAGAAGTGGCCAGCGTGACCAGTGCCTTCCCTCTTGCAACTGCGTCAAACGATTGTAGGCAAATACGCTCCAAAAGCCATCCTGCAGCTGCGACGAGGAGAGCAAACGCATGTCAAGAAAGAGGCTCATCGTCCGAGGCCCCAAGTTTGTTTCAGCATAGCTCGAGATGAGGCCTGCGCTTCCTGCCTCTTTTGCATTGTATTGGTGGCTAACATCCTCCAAGGTCTACATCTTCTGTAAAAGCCAACGTTCAGGCAACATTAAGCCTACATCTGCCACAAGCGACGATTAAAGCGGCCACTTTGCACATCTATGGAAAGTGGGCCACCTGGGAAACGTGTGAAAAGCCGTCAATCCATCTCTAATCAAATGCTGGGCTCGATGCTGCTGCAATATTGTTTGGCTAGGCTTTGTTGAGTACTGTATGCTGGACAGCAAGCAAGCATGTTGTTCTAGTTCTTCGTCTAGCCATTCTAGCCATTACAGCAAGTCGTTGTTTCAGCAAGGGGATCAGATATGTTCACGTCGTGGACATGTCCAATGTGTGCAAGAACAATCGGAAAACCATGTCAGTTTGGTCGCCCAGCTACAAACATAAAAAAGGAAACCCCGATTCCCTTCTGAGTGGAGAGGGAAAAAGGGTGCCGTTGACTAGCTGGTTCCTGGAGTTAGGCCCTGTAGCAAAGCATAATTGTCATGCGCGTATGCATATTGCGTGTGCTCCTCTATGTATAGCGCGCACGTACACATATGTACATATATATATATATATACACATAAGCAATCATCCTATACACAATATATAGGCAAAACAGCTTCTGCGGCTTGCTTCGAGTAGACCCTGCATGCAACATGTATCCATGCACTTCACCCCACTTTGCAAGAACACAAAGCAAGCATAAGCCATGTCCCTAAGAGTAGACTCAATTCGAAAACGAGAACAAAGCACAGGAGCCTCCGCTGGGCTGACCAGCTGAGCTCGCCTATAAGCCCCCGGCCCCTTCGCCCGAATGATGCAGCGCTACAAGCGCTGACCTCACACAAAAGCCGAAGAATGGTGCACCTCTTTTTCTAGAATACGCATGAAACACGTCAAATCACGTTTACCCTTCGTTTCTGCCTGGCTTTCAAAAGGCATGCAACACGTAACATGAGACTTCAGCTCACACGTATCAGCTTGTGTTTTGTGGGATTTTCGTTGGTGCAAGTTGTCGTCAACAAGCTGTGGTGGCTGAATGTAGTTTGAGGAATGATGTTGTGTCATCTTCCACATCTTACTCTTCGGGGATCCTTACATTATACACCTGGACATTGCCTTGTACGCGGTGGTTTCCTTTTTTTTGGTGTTGAAAAGCAACATGTTTCAATTGGTTGCAAAATGGAGATCTTTTAAGGAGCCCTCCTCTTGCAAATCTGTAACTCATGATAAGTTCACAGGCGTACTGAGCTCCGCTCCACAGGCGGCCCGTGGCTGGGTGCAGCTCCTAGGCTCAGGGGATTAGACTGGTGTCTTGTGGGAAACTAACTGGCTGGGGCTCAAAAAATGTACCGAAAAGGCACCTTGGTAAATGGAACCACAGATAAAATATTGCGTAACCCTAGCTCTTTGATCTGGACCACACCCAATTGTCAATGTTTGGTTGCCACTTGTGTTTGACGACAGCAACCTAGCAGAAAACCGAAGGAAATCTTATATGGAAACAAACAATGGGACTAGCACATGCCCAAACACAAGTTCCCGCTTTCCGTGTAACTAGATTCATAAGATGCCTTGACTGCATGCTTGCGCAATGGTGGTGTGCGTCGCGCTTATCTTGCTGTTTACAAAGCAGGGCTGTGGGGAATGACGACTTCTGTGATACAACAAAAAGGGCTTCCCAAAGACTAACCCTCCGTATAAAGTGGTAGATTCCCAAAAGTATCACAGAAGTGGGGATAAACCCCTTGATCCCACAACCCTGTTACAAAGTGCTGACACAAACATCAAATTTGGATGCCACAACACCTCTTGCGACGCCTGAACATCTCATGTGCAAAGCTGCGAAATCCAGAGCTCCGTTGGCTCACAAAGCCAACGAATCCCACAAACCGACCCCTGCAGTCTCAAAAGACTTTGTCGGGGTGGTGCCTACAAAGAAGATGCATGTAGCATATGGTTTTCTGGCATCGTCCAGGTGCAGTACAAATACTACATTACAGGTAGTCGAGTCCAGTATGGAACCAGTCAGCACTTCACGGGCGCATGCGTAGAGCGCAAATTCTGCAAACGTGTGTAAAGTCGGCACAAAACTCGAAGAATTATACTGGCAAGTTAACCAGCATACGGGCAGTGAACGACATGTTTGAGCAACACCTGCGCGCAAACCGGAGACTAGCATCTTGCTGGAGTGCCTAGCCTGGCAACAGTTGAAACACAACTGGCGCGCCACCAACCAGAAAAGAAGTGGTGGGCTTTGGCCCTTGGCCTCGTACAAAGCGCGTGCAAAATGCAGCAAAGGACAAAACATGCTGTTGATGCATGTTGTTGACTCCAGAGCTTGAGGCACGCTGGGTGCAGAACACATAATACAAGCACATGAATCTACAACCCATAGTTCAATCGAACCAAAAGGCGCGAAATGCGCGGGACCTTGCGCAACCCCTGCGACCTGCGCGTTTACCAAACAGCATTGTAGTCAAGTACCCAAGTGCCCGAAAGCACAAGATAGAATAGAGGGACCAAGGTCGTAGGAAGGAATCGAAGCTCTGGGTCGGGGGAAGTGGGGTGAAGGTCCAAATGTTCACGCTTTCAGGATTCCAGCGACAAGGACCCACACTCAAACACCAACAAAGCGGGTGTGCAAAAATGGCTCAAGCACAGCTCATGAACCACGAATATTTCGACACCACTCGCTCCTATGCCCATCCACGCTTTCCGGCATTGCCATGTATCTTTCCGCATGTGAACCAACAACAAAATGCATGACAAGTGCATGCATATTTGTCCATATCAGCGAGAGCGAGGAAGACAAACAGAGAGGCCAAGAGAGAGAGAGAGAGAGAGAGAGAGAGAGAGAAAGAGAGGAAAAAAACAAAAACGACAACGAAAAATAAAGAGAAAACAAAAAAGAAAGAGAAAACAACAAAGACAGAGAAAGAGAAAGAGAGAAAGAGAAAGAGAAAGAGAAAGAGAAAGAGAAAAATAAGAGAAAGAAAAATAGAAAGAGAAAAAACAGAAAAAGTGAAAGAGAATGGGAAAAGGGAAAAAGAAAGAGACAGAGACAGAAAAAGAGGAAGCGAAAGAGAAAGACAAAGAGAAAGAGAGAGAAAGAGACAGAAAAAGAGACAAAGAAAGAGAAAGAGGAAGAGGAAGCGGAAGGGAAAGAGAAAGAGACAGAGACAGAGACAGAGACAGAAACGGAGACAGAGAAACGGACAGAAACAGAGAAAGAGAAAGAGGCAGAGAAAGTGACAGAGAAAGAGATACTGAAGAGGAAAGAGAAAGATAAAAGACAAAGAGAAACAGAAACTGAAAGAGAAAGAGAAAGGGAAAGAGAAAGACAAAGAGAAAAAAAAAGAGAAAGGGAAAGAGAAAGAGAGACAAACAAAGACAGCGAGAGAGAGAGCGAGAAAAAGTCGAGAAGGAGGAAGAGAACGAGGAAGAGGAAGAGAAAGATAAAGGGAAAGAGAAAGAGAAAGGGCAAAGGAAAAGAGAAAGACAACGAGAAACAGAAACATAAAGAGAAAGAGAAAGCGAAAGAAAAAGAGAAAGAGAGAGAGAGAGAGAGACAGAGAAAGGGAAGGAGAAAGCGAAAGCGAAAGAGAAGGAGAGGGAAAAAGAAAGAGAAAGAGAAAGAGAAAAATAAAGAGAAAGAAAGAGAGAGAGAGAGAGAGAAGAGAAAGTGAAAAAGAAAAAAAGAAGGATAAAGAGACAGATAAAGATAAAGATAAAGAGAAAGATGAAGAGAAAGAGGCAGAGAAAAGGAAAGAAAAAGGGAAAGAGAAAGGAAAAAGGGAAAGATAAAGACAAAGATAAATGGAAACATAAACAGAAAGAGACAGAGAAAGAGAAAGATAAAGAGACAGACAAAGAGAAACAGAGAAAGAAAGAGAAAGATAAAGGGAAATAAACAGATAATCAGAAGCAGAAAGAGAAACATAAAGATAAACATGAAGAGAACATGAAAGAGAAAAAACGAGAGAGAGACAGAGAAAGAGAAATAACAAGAGAAAGAGAAAGATCAAAAGAGAGAGAGAGAGAAAGAGAAAGAGAAAGAGAAAGAGAAAGAGAAAGAGAAAGGGAAAGAGAAAGAGAAAGAGACAGGGAAAGAGAAAGAGAAAGAGAAAGAGAAAGAGAAACAGGAAGGAAAGAAAGAGAGAGAGAGAGAGAGAGAGAGAGAGAGAGAGAGAGAGGGAGGGAGGGAGGGAGGGAGGGAGAGGGAGAGAGAGGGGCGAAGAGAGACGCAGGAAAAGAGAGACACAGTCTCTTGAACCACCTATCCAAGCCGGACTCGCCCCCGGTTGCTGCCGTGGCACTAGCGCACACATGGCCGTGCTCACCGCTGCCTGGAGGCAGCCCTGTCGCGCCTGAGATTTTCGCTTTGCAGGCGCCGAGTGCTTTGGGAAGCCCGATCTTTAATGACAACATTTCACCAGGTGGCCGTCGCATGTCATGGGGGGAAATGCATCCTTTTGTAATGACTACAGTATCTGACTTCAAAGCGGCTCCCTTAGCATCACAGAAAACGGTCCTGAAACCAAGATTTCCCCAAACCAGGTCCCTTGCAAGATCGACAAACGCCGGCTATTTGCGCTTGTTTGGTCACCGCATCTTGGTGCTGGAGGGCAAAAACCACTGCAACAGATCGACTACAAGCTGCAGCAACGCGTCCTGATATATCGAAACATGCGCTGAACCATCTGTAAAGGGCCCAGAAGGTCAAATGCTACAGGCAAACCCCTTTTTGACCCTGCCAAGATCGCGCCTCCATAAAGATGTGCTCCAGAAACACCTGCAGGTGAATTTCAGGGAACCTCAGACATGAATCAAACATTTGACCATTCCTGTTTGGCTGGCTTGAAAGGAAAACCAAAAAGGAACCAACCATTTGAAAGGTTTCCCTCAAAAAAGACGCACGCATTGAAACAAATCCAGCGCCTTCCAGTCGTGGCCTTCGCAATTGTGGGCTTCCCCAAAGGCAACCCGCGTACCCGTGAGGTTGCCAAGGAACTCCTGCGGCCGTCCAGCCAGGTGGCGTTGCACGAATCCGGTGCAAGTGGTCCGCTTGCCGGGCTTGGAGTGATGGCTTGGAGTGGTGGTTTGGTGGTTAGACAGTTCCCCATTTACCCTCTACAAGAACCAGGGGTTCGAATAGGGGATACTGGATTTGTTTATGTCTTGAAAACCAACAACAAGGCACATCCAAACCTCCCCTGCACGCCGCAACCAACATAGAACGGCCTTACAGTTCAGGGTCAAATATCTGATGATGCCTATACAGATCTTGGCTTGCTGGCGGCAAGCATGTCCTCGGTGCGAGCACGCTCGATGCAAACGGCCACCTGACATTCCAAAGCACTCTGGCACTGCATCAAACTCTACTCCAACTCCAACTCGATCATGCCGTCCGACATCTTGCAGGCACAATCATGCTGCTGCAAGATGTACACCATTTCTAGCCCGGTGGTCCAGCCCTCAGAACCTCTGCAAAATATAGCTACTGCTACAGCGCATACTGTAAATCATCCCCAAGCCGGGAGACAGCAGAGTGAGGTGTCCAACAAAGTGGGCCAGCCCCCGTTTTCGCTTGCCTGCATTCGGCTGGGTGCGTCCATCCTTGCCTGCGCCAGCAGCCTGCCGAGGCGGGCAGGTATCTCTGGCATCTCGAAGCAGATGGCCCCGGTGCTGGACAATCGAGCCTTTTGGCCTTTGTTGCCAACTCGGATTTGAAGATACCGGATTTGAAACAACAATATATTGGACAAACAAGAAGGGGGGGAGACGGGGGAGGTGGTTGCCCAGACCCCCACCCCCACCGCCGGAATCACGCTGTTCTGATTCAGCAGTTGTCTATCGTGATTTTGTGGGGTGAGGGGCTTGGGGGGGGGGATCGCTTCGGTGGCTGAGATGCTTCGGGCGGACAGGCGCAAGCGATCGCGGATTGTGACATTCCTGCTGGAAGTAAAACAAACAACCAAAATGCATCAAAACGCATCATGGAAAGCGTCTCGGGGATTGATACGGTCAGTAAAGGATAGTATTCTTAGCATGCCTGAACAAATGGCTAGGGAACTGGCGTCTTATGGAAAACCTACCAGTGTCCATATCAATTTTCAAGACGCCTTCAAAGACATGTCTTGATTGATTGACGGCCTCCCGCAGAAATGTGAAACTCCGCAATCCCTTGCGTCTGTCAGCCGCGCATACTCCGACTTTGCCGTCGGAGTACGCGCGACTCAAGCATCACTGCGGCTTGTGAACTCAGGGGAAGGTAGAATGTGCGATAGAAACCAAAGCAATGTAGCGTCGTCCTTTTTCAGTCCCTTCAATTGAGGGTCCGGGCAAACTCACCTAACATGTTGAGTTGGTGTCACATGTTGAAGGCACAAACATCTTCAGAACAGCACTCCGATCAACAAACATGCGAGCAGTGGCATCTCACTGGTCCTCACACACATGGCAAGCTGCTGAGACAATCTGGATGTATGACCGCGAGAAATACCAAGATAAGCTTACAGCACTAATCATTCATACGGATACATTGGCTAGTTGTTAGAGCATTTCTATGTTCGACATTGCTCACATTGGCATGTGCATCATCATCGTCATGCTCACTCCCCTGATGTCATGCTATATATATATATATACACATACATATTAATATGTATATAAGTCTCAGATTACCCGGGTTGTGCGTGAGGTGAAGCACCCTCTTGAATCCTTACAAGTAGCCAAACTCTGACTGAGTTGGGAGGGGCTGAATCGAATGTACTTCGACAAGATCCGGACCGCCCGGGCGAAACGTAATGTCAGGTCCTGCCTTCTACAGGCATCGGCGGATCCGTCCCAGAGCTCCGCCCTGCACTGTTGGGCCATACAAACTCACCAAAAAGCAGCACTGCAAATTTCGATACAAATGGCCATGGGTCAAAAGCCAAATCGTACCCCCCAATGAACATCCCAATCCCCACTAAAATAGGTTCTAAAATGGGTGGTGAATTCACCTACCCCCAAAAAATGAGGATTTTATTGGTTTTGACCACCACAGCCAAATGGCCACCAGTCCATTTGCCCCAGCTTCGCACCTGGCGGCCAACAGCCACACCTTCCAGCGCAGGTGCCTAACCCGAGAACGCGAGGTTGCGAGGTCGGGGAAGCAGAGGTTTCCCTTTGAAATCTCACACAGAGATCACGCCGAAGGAAACGTAGTCGAAGAAGGGAACATGCGCTCAGCTCTGGTCGCTGCAATGATCAATGAACGGAAAATGGTCCCACAAAGAGGGACAATTCCCCAATTCGATTTTCCAGTATTCGTTCCCACAAAGTGAAAATGGAACCATACATGGAGATCTCCAGTCAAACTCCCCCAATTCCAAGGTGATGGTGTGGTCTCAAAGTTCAGAGGACTCTTCAATCACCTCCCGGCCTGGGGCACTGCAACGCAGCTCGTCCGATGCTTTGCCGGCACCTGCGGTGAAAAAACGTTCAGCTAGGAACGCTTCGCCATGGTCCTCGTCTTTTTGGGGGATCCTTTAACTTTGCTTGGGTTTTAAAGGCCGGCCAAAAGGAAGAGCTCCATTTTTGGGGGGTCGCCTAAAAAAAGACATACCCATGCGTACTATATTGCGCTGTAACAACACGAAGCCGAAGGTATGTGGAGCCGCAGTCACAGCTGAAGGATTACAACAGCAAGATCGGACACTCGCATGGTATCCCGGATCAAAGAGCATTAGCTTTGCGCGTCAAGCGTAGAGCGAGAGAGGGAGAGAGGAGAGAGAGAGAGAGAGACGTATATGGACTGAACTTTTGTGTGCATCGTGGTTGCTGCGCATGCAAAAAGCGCTGCAAAAGCACGTCTTGTAACGTATCCAAGAACCTCTGTGTTAGCTCCTGCGGACCATCGCACCGTCAAGTTGCTCATCATGCATTGCTCTCATCTCGTCCAGCATGCTCAGCCACAACTGCTGAGCGGCGCCGGCCACTTCTTTGCCGCCGTGGAACATGACCGGATTTTGTTCTCAGAATTGTGTTGGGAGTGTTGCTTTCTATTGCATGCTTCTATGGTTCCATCCCGAATTTCAGGGCTGCAAGTAGTTGTTGGAGGGACATCACGATGTAAGTCTGGATTCCAGCTGTTATACCGCCAAGTAAATCAACCATATTGATGGAACGACCCGCATTGAGCACAGGAAAGTCCTTGCTTCCGAAAGGCCTATGCGTATGATGCCATGTGGGATGGATATCAAAACAATCACGGAATCCCACTATTCACATGCTTTCTTCCCATTTGAAAGGGCGCGACACTAAGCCAGTGTACGTTGTCATGTGAAAGGAAAATGCACAGGAAGGAAACAAACTTACAGCAAGCACATACATTAAAGAAGTCCAACTCGTTTTGACTTACTCTTTGTAGGTGCTTCACAGGTTTCGAGTCCACGAGCGGACTCCAGGTCCCTCCGTCTCTGAGTGCTCCCACTGTGGCAGGGCCCCTTCTCTGCTGCATGCCGTGGCCACCTGCCAAGGAATGTGGGGCGACTTGGACACCGGGGACCAAGTAACTTGACATATATGCTGCAGCACCAAGGGCTCATGCGCCGAATTGTAGGAGTGGATCTGGTCATTTCAAAAGCCCGACGCACAGTATTGCTACATCCACCTTGATGAGCTTCATTTGAAGCGTTGGCTTTGGTGTACCAGTGCGATCTATGAACACGCAAGGCCCGCCGTGCGTTGCTGTTCATGGTGTTTTCCAATTATGGGAATCACCTTGAAACAATCAGCAATTGTGGAGTGCAAAGGAATGCAAAATCAACTCAAATGCGTCGTGTAAGTCAAGAACCCAGTCAATAAATACGCGCACAGCGGAGCTAGATATATATATATATATATATATATGAGTCATGTTTCTTTCACTCTCCTGCCTCGAAATAGATCTTCCAGTGCAGCTCGCTGCATATGCTGGCAATGGCGTTGGGCGCATACTCCCTGAGCAGTGCAGCGTGAGCAAGAGACTTCTTAGTGGCGGTCCATTTCAGCCTGCGATGCAAATTGGAGAACTTAGTTGTTGAATCTGTGGGAGGCTCCCTCACACAAGCGCCTTTGACGATTTGAAGCTAGCAAGAAGGTTCAACACTGTAGACCGAAATGCTCCAATGTCCAAATGCTCTTATGATCTGGCATATGGCGGGCCAGACATGCAGCTCTAGCGCTCAGCCGCCCATGATATCCTGAAAGGCCACCGATGATGTGTTGCTCCCCTTTTGCAAAACACGAAACCTTTAGAGCGAGAGAGAGAGAGAGAGGGAGAGTCCCAAAAGGCTGTCCCTCCAACAATTGGGTTACACGTCCGTTGCAAATGACTCATGACAAAGTGAGATGTTGGGGAGCACATGCTCAGCTGCTCGCTTTACAGCCGCAGCTCCATAAAGCTTCTCAGCTTGGCGAAGCAGAACGAACCTCAGCGCGTGCGAACTTCAAATAGACAAACTGAAATCATATGAACTTGTAGCTAGCAGACTTTAGGCTTTTGAATAGTAACTGTGGTTCCTCAAACATAACATGTTGCGAGCCTCTGCAGTGATTCAGCCACGAAATGTACCAATCCGAGTCATCAAAGGTCACCCGAATATCTATCCGCATGTTGTCAGCGTAGTATGTAGCTCTTCGCACTGTTGGGACCTGCTTGTCAGCTGGATAATACGAACTGGCAGACTACTCGTGTGGGTTTGGGAGCCCTGCCAGTGATGAATGCATGGGTGATCGCACGGAAACCAGGGGGGGCTTGCTTTCAATGTGCATAGAGTTCTCTGCGATTGAGCTAAGCTCAACATCCCATAAGCAGTCAGAACGCTCCCAGTTTGTTGCGTCCTCTGTACGCTAGGTGGATCCAAAGGCTGAGGCGCTGGCCAAAGTGGGCCATACTTGGGGCAAATCCTGAGACCGTTGGATCTGTGCCGATTGCAAGCCGAAAGCCCCCAGTCGTTCGAAGACCCGATCACCCAAAAGCGAGCTCCGGGTGCTCACGGCGACTCGGAGCGGCTCTGGGAGTCCGGAAGAAGCGTCCTTTTCAGGATCCGTCTTGGCACATTCTTGTGTCTCTCGGAAGTGTTGGGTTGGTTATAGATAGTTTGTAGCCAAACAGCTGGAATCCCACTGCACAGGCGAATGCAAGCCAGGGCGGTGACAGACCTCACAGAACAGCCAGATGTACCAAATGGCTAGCTGTGGAATTTGCCTCATTCACAAGTTCATGTCAGTAACAGGTGAAACGTCTCATAAAGACTCGCACAATTGACACACTTTATAGCATGGTGTGTTGCAATTGTTTGAACACAATAACATGATAGATGAGTTCATGCGTGTGTAACTGTGTGTGTGTGTACGTATGTGAATCCTTGTGCATGCGTGTATGTTAGCGGGTTACGTTGCTTATTCCAGTTGAAAACCTGTATGCGTCTCTGGGTCATGACTATGACTCGGAGAATCGGAATTCTAAAAGCGCTTATAGCCAAAAGCCCAAGCTGATCATGGCACTGACGCTCTTCTCATTCCAAGTCTACGGCTGTACACCTTGCTCCGCCGTCTCAAGCGCCTGGGTCCGGACGAGTTTCTGCAGCCCGCCCGCCCTGCCAACCCAGCAGCGACTAGCGCTCAGCCCAAGCCAAGTGCATCCAGAAGCTTCCATGTCCCCCTCAAAGGCTTAGATTCTGCTGAACGGTGCATCCCCTGAACCCTGTCAATTGCACGCGCCGGGGCCCCAGTGAGTGACGGAAGTGCCGGGACTCTCGTCTCTCAGGCGTCGACTTCCTGCCAGTGGCCGAGGATACTCTCCACACGGCACGCCTGAGCTAAGCTGCCGGTGGCTTCAAGATGCAAGCTTCCTCCCTAGGCCCGTATTGCTTTGCTCTTGTGAGAAGTCTGAACAGCTCTGTACATTCCATCTGACGTCTGGCAAGGATGCTGCAGGAGTCTGACTGCCCACTCAAATAACTTGAACCATGGTCATTGATTCATGACTGTCCAAGAAATAACCTTGAGATTCATTGAGCCTGTATAAGGTAGCAATCTGCTTTGCACCAAATCTGAGAACTGCTCTCGGCAATACCAACTAAGCAAAGTTATGTTGCCTTGCAAGCCGCATTTGATTGTTGGCTGGAATTGCTCAATCGGCAGCGACAGGTGTGTGGGGGGGGGGATGCTTCTGCACCTCGGCTTTAGGCCTGCTTTGCCTAGGTCCTCCAATAGAGAGGTTAGAATAAGGGCACCCTGTTTTCTGTAGTCTATTTTAGTAGGGGAACCCTCCCCCAAAAAAGAAACGGTAAAAGGGCACTACTGGGGGACCTAGTTGGGTCACTGGAGCACGCCTTCTTCGACGCCCCTTCCCCGAAGGCCTCGCAGTAGATGGGGCCCTGCTGTGGCATGCGCTTCAAAATGCTTTGCCTGGGCCGCGCGGAGTCGGGTGGTGCGGCCGGCCGTAGAACAACGTGCCTGCACGACCCTACAGGCGGTATTCGGGGTTTCTCTGTATGCCATGAGAGGCGCCCAAAGTTCAAACCCTGTGCTGAGTGGTATGGAACCGCGCTGCAGCAATCCAAATGCCAATCCTCCACACAAGGCAGCACACAGCTTCAAATATGTACATCGAAACAAATTGTTGCAAATCTATTTGAAACGCAGCGTTTGTTATCTTGCTCAAACCTAGTTTGATTCTACGTCCTTGTGTCGAGCATGTGCATATTGGGCAACTGAAATTGCAGCTATGAGTAGATGCACAAATCTAGATCCACTATGGTCTTGGGCAACAACAAGTAAGCAGCATGTGAGCACCACCCCCTGCACTCCGCATCGAACATTTCTGACAGAACCCCTGCATTCATTTTGCGAAAAGGAGATATCAGTTTCGTGGCCTGCGCCGGCATTGTGCAAAGTACGATGTTCAGAATGTCAGAGCCAGCATTCCCGAATCGGAGGGATCTGAAAAGGCAATGCTAATGGACAGTTGTTCTCAGGTGGGTGTGGGTCAAAATTGGGTAACCCCACTATGGAACCCTGGTAAGTGGAAACATGGACTAAAACCTGCGGTCCGATGCCTGGCTTAATTTTGACCCCATACCCTGGCAGCTGAAAGCCAGGAGCCTAACTCTCGTGCCATGGCTTGAAGGCGAGGTCGCTCGAAGCTTCGTGTGAAAGAGCAAGGATTTCACTGCAGACAAAAAGGATCCAAGAGGCTAGTGCAAGGGGTGTTGCATCCACTTTACATGCTGCGACTATGGACCAATGCGCTTAAATCAATTTTGCAAATGCAGAACCACATTGGTGTGCCTGGTGCATACCACGCTGCCGCTGAGCGCAAAGCAGAATGGACCGTGCCACTTCACCGTTGCCCATGCGAACCTGCATCGAAGTACACCCAGCCGGTGCATCACAGGTGTTCCTGCTGGCCCTTTTGGCATGGAAGCAATGGCTGAGTCAATGAGAATACGCAGCCTGCTCAAGAGACAATCCCTGTAGTTCAAAACCAGCATCTTGTGTTTACTTTCGAAATCAGCATGAGGACCATGCCTGCGCGGCCACTGGATGACACGCAGCCAGCGTTTAGGCTTATATGATACCGAGACTCTCGAATTGATAAGTCTGTCTTTTAGTGCGTGAACAGGTTCTTATCTATTGCTGGGCCTAAGCATCTGAAAGACCATCTCACAACTCAAAGCGTTCGCCTTGGAGGATTCGCAGGTGCCCCTATAGAAATGCAACGGCTGCTATGCTTGGCGAGTAAAATGCTAGTGATGTGAGCAAGTGCCCAAACAAGTTCAGTGTCGGGATGGCCTGATGCGAAAGCCCTGCGAGGTCTGCATGTATGGCGAAGTCATTTCTATCTATATCTTACTCTCTTAGATTCGTTTGATAATTGTGTTAACCAGCTGTACGACTTCAACTCGATGTCGACACTTCATAAACGTACTGTTTGCTGGATTTATTCACCGTTCATTGGATTGCTTCATGACTTCAATACGACATGCCGAGCTTCCCTCTCCAACCCCGGAAACTAGGTCAGTTCCGCGCAAGACTTCGACGGAGAGGTTTTGCCGTATGGGAACCCAGTCGCCTTTGACTTTGCTAACACCGGAGGTCGCTTGTTGGCCTTGCCAAAACAAATGGTATCAGCTGTCCATCACACAATGCGGACATGATTGCATGCGGAAGACATTGCGTTGAAGCGAAGAATGTCAACGGTGACAAAGCTTCTGGCCGATGTGTCTAGCTGGATCTTCTGAGGCTTTCTGAATTCTTCGCACATCAGCTTGCCATGCTTGCACTCCGATCCCTCTGGCAGGCCTCGGCATGCACAGCTTCGATCAGAACCTGCCGCTGCGTAGTAGGTCAACACAAATGTTCTCAGTTTTGCCAAATGGGACGGAAGCGCGTGCGCATGGTACTCACCACTTGAACTTGTGAAGCCATCCAAGTTGCCGGCTGCTCCGACTGCAGAATTACTCCAGACTTTCATGCAACCTTTTCTTGTGGGTGCTGATCCTCAGAAAAAGAGAGAGAGAGAGAGAGAGAGAGAGAGCGAGGGCGAGAGTGTGAGAGAGAGAGAGAGAGCGAGGGCGAGGGTGAGAGAGAGAGAGAGCGACGGAGCGAGAGAGAAAGAGAAAAAGCGAGGCAGGGAAGAAGAGAGAAAGAGAGAAAGACAGGGGGAGAGAACTTTGCATATCATACGTAATACGTATAGAGAAAGCAAGAAGCAATAAAAAAAAAATCCATAAAAAGAAAGACCTAAACATTGAGAAAGGGCGAATTGGAGAGAGGGAAACGGAGAAGAAAAGGGAAACAAGGGACGGGGAGAGGAAGAGAGGAAGAGAGGAAGAGAGGAAAAGAGGAAGAGAGGAAGAGAGGAAGAGAGGAAGAGAGAAAGAGAGAGAGAGACAGAGCAAGAAAGAGACAAAGAGAGAGCGAGATAAGCACAAATCAAGTCGTTCGTTCTGCTTTCAATCACAGGAATCATGGTGAAACTTCAGGAGTTGTAGCTGGTCGTGGTTCCTTGAGCAGGGTCCTCTTATACAATACCCGCCCCCAAATCCAATGCGGCATAGTTCCCCTGCAAACATTACATCAGCACCCGCACAGAACTCTCACCACCGTCAAGGCGAGTTCGGAAAAAATGAGGAAAACCAAGGACCATAGCTCTAACAGACTTTTAGTGCGGGCCTTCGCCCTCGCCGTCCTACTCTGGAATGCTGACCCCCCCGCCCCCCCCCCAAAGCAGGCCTTGTGCGACTTGTCAAGGTCTGATCGCATTGTGCCAACCAATGCGCGCATGGCCTGGCGTGCATCGTCGTTGCTTGTATACATGCATGTGTGTCTTTTTTTATTATATATATATAACTACATACATATCTTCAGTAGCCAACGTTCGCCGTCGCTTCACAACGGGAAGGAAGGTTTAACTAGCGGGTTGGGGGGTGGAGGTTTGTCATTTCGTCCCCTTCGCCTGCAGCAGGCTGTGGCCACGTCACGCTTGTGGGGGTGGGGTGGAGGGGTGGGGTATTATTGACTTCGGATTAATCTGGAGGGCCGTACTAACGCGTACTAATTAGGGGTGGTTCCCTTTGAGGAAGTATATCATCGTCTATTTGAGTGGATTCCTTTGACTAGTAGGGTCTGGATTAATCCGGGCTTGACATTAATAGAGTTCTCGTCACCTGCGGCCATAAGTCATGCTTGGAACATAGGATTTGCCCACGCCAAACGTCGGCCCTTGGACCACATATATATATATATATATCCATTTATTTTATGATGCATACATATATATATATAGAGAGATACATTATGAGTGTATAAATATACTTAAGAGACTCCCAGCTGGGGAGAGCCTTTAAACGCCAAAATAATTATTTATTCATTTTATTGTCATTTGTGTTTTCATTTTATTTTCATTTGTGTTTTAGTTTTATTTTCATTTGTGTTTTCGTTCTATTTTCATTTGGGGTTTCGTTTTATTTTCATTTGGGGTTTCATATGTCTCATGTGTCGAAGACATGTTGTGCTGTCCAGAGTGAGTTCCAAAACCAGCAAAATGAAAATAAAATGAACATTTCCTCGAGTTTTTTTCATGTTTGCTTTCCAGGGTCCCGAAATGCAGGAAAACCAGCAAAATGAAAATAACATGAAAACACAAATGAAAATAAAATGAAAAGTTCCTCGAGTTTTTTTCATTTTTGCTTTCCAGGGTCCCGAAATGCAGGAAAACCAGCAAGAAGACAATGAAATGAACACACAAATGAAAATAAAATGAAATTTCCTCGAGTTTTTTTCATTTTTGCTTTCCAGGGTCCCAAAATGCAGGAAAACCAGCAAAATGAAAATAAAATGAAAATTTCCTCGAGTTTTTTTTCATTTTTGCTTTCCAGGGTCCCGAAATGCAGGAAAACCAGCAAAAAAACAATGAAATGAAAACACAAATGAGAATAAAATGAACATGTCCTCGAGTTATTTTCATTTTTGCTTTCCAGGGTCCCGAAATGCAGGAAAACCAGCAAAATTAAAATAAAATGAAAACAGAAATGAAAATAAAATGAAAAGTTCCTCGAGTTTTTTTTCATTTTTGCTCTCCAGGGTCCCGAAATGCAGGAAAACCAGCAAAATGAAAATAACATGAAAACACAAATGAAAATAAAATGAAAATTTCCTCGAGTTTTTTTCATTTTTGCTTTCCAGGGTCCCGAAATGCAGGAAAACCAGCAAAATGAAATAAAATGAAAATTTCCTCGAGTTATTTTCATTTTTGCTTTCCAGGGTCCCGAAATGCAGGAAAACCAGCAAAATGAAAATAAAATGAAAACAGAAATGAAAAAAAACTGAACATTTCCTCGAGTTTTTTTTCATTTTTGCTCTCCAGGGTCCCGAAATGCAGGAAAACCATCAAAAAGACAATGAAATGAAAACACAAATGAAAATAAAATGAAAATTTCCTCGAGTTTTTTTCATTTTTGCTTTCCAGGGTCCCGAAATGCAGGAAAACCAGCAAAATGAAATTAAAATGAAAACAGAAATGAAAATATAATGAAAATGTCCTCGATTTTTTTCATGTTTGCTTTCCAGGGTCCCGAAATGCAGGAAAACCAGCAAAATGAAAATAACATGAAAACACAAATGAAAATATAATGAAAATGTCCTCGAGTTTTTTCATGTTTGCTTTCCAGGGTCCCGAAATGCAGGAAAACCAGCAAAATGAAAATAACATGAAAACACAAATGAAAATAAAATGAAAAGTTCCGCGAGTTTTTTTCATTTTTGCTTTCCAGGGTCCCGAAATGCAGGAAAACCAGCAAAATGAAAATAACATGAAGACACAAATGAAAATATAATGAAAATTTCCTCGAGTTTTTTTCATTTTTGCTTTCCAGGGTCCCGAAATGCAGGAAAACCAGCAAAATGAAATTAAAATGAAAACAGAAATGAAAATATAATGAAAATGTCCTCGATTTTTTTCATGTTTGCTTTCCAGGGTCCCGAAATGCAGGAAAACCAGCAAAATGAAAATAACATGAAAACACAAATGAAAATAAAATGAAAAGTTCCGCGAGTTTTTTTCATTTTTGCTTTCCAGGGTCCCGAAATGCAGGAAAACCAGCAAAATGAAAATAACATGAAGACACAAATGAAAATAAAATGAAAAGTTTTTTTTCATTTTTGCTTTCCAGGGTCCCGAAATGCAGGAAAACCAGCAAAATGAAAATAACATGAAGACACAAATGAAAATATAATGAAAAGTTCCTCGAGTTTTTTTCATTTTTGCTTTCCAGGGTCCCGAAATGCAGGAAAACCAGCAAAATGAAAATAACATGAAGACACAAATGAAAATATAATGAAAAGTTCCTCGAGTTTTTTTCATTTTTGCTTTCCAGGGTCCCGAAATGCAGGAAAACCAGCAAAATGAAAATAACATGAAGACACAAATGAAAATATAATGAAAAGTTCCTCGAGTTTTTTTCATTTTTGCTTTCCAGGGTCCCGAAATGCAGGAAAACCAGCAAAATGAAAATAACATGAAAACACAAATGAAAATAAAATGAAAACCCAAATGAAAATAAAATGAAAAAATAATTGCTTTCCCCATCCCAAGCCTGTGGCCATAAGCATCTCTTAAAAATATACATTCACACTACATACATCACAATGTGTACTTACACAAGCATGCACATACTTGAAGAGGACGAGGGAAGCTCTGGAATGGAAGCTACATTCCAAATGCGAAGCTTATGCCCCTTGCTGGCAACTGCAGGCTGGTTTTGTTCGATTATGCATTTTGCCTGTTGCTACTTCCGCATGGTGTAGAAACTGTCGAGTTGAATTGGGCTGCTGTTGGTTGTGGATTCCAAATAACAGCATCTGGAACACGTGAGACAGGTGTTTGTCTAGCAACATCCGTTGTTGGGGGCGCGGTACATAAACACACTGCCCCTGCTGTTCGGCAACATCCTGTTGTGAGTCTGGCCTCCATGGCAATGAATGATCATCCCAGCTACCTAAAATATGACTCACCCCAGCAAGGGTATCATTTCGGATGTTTGGCCACTTTTCCAGATCAGAAGTGGGGCCGGAATTACATAGCCTAAGACAGCAGTGGTGAGGTCCCCAACAGCAAAATTGTATATGGCCTTGACAGCAGATCTGATGCACTCACAGGCAATGCCCGGCAAGACAACACTCCAAACCTTCTACGTTCAAGCTGCGGAAACGGTACGGGCAGGAACATAGCAGCATAGCCTTCTACTACGTAGATATGTTCAATATGTGGCTTTAAGACTATATTCGACATGTTTGTCGCACTGGGCAAATGTGGTTGACATCATCTTTGAATCATGGGAGTATGTCTCATGCCGTTTCTCTATCACTCTGCCTAAGTTTGGGAACGCGCCTCCAAGTCACCGAGTCGCTCCAGCACTCGCACCTCTGGCGACGAAAAGTTTTAACGCAGGAGTTCCCTGGCCATTTGGCTGTGGGTCAAAAATGGGTACCCAAAATGGATCCCTGGCAAATGGAAACAGGGACTAAACTCTGCGGTCCCCTGTTGGTCTAATTTTGACCCACACCCAAATGAGGGCCATCCACCTGGCACCGCGGCCCGGGTAGCTGAGCCAAAGGCCAGTCTCAGCGCCAGCTGGTCAGTGGGAGTGCAGCTCTCCAGTGCTCGCTCCAGAAGATAGCGGCCTCCAGCGTCGTCTTGCGGTGGGTACCGTTGCGGTAGCTGGCTGTTTGTCAAAACCAATGGGATCCCATTTTGGTTGGTAGGTGCACCACCCATTTTGGTTTATGGGTAACTGGCTGTGGTTGTCAAAACCGTTTTGGGATCCCATTTTGGTTGGTAGGTGAATTCACCACCCATTTTAGAGCCTATTTTAGTGGTTGGATTGGGATGTTCACTGGGGGTACGGCGTACGGGATTCTGACCCATGGCCAACTAACAATGGCTTGCCTCTGAGTCTTAAAACCGGTTTCCAGTTGAGACGCGTTTTCACGCCTTTACCGAGAAAGCAAGCAGGCAAAGATTGAGAACGGCGCCTGGACGTGGCAAATATGATTCAGTGAACGGTGTTGTGTGGTACAATAGCTGTATAAGGTGCAAATCATTGGAGGGATGCCATTGAACCTTCCGATTTGCAAACCAAAGAATCTAAGAGCAGCAAACATGTGCACCATTGACAGCTTTAGCGATAGGCAAGCATGCCCCTGACCATAGTGTGATGTGTTGCAAGAAACAGTGTGTATTTATATGTGCAATGTCCAAAAATGATGTGCTCAAAAATTAGTCTAGCTCATGTACGCCCAGCTTTGCGTCTTGCGGCAGTACCTATTCCGTTCTGAGCTGTGTGCACTGTTCCAGCTCACCCAACTCCTCCAGCGTGCGGCAAATATCCAGCCAAACCTTGGCACGTGTCGGCCGCTCTACTATGCAGCTGCATCCCTCTTTCTGTCCTCAGCCTGTCAGCGACTCATCCTTTCGCAGCGATCAGCTACAAACTTGCAATACGCTAAAACAAGTCTTCATGGCACCTTTGTACCGGTTCAGCTAAGGGCCTCTTCTTTCACAAAAAGAGAGGCATGCATCCTCCCTTAGACAAAGACGCCACCGTTGCAACCTTGCAACCCTTGCAACCCCGCGACGCTTGGCAAAAGCCAAAATGAATCCCGCGCCTGCGAAGCCCGAGGTTGTGCCTTTAGGGCTTGGCCCATGTGGTACTTCACCTGGCAACCAGTTCCGGGTCCAATGGGCGTAGACCAGCGGCTGTCGTCTGCGATCTATTCAAGGGACCCGCCCTCCCTCCCTCCCTCCCTCCCTCCCTCCCTCCCTCCCTCCCTCCCCTCCCTCCTCCCTCCTCCCTCCCTCCCTCCCTCCCTCCCTCCCTCCCTGTTTCCCTGTTACCCTGTTACCCTGTCATCACTTCAGATTCTCTCCCCACTGATACTACTCAAGTCCACAGGTGATTCACCCACAAGGCTTTATTGATCTCAAGCGGACACTCGTGACCCTGAATGGTAATTTCGGATGAAGAACCTCCTAGAGCACCCGTAACAACATAGGTGACGGCCTATCAGTAGATATATTCTAGACTGCAACCAGCCGAACTGCAAAAAGAATCCAAACAACACGGCCAGCTGTGCTTTGTGGCCCAAGGACTCGGTTCTCCAAGAAAATCACGCCGATGGTTGCCACAAGTCCGGTCAGCGGAACCAGTTTGCAAAACTCTGGTGAACTTTCCATGGATGCATGCCCCTCACCATCCTTGTGCCTCACTTTTCCCTGACTCAGCGAAAAGTGAGCCCTTCGCGTTGCACTGAGTCATTTTGACCCCGGGATTCAGATCACAGCTCACTCCCGCAAAGTGCGGCCACGCTTGCGACCCATGCTCGTGAGGCTTGCATCTTTGGTGGCTGTTTTGGTTTTGGTGGCGGTGGAGCCCGCGCGTACCCTCAAATCTGCTGCCAAGCTCTCCAACTCACTCCGCAGGCTGCGCAGGAACTTGCCCCGATTGAGTTCCGCTTCCTTGAGCTGGCGCACAGCCGCTGAGAGATTGTTGAGCTCCTGATCAGGGTCTGACCCACGATATGTCGCAGCCTGTCGGTTTCTCTTACTGACTTGTTGGCTCCAGTGGGAGTCCAGCAAAACAACACATTACCTTCTGTTGGAAATCACCTGCTTCAGCCCGGTCAAGTCTACTTATGAGCCAAAAATGTACTGGTGACTGGATCTGGATCTTATTACAGCCCATGATAAGAGGTTTGCCCAATCCTGACAGATCTTCTCGGTCGGCTCGGAGTCCCGTTGCATCGCCGCTGTCCGGCTCTCGAAGGCTTCCTGGAGATATCGCCGCAGATTCTTCCTGAGCTGCCCAAACAGGAACTGACCGTTGTGGAACTGACGCCAAGAAAAAGGGTTGGCCGTTGGAAAACCAACTGGTTAGAAAACCATGAACGCAAAAAAAAGAGAGGTGCCACGTGAGGTGGGAGTCAGGTCTGAGTCCTCCTCCGAGCCATCGACGGCCTTCGCTTTCCGGCTATGACCCGGCTGGCCGGAGCGCGAGCGGCCCATAGCGACGAGGAGTCGACGAACGGAATCGAGTCCCCAGCCCCCAGCCCCTGGAGCTCAAATGCTGCCGGAAGCAAACAGCAAACAACTTGGGCCTGCCCAAGAAGAACTTGGGTATGGGTCAAAATTAAACCACCAGGAATTGGACCCCCGGTTTTAGTCCATGTTTCCATTTACCTGCCTTCCATGTTGGGTACCTATTTTTGACCCAAAGCCAATTGATGAGAAGGAAACAGCGCATCTCTCAAGGCACTCACCTGGCCAACGCTGGTCAAGGAGTCCCTCGCGCACTGAATCGAAAGTGCAAAGTAAGTGCTGCCTCCGCTCTCCAGTTGCTTCTTCTGACACCCTTCTGGTCATTGAGTTTGGCATGTCGACTCAGGGACTGACTTTGAATGGAGTAGTGGCAGTGGAAATCTCCGTGCGTTGAAAGATCCGAGGCAAACAAGCTCCTGCAATATCACAATTCAAAAACTGGAAATAAGGAATCCCTGGGCACAGTCCGCCGTTGCTAGTCATGCGTGTATATATATATATATATACATATATATAGTGGTGCGCTTACGTGTGAAAAAGGTGTCTTCCTCTGGAGTCCCCATCAAAGCCGGAGGCTTTTGGGGCCTGCATTTTGGGTCCAAAGTCTTGGGGGTGGAAACTATGAATTCCAGCATATTTTTTAGTGCCCTCCAATGAAGGGCACTTGACCTGTTTTTGAATCGAGGGCACAAAAGGCTGTGTCGGTGGCCAAAGTGACCCTTTGATTCGTTTGCCAAGTGCCCTTTTTGGCTTGATAGGGGTTGGGATTCTGTTGAAATCGACCAGCTACCCGTGTCGAAGTGTGACAACTGCCACATTTGATTGGGGCCGACCCGGAAAGCCCGAACATGGCGTTTTGAGTGTCAAAGCGTGTCATTTGAGTGTCAGTGGGGGTGCGAATCGAGGTCACTTCCCCCTTGAAAAGGTCACTTATGCTAATGTCGGTCCCCCCTGCGTGAGTGTCATTCGCGTGTCGCTGCGGCTCGATTTGCCCGGACTGAGGGGGGATCTGCTGGGGAGGGCAACCCCTGAGGGACTAAGTGCCCTTTTAAATGGCCTAAGTGACCTCTTTGACGTAGGACTAAGTGCCCTTATTTTCAAAATGGATCATAGGACCCAAAAAATGAATCAAGGGCACTGAAAAGAAGCTGGTTGGTCAGTGTTTCTTGCTCACATGGGGAGGAAGTGCCCAAGCAGATCATTGAGGTCGGTCCTGAACATCTATATACATCTATAAGCCATATGTTGTTCGGTTGCACCGCTTCAGCAGGGTGTTTCCCGTTTTGGCTCATTGTGGTGAGCTCTGGGACGTTCAATGTCTTGCTAGCATGACCCCTTCTTCATTGTATGGGAGCAGGGATTTGTCGTCTGTGGCCTTAGTGCGGAATTCTCCTTTGCCAAGAGCTCAATGGCACCTCCTCCCACTCCCAAAACCCCCTCATGTTGAGAACTGCCCCCCGAAACACAACCAGCGCGCCGCGGCGCCTGCTGAAGACTGGAGACTCTCTTGGCGCGCTCGGCCAGCTCCAAGTGCGCTCGCGCCAGGGGGCCTAGGCTCAAGGGGGGAGACCTATGAGTCACAATGAAACCCTGGTACTAAAATGGCAACCCCATAGCCATGTGCATCCATTTATGGCTGGGAATACCCCTTAATAACCTTCATCTTCCCAGGTTCTCCTTGTGGCTCGTAGTAGTTTGACGTGCAAAACCGCCAAGAGTTCGAGGTTTCGTCTTTATGCCAACTTGCGCCCAACCAACAAAAACCGCCACCAGCAAGCTGAAGCGCAGCCTCAACAAGCGGAGCAATGCTGCTAATATGAGATGCGAATCGGACGAGCCACTGGGATCATATTCTAGGTTCTCCAGTAGAGAGGTTAGAATAAGGGTACCCTTTTTTATGTAGTCTATTTTAGTAGGGAAGACCTCCCCCAAAAAGGGGTGAAGGGGCACTACTGGGGGACCTAGCATTGGCCATAAAAGCAATGAACAAGCTGTTGATAGCGCAATATATCTTCTAGCGCTCAAGTGCTGGCAACAAATCGATCGCCTCTGTGCCCAAGAAAACCAATGGCATTGCAAAGCACTGAAACGGCAGTTCTCAAGCAAATCCGCAGATCCAGCACTACAAGCTCCAAAGCCAATAGTTGCGCATAATGCCCCATCAAGAAGGCGATATATTCTTGGTCTATCCTCCACTCCTCCACAAGAGAAGAGGTAAGAAGCCAGAAAAAAATAGAACCACACCCTTTGGACATCCATCAAACCTGGCTCCCGCCTGGAGCCAAGTTGGCAGCCCTGCGCTCCAGCAAGGCCGCAGCAGATTCGAAGCCTTCCTGGAAGCAAAGCTTGCGCCTTGGGGTAAATCACCAAAACTTGGTTGACGTTGGAAGGGGAGCAACAAGTTGAATTTTAGCAGTTAAGTGGGGATTTCCCACCAAGCCACAATAAGCAAACATATAAAATGTTTCCCAACAACAACCATGAAAAGGTGGATTCCCAGGCCTGGGAAAAAAATTATATAAAATGCACAGACCTGCAGCCCACACACACACACACGCACATGCGGTGGGTTGAAAGTAGATGGCAGAATTCCCATAGGTTGGCTTCGTCAAAGTGGGTTATTTCTGAGACGCATCTTGACGCACTTGTCAGAATGATGATACCCTGAAAATGCGACTGATCTTTAAAAACATCTTGCCCCCTGCCCTTGCTGGAGCTGATTGAATCCTGGGAGGGAGCGTGCTGCTTGCCACTCATACTGTCCTTTCCAGGTTGTCGCTCCCCACTTGCTTGGTAGGTTTGACCCACCCAAAAAGAAAAACTCCAAGTAAAAAAACGAAATTAGCCGGCGATGACATTGATAAAGTGCTCCTATCTGCTGGCGGATTCTGGCAGGTGGAAAGGCACGATGGCTCAAAAGCATAGTTCCTCCCTAGAGTTGTTGAAACAAGGGGTAAAGATATTTCTGGGACCCTTTTATAGGGTCCTATATGTTGGCCACAACTCATTCAGGTTTTCGGCAGCTTCAACCCCAAAGGCCTGAATGTGTGCATCTCCAGACCCACCAAGGACAAACCCCTGGTTTGTCAGTTTCCTGGTGACAGGTCAACAAGTACCGACCCCCAAACCCGCAGCAAAGGCACATGAACAGAACCCCCCCCTCCCCAACCCCCACCCAAACAAACCCCCATCGCGCGTTGCCGCCACAGAAAGTCCCTCGACGGCTCCTCCTTTTCGGTCTGAGCGAGTTCCTCCAGCACTTGTTGCTGCTCCTTGCGCAGACGCTGGCTCTCAGCGGCCTCGGCAAAGCGGCTTGCGAATTTTGGAAACGGAATGAGCTCGGGGAATGGTGCGAGTTAAACTCCTCCATGTCCCTTCAAAGGGAACTTGCAAAAGTAGCGATCATTTCAATGGAAACCACCAGTCCATTGATCAATTTGTGGTTTGGGGAAATCCAGTGACCTGTCTGTGGGAAATTGAAAGAGCACAGAATTGTTGACTCTGGTCTCGCACATGGCACCATTTGCAAAACCAGTTGTTGCATCAGGTCAAATCAAACCAACCGCCTGTCCCGCTTCCACCACCACCCCACTGCGTGCGCGGCGTCAGATGCAGGACCTGGACAAGTCCCGTTTGGCATTACGACTATGTGCTACTGCTACCACTGTGAAGAGCAAACAAAATTGATGCCATCCATATAGTCTACCGTCACACAAATCCACGGGACGTCTCGGGCTGATCGGGCGGGATAGTTCAAGACACGTGGGTTGCTTCAGGTTGAGTTTGTCTGAGCTATTGCTCTAGAAAGACCGACACGCTAACCATCCGAGCCCGAATGTTCCCGCTGCCAGCCTGCAGCATTGGTCTGCTGCCCCTGGCAGCAAGAAAGCCAAGGACAGGCGGGGGGATGGAGCAGTGAACCCACGGTGGATTTCTGTTGAAAGAGGGAAGCAAGGGAAAATGCAAAGGTCTCGCTGCGTGTGCTGCGTTGTGCAGGCGTTCTGTCAATCAACGGCCCAGGGGAAGCCGATCGAGTGGACCTCGCTATGGCCGTCGCTGGTCAACCTGCCTTGCCGCTGGCTTGGTTGCGCCTCCCCTGGAGTCAGGGGTGCGCCGCTCTTAGTCCCACACTCTGTAGGGAAAATTAGTCAACATGTGGGCAGTTCAATGTGAAAATGTGGAGAAACAAAAAGATTCGCAATGGAGTTAGGAAAGCCCAACTGGACCAATACAGGAGGGCAACCTGGGGGAATTTGATCCGCGTTTCTACCCCTCCCCTCTTTTTGGGAGCAATTCTCCCTAGTCTGATGTGACAAACCGCAGTCCAACTCCACCCAAATGATCCATGCCAGCACCAACAAGTCAGGGTGGTTTCTGCGCCAACAGCTGGCCTTTGGCAACACTATTGGCTCTTGGATTGCTCAGCGTGAAGGACAACCATACCCCTAGAGTGGGCCGTGTGAACTGCTCAGGTCGAGAAGTTTCGGGGTGACATCCCCCCCATCCACTCGAGGCCGCGTGACAGCTGTGACAGAGCCTTTTTTGACAGACAGCTGCAAGAGAGTATATGACAGACGGCAACGCAAACAGCCGTGACAATTCTTGAAGTTTGAGGCTCCCGCCTATGACACGCCAGAGCCTGAGACTCCTGCCACAGCCAGACAAGGACAGCTGTGACAGGCCAGTGGCCGGACCAGGAGCGCGCTGTGACAGTCACAGGCCGAATCCTGCTAGTGTCCAGACCATGCGACACCTGTAAGAGCGGCGCTGGTTCAGCGGCAAGCCTGAGTTTGGTGACCTCCCTCATTGGCAGCCATGACAACAGCATCAAGTCTTGTCAGTTGAAGGCTTGGCAAAGTGGCGTCCGGGCCTGTGACAGGCAGAGCTGTGACAGTCCGAAGACTCGCGGAACGGCTTCCAGTGGCCGGACCGGGACAGCTGTGACTGATCGTTTTGCTGCTGCGCCACTTCAACTATGCAGCAGGGTTTGGCTTGTCAGGCTATGGTCCTGGCACGCAGGCAAGACTGTAGAGTGACGCCCAGGCAGCTGCTTAGAGAGGACTACCGTTCTGTTGCTGACACTAAACATAAGCATCACAGGCGCGTTAGTTCGGACTCTCGAAAGGATTTTCCGCCATGGTGCAAATATCAACTTTGCAATTTCTTACTTGTGTTTTCGTCAGTTGCCACCATTCACCAGCAAGCGTCACGCACAGACTATCGTGGATGTCGCCACAAGTGGCTTGCTTCTCAACTCGGTTCGACTGAGATTCTTCACTGTCGCATGAGCCAGCAGCATTCTTGAGGCCCGGTCGGATTGACCTTTTGGTGTCTGTGTGGTTGCAGTCTAGGTTAGCCAAGCAAGATTCTTGGGTGGTAAAGTATTGGTGTACGATGGCTTGTTTCCTTCTTCGGGCAACAAAGAGATGTGCAGTTAGCACAGTTCACTGCCAGCGACACCGCAGTAGCAACTGTCAACCCTCCCAGGCTTCTGCCCCATCCAGCTGGTCATTCAGACCCATTGAAGCTCAACTCGGGTTAACATCGCACATGCGTGCCATCCACTGGTAACGTAGGTAAATGTGCGTGGGGGAAAGACAAGACCCCAGCAACAGCCCTTCGTGGGTGACGTCGCGTTGAAGCTGCGATAATCTGCCGAGATGCATGCACTATGTGACGGGAACAACAAATCACCAAGCATGCTGGTGCAAAACTGGTACGCCAATAGCATCAATAAGCATTCGATACTTCAATCAAAGGCTGAACGTAGAAATCAATGTGAGAGCTACATCCCACAATGCCTCATTCATGGGGAGCTTACCCCAAAGCAGCCAGGGTTTCATGTAAGGGACGAGGACCTGAGCGAATAACTCTTGTCTGTTTGCAAGGTTCCTTCACAGAATGCGAGGATCGCACAAACTTCACCGTTTGCTTGTGCAACCTGTTCCTAGCCATCATGGATTCGACCGGAATTAGGGCTTGAGGCCACTTGTGCTTCTCAATGCCCAAACATGAGAGACCTGGAGGCAGCGAAGTTGCAAGTTGTTTTTGGCGCGGAAAAACAACTTGGCCCCATCAGAATTGAAGAGTTCAGAGAGCAACACCACCTCTCCTCTCCAATTGACAGTGCTTCTCAAAGAAACAGCTGATCAAAAACTCGTCGAAAGGTGCCGCGCACTCCCCGCCTTCCGCCCTCCCTTGCCTTCAGGCATTGCCTCCTGGCCGTGTGGCCAAAGTCTCAATGGGACGCCGATCTGAAGTTTAATCCGTATACAATGCATCGAATTCCAATGCTGAGCATGTACTTTCACACATCACGCCTCTTACAATATGGAGTTGTGAGGATGCACAAAAGCCGATCGCTGCAACAACATGTACCGCATGAACAGCGGTCTCTTCCCGGATTTGAGCAGCAGGAGCAACATCTGCGCTCAAGTTGCCCACACAGACACACACACACACACACACACACAAAATTGCCCGGGATCAAGCCCGAGTAATTTCTTGCAAGCAGCTGTACTCCTCACATTCTGAAGAGAGAAAGACCAAATCATCCGAACAATCTCCAATCCAGCAACTCCGAGCGATGGAAAGAACGAACATAATGGAACCATTGGCCCCAGGAACTCCTCTACACTCAGATTTGGGGCGAAACCCCTTGAAGCCGCAGTCAGGAAGGATGGGTAGGGCAAGGCGCTCAAAGACATGTGTTGGAGGGAAACCTGCCTTGCCCCTGTGTCAGTTCTGCATGCCAAACCAATGGGAAGTTTAAAAAAAAATACTCATAACCACCACCTCTGCCCTTTCAAGCGTCAGCTCCTTCTCCCTGGATCAGAATTGGTGAGGAAACAACACACGTCACCACATGCACACAAAAATGCAGCAGAACCTCGTGCAAAAACGCAATGACAAAGACTTTACAGGACAAACCCTCCAAATGATGTCTGCTCCATTATACTAAGCTTGAAAAGGAGTGCCTCTTCACTGGTGCTCCCTTCAATGCTTGATTCACACTGTCAAGAGCCAGCTCCTGTCACTGGCTTTTCTTTTCAGCCGCCGGTCCATGGCAGGCCATGTGAGCCACAATGTTTCCTCTTTGCCTTTAAGGTCATCGTTTCCGGCAGCTCATCTGAGTCTCTACGCAACAAACGGCTGAACACTACGTCACTGATACTATGTCACTTTCTCGCTCTAAGGCTGAGTCTTCTGTTCCATGCAGAAGAATATCTCTGGATAGCTCTGGTGCTCGTGCGATTCGCGTGACTGTCTTGACAGGGGAATTCAGGTCTCTTTAAAATTCCCCCGGGCTGATCATTTCTTTACCATGGCGAGCTGACGCAGCCGTCCGGTCACGTCCATGCCAAGCTCTAAAACCTCACAGAGCTTAGCTTTCAAGCCAAGGTGTGTTATGGCCCATGTTGGTGATCCATGACCTAACCAATCCTCCAGAAGCACAAAACGCAAACAGGAGTTCTACAGGCAGAGAATCTGATACGGTTGAAAGCTGGCAAACAACACTGCAAATGTGTGGCAACAGGCACCAGTAAGGCGACGTCTCTTACTTGCAGAATCAACGAGACATTCATTTGCGTGACCAATGAAGCTCTTGGTATGTCCACCGGAATCCTGTAAAAGACTGCTTCTCGTCACAGCGATACTACACAGAGATGCAATGAACCGGGGGTTGGCGATCACTTCTGGAAGCAAGGGGACCAGGGCTGCAATAGAAGGATTTTTATTGTGGAAAGAATGGAGAAAGTATGACACAGCAAATTACACAACAAGCGGACTGAGTGTAGCCTTGCTTTCATCCACTTGCGGATGGTCGTGCCAAGCTAAGCTGGGCACTTAGTTCGTTAACGCCTGCACAAAGCCCTTCACAGACCCTGGACAATTCCTGATCCAAGCCACCAAAGCAAACAATTGGCTCGCAGAATGATTCTATGGCCGGGTTCATATTGTCCAGGGTCTTTTGAGGTGCAAGCAGTTGCTAAGCTATATACAGTTGGACAATAAGTTTGGGCCAGTGCAGCCTGCACTCATCAGATTTCGGGGGCCTTGGCTTGCAATTGCTTATCTGCAGGGTACACCACAACGAGCAAATGCTCTTACGTTCATTGCCGCTGATCATTCCACAAATTCACATCGGCCATGAGTGTCTGTAGCGTGTCGATGCGCAACTCTCGTGCTCTCTCTCTCCCTCTCGTCCGTTGTGCCGCTGAGGACAGCTTAGCGATGGTGCAGCACTGTGGCAGCAAGAGGCCAACGCGGGTTGACTTAGAACACAAGTGAGGGGGGGTGGGGGGCTAGAGGGTCAAAATCCAGAGCAAAGAACACCACATGAAGGACTGGACAATAGATTCCGCTCGATGGACACATTGCCTGCAAAAGAACCTATGATATGCACCGTCCGCAGTGCGCTGCAGCCTGTTTGTTCTGAGCCTATTCACGTGGATGGCAGCTCGCAAGAAGCTGCATGCTTTGTGACGCAGGTTGCCGAAATGTAGTGTGCGCAAAGCCCCGAGGCAAACCTCTTGCATGCTGTTCACTCACGTCCAAGTCCATGGTGAATCAAGCACTGGCGAACAAGCAGATCCGTGCAACTGGGATACCCCTCACACATTCTGATCTGGCAGAAGCTCAGGCAGCACTGAGTGGTCCATCTGGATTCGTCACGTGCCCTCAACGCCAACTGGCCACACCAGCGGCCGACCAAAGATTCCGACATTGGATTGGTATCAATCTGGATTTGTAGCTGTGTACGACGAGCGTGCGACGAATCGGGGCTGCGAAAGCAACCAGCGACACCAAAGGTTCAAGAGAAAAGCAATCATTTGCAAGCATTGCAAGCACCGTCTCTGGCGGTGTGACTGACAAATCGAAAGCTTATCTGGCAATGTCCCATGGAAAGGCCAGCTGACTGTGCCAAGCTTTGCGAAAAATGCAAGCCAAGGTGCCCATCCCTCCCACGCTCGGCCCAGGATGTTGGGATCTGTCCTCAAAGCGAAACCATACTCCAGCCATCCCTTTTGCTTTTTGGGCGTGTGCCGATGTGCGATGCTGATGCTGGCTTGTGCATCTTAAAATATGTAGAAGATGAAGGTGCGCAGGCTTTGCACACAGATTCTGGTCGGCCAACACTTACACCAGAGCTTGCCAAGCAAAGCAACGGTTGCAAAGCAACGGTTGCATTGGAATAGGGATCCTTGAAGGCCATCTGGGTTGCAGATTGAAACCATACAGCAAAACCTGAGTACCCAAGAGTACAGCTGGGGAGAGTTTTGGTGGCTTGCCACTTCAGTCCGAAAAGCACAAAGTCGGCCGATTCCAAACTTCTCTGTCTTGGGCTCGCGCGCTTGGCGAATCAGGCAATCCGCCTGCGCGAAGTTGTTTAAAGGCGCTTAGACCTTGTCGCAGGACTCATGCTGACACAGGACACAAGTGAGCGGAAAACCTAATACGTGGACAACCATTAATTAGAGTCGCGGCGCCTTGTCTGAAGTTGCTTCTTCAGCGTCACTTTCCCGACATACAACACAATGCGCAGCGCATGGCTGTTTCTATTTGATGGCTAAGATGCCTTTGCGCAAGCGTGGCACATGCACAGGACGCATCGCTGAAAGCAAGGTTGAAGCTCTGTAAGCAACATGCAGGGACGTGGGGCTTGCTTCTCAGACAGGGGTCTCTGGCGAATTTGCTGGCTTGTCTCGGCATGCCCATTAAGACGGTGCAGATGTTTGAACTGTGCAAATAACATGCGGATTTCGAGAACATGCCATTTTGTTGACCAGCATTTGCGGAAGCTGATCATCCCGAGGTACTGATGCTAGCTTCAGCGACAACAGCAAGACAGGGTTGCATCTTAGGTGAAGACGGCACACCAAACAACAACATCAACTCTGTTGTCAAACGTGATAGCTCAAGTTGGCGATGGCAACCCCCAGCGACCCCAGGGTTACTCGGGAACATCTCAAGTTGGGAGTGGTGTGCAATGCAACCACTCCCGCCGTCGCCTGTTCTGCGGGCGACAGGCGGCGTCGAAGCTGGTACACCTGGCTTCGACTCTCTCGAGCTACAATCGCCCCACATCCGCGACCTGTGACATTCAATATGCAGGAAGTATACATGTTCACACAATGCAAACTGAATCAGCCAGTCCTGCGATACCAGCATGACAAAATGCGTGTTCCTGTTGGAGACCCATCCCTTGTTTGCCTTGTTTGCAAGGCTTGGCTGATTCCGCAGGCCCATGTGGTTCGCTAGCAGAAAGGATTGGGTGCTTTGAGACCTCAAAGTCGGCATGCAATTCCTCGCACCTTCGCCCGCTCAGCGTCCTGGCGCACATGAGCACCAAACTACACGATGCATCTCAACTCATCACTCTGGAGGCTCCTCCAAGCCAGCCACCATCACTTCCAGGGGCTTCTGCGGCCGCCTGCCGAATGCTCAGTCCGATCTCTCAGGCAGAAGTCCGAGAGTGCAAGGCTCACGGCGTTTAACCAGCCCAATTAACGGCAGAAGGTCTGCAACAGGTCTGAAAACTCAGCTCAACAGGTCTGAAAACTCAGCCATGCAACAATCCCACTATGTAAAACGCCCTGGCCGCAGCCTATAGGACGCTCCTCTCACAGCCCCGAACCGGTGCCTCGATTTGATTTTGTTTGTCTCCAATGGCTCGAGCAAATGCCAAGAGCAAGAAGCTGTAGCCGCTGCCTAAAAGCTCAATGCCAAATGAGTTGCGAAAGCCAGCTGAACTTCGGCATCACTAGCAACTGGTGGTTCATGGCAAGAAGACCTTTGAGAAGGGTTCAACCATTCGGATGCGGAGCGTAGGCGTGATCTTCCTGGATGCTGATCGAAGGGCATGATTTCTCAGGCTTTGCTCAGTGGCTTTGTCTGCAATTAGTGGAACCCTCCAAACTCGCGGGTTTTCTTTGAGTCTCCCTTTTACAGCCACCAAAAATTGGCCTCCTCCAAAAACAAATTGACCGACCGACCCCAGAGCCTTGGGAAAAGCTGGAAGGGCTTTTAGGAGAAGAGGTGACCCAGCGGCCCGTGAAAAACTACCCAAAAAAAGAACGGCCGCCTGGCCAGCTCCTTCACCCAGGGCGTCCTCGGCGCGCGCGGTGGTTTTGGGCTGCGGCATGCGAGGTTTCCGCGTGGTTTTGGAATTGCGAGGCTTCCTTCCAATTTCATGGGGGCTGGGGAGGGAAGGGAGGGGAAGGGAGCCCACCCTGATTAGGGGCTTAATACAGGGTTTTTGGGGCTCCCTCCCCTCCTCCCTCCCCCCCAGCCCCCCTGACTTCCAATTAGTGTTTGGATTGGCGGTTTGGTGGCCAAGGTGGGGGTTTCCGATCTACCTCTCAAATCCCAAACCACCAATCCAAGCCACCAACTAAGGGTTGCTTGAATGACTCAGCCGTTCCCCCAACAATCACTGGCCCCCTAATAATAGTAGCAATAACAACAAGAAAAATCATCATCATAATAACCATAATGAGACTACTACTACTACTACTACTACTACTACTACTACTACTACTACTACTACTACTACTACTACTACGACGACTACTACTAATAATAATAATCTAAATAAATACAATTAAAAATAATAATAAATAAATACAAAAATAAATGAATGAATGAATAAATAAATAAATAAATAAATACATGTATAAGAATGATCAAACATAAATAAATAAATAGAAAATAAACACATAAATAAAATATATAAACAAATAAATAAATGAGTAAATAAAAATATAAATCAATAAAATAAACACATAAATAAATAAATAAAAAATAAATAAATAAGTAAATAAGTTAATACATAAAAAACTAAATGAAAACCCGACGGGGGATTAAACAAAGTTGCTTATTCACAACCCAAAGCAGCACAAAAGCATTACCCTTTCCGAGCCTCAGGGCACACTCAAAACACGAAGGCACCAACATGAAATGTAAAGCCAACGGGACTTTAAGCAAAACCAGACTGGCGAGCTGCTCTGGCGGGATACTGGCGGGATCCACTGGCGAATTCTGGCGAGCCGCTCCGGCTCGACACTGGCCGGATGCTCGGCAGGATCCAGCGGCAAGGGATACTCAGCGGGATCCACTGGCAAGCTACTCTGGGATACTCAGCGGGATCCACTGGTGGGCTGCTCTGGCGGGATACTCGGCGGGATCCACTGGCGAGCCGCTCTTGCGGGGGATCCACTGGCGAGCAGCTCTGGCGGGATACTCGGCGGGATCCACTGGCGAGCCGCTCTTGCGGGGGATCCACTGGCGAGCAGCTCTGGCGGGATACTCGGCAGGATCCACTGGCGAGCTGCTCTGGCGGGATACTCGGCTGGCGAGCAGCTCTGGCGGGATACTGGGCGGGATCCACTGGTGTAGAAGCATCGCAAACGCGGATTCCAACATAAAATCTAACAACCCCTTCCTGTCGGGTGGGGAATAAATCAATAAATATAAATAAACAGCTAAACAACTAAATATACAACTACATAATAAACACACAACTAACTCAATAAATAAATAAACACACAAATAAATAAAACAACAAATAAATAAGTAAAACCATTAATAAATGAAGTAAATAATAATAATAAAAAGAACAAGCAATACTAATCACAATAATAATAGCAATGATTTGATGTTGTCCAAAATCCAAAGTCGCAATACTAAATTCCCTTAATAAGCCAAGTCTAAACCGGTGCTGAACTTGCAATTTCTCCTGACTCAAAAAAAGGCGGGGCTCCCGACACCTCCCAATAAATATGTGTTTAACCCCAGTTGTAAGTTTTTCTTTAGGGAGGGTGGGGGCCGAAACAAATCAGAACCCGTTTCCCCGCTTTCGGGCCAAGAAATTCCTTTGGCCAGGAAGTTGGCTGGCACCATCGTCCAATCCTGTTGAGCTATTGGAAAACCGAACGCATCGCTTGCAATAAGTCACCAACGAATTTGAGTTGCTCCCCTTGTAGGCAATAAGGCGTGGAAAGCTTTCCATCCATGAGTGTTTTGGAATTAGTAGGCGACAAGGATTATACGCCTGCATGTCTGATTGTTGGCTGTGATGCGAATATTCCTTTCCGGTCAAGCCATTGCGCACACCCAAATTGTTTGCGTTCCAATCAAAAGGATCACTGCGGTTGCATATCAAACGGCATCAATCAAAAGCTTGGGGACACTCAGTGGATGCCTTGCCGCGTGTTGTGATTTGCCGCATTGGGCAGCGAGGTGATCCCGAGGCTTCCAAACAGCCCGCATGAAGCCTAGCCTGCCAGCCCGATTGAGGTAGGAACACACACACATTTTGGAGAATGCAAAAAGAAACATGCGCAGAGACATCATTGACTACCCGATCTTTCAAGGAGCGCTATTTGCAGTTGGCAATGGTCTCCCATGGTTGCAAACAGTGTAGAACATGCTGGAAGAAGCGGCGTCCATGGCGTCCATGCCATCCCGTGCACTGAACTGCAAACTCCAAGACCACAGCAGCGGACAGGCAGCAAACATTTGGGCCGCTGGCTGGTTGTCCATCAGCTCATCTTTCAGAATGAGGGCAGGGTGCTGGCCCTGACAGCCAACGCAGAATTAGCATGTTCTTGGAAAGGCTTGTATGCGCGGTGCAGAACCTCCCCCTCGCAAGAGTCGACAAGTATGTTGCCATTTCGGAAGCGGCTCAAAATTTAAAAGAGCCAGGGTTACGCAGGTGTTGACCTTCGTTTCCATGTACCTAGCCATTTTGGGTACACTTTTTTGAGCCACATTTCGGAAGCGGAGAGTGTTTGCAGCCCACCCGAGGTTCACAGTCCTGACGCAGGGGTTGCTATTTGATGCGGGGGGATGTAAGAGACAGCCTCTGTGGAGCTCATGGACTTGTGGACCTGAACACGCGATTCCCCGGGTGTTTTAGCTCCCAAACAACCAGCTGCTTCTACTATATATAGATATACGTTATAATAACAGTAATAAGAAGAAGATGAAGAAGAAGAATGGGATGTATATGATACAATATTACAATGTTCAAGTGGTCTTTCACGCTGCAAAGATCTCCGCAGCACTTTGGCGCTTGCAACACAAGCCCGTGCATATCATAGGCCCTTGCAATGAGTGGTTTCAAGCCCTGGCACTCCTTGGCTCGTTTGTTCACCAGCCCGCCAGCGCTGGCCTGAAGCCGTTGCAGCAGGAACTGCAGGCGCCGCTTCGGTAAGAAGTCCAGGTCCGTGAAGCCCCGGCGCCTCGACCTGACGGGCCGACCGGGGACGGGGGCGTGGGCACTGGTTTTGTAGTAAGAAAGTCCAGAGCCGGTTTGCATAAAACATGGACACAGCTACACAAGAGAGTTACTCAACAAAACAGAAAGGCGTGTGTAGCCTTGGACCACTTAGAACAAATTAAATAGACTTTGCACATCTAGGACGGCGATTCCGCTCTAGCCAATCTATCACAAGTTGTGTGAGGTCAAAGAATTGCACAAAGCCTGAAAGAACTTCTTCCTTCGTTTCTGAATTCCTGCAGACTTCATGACTTCGAAGGGCTCGCAAGTACCTGGCGCGTTTACTCCCAATCATGGAAGCTGACAGGGGTTCGGGAAGACTACTTTCCAAAATCGAGAGCTTTGTCCACTTCCATGATTGGAAACCCTTCCCCTTTTCCCTCTGCGCATCATGGACTTGGCCGGCGCCCATTTTAGCGCCCCTGGCTCTTTTTTTTCGGGCAACTGGGATGCGCGTGAGCTGCACCCTCAGCCGGGAGATAGAGCCTCTTGACACCAACAGGCTGGTCTAGAGTGAGAAAAGAAAACATGCGTGACTGCGAACATAGAATTCCTGGTCCTGAAGTGAGAACTCCAATGGTTGACAGTCAGAAATCTCATGCTCTCACTGGCACAGCATCTCACGCCGCAAAGCGCATGCATTCCCAGTGAGCCGGAAGCTATTTCAGCAGCTAGGGATGTTTGCAGGATACATGGAGCAAAAGTCGTGCCGTTCTCTTTTTTATGGCTGCATGGGCAGCTTTTCACTTCCAGCTTCGTGGAGAGGAAGACGGGAGGATGCTCAAGCTACGCAAGTTTGACGAAATGCTTAGAGAGCAGCAAATGTCGAATGCAGCTGTGTTCTGAGCAATCGACTTGGTTGGTGCTTGCTAGTATTCGGCTTAAACGATGGCCAGCCTCAGTGTGACAGACAGTATGGCAAAGAGTAGATCCCTGTTTTGTTTCCCGGCAATCTGGAAAACAATTGTTGATTGATTCTGAATAATGGGTTATAACACTGCTATCTGGCCCTGGCAAAGAAGCGCAATGGGGCTAGGCGCTAAGGGATCTGATGTATTGGTTTGGTAAATCCATGCTGGGCAAGCCAGTGACATGTGTTGCATCCAGCGTGGCTTTTGCGCAGCTTTGACAACACCCTATGCTACAGATTGGCCTTCTCAAAGGCTGACGCAAGATCTCAGCGATTTTTGCGCGTCTCCCTTTTCTTCTTGCCAAACCGAACACTCGAAAGAAAGCAAACTGGACATAGCCCACATTGTGCTTGCAACCAACCCCGGCTCTTTTGCACCGGGCCGTTTTGCCGTGCAACTCCCCTGGCACATGAGCAGCGACAGGACTTTGCTTGAGATCTTGCTCGAGACATTGTCCCAGTACACTCGGGGGGTTCTACGTGCTCCGATCCGTGCGCCACGAAAAAGCTAAATTCAAATCAAGGCTTCGCCGACCTCAGAGACACTTTCGCTGACGCCACAAAGCGCCATGGCCAAGCATCGGTGTGCGCTTCGGTTCCGCGAAGTTGCCACGCTCAGACACGCTCGACCCCCAAAGCACTGCCTAAACTGCACGGGTATGGGCCGGTAGAGCTTTCGCCTTCCGGGTACCAAGGGCATTCTCAGAACTGAGCCCACCAAAAGAACAAAAGTGGGCGGTCCCGTCCCGCTGAGCACGTTTTGCATGCATCCACTGTGAGCAAACTGCTTGTGTTCCTGTGGCGTCAAGCACGTTTCGAACTGCATCCATAGGGCCAAATGTGTGTGCTCGCTTCCCACTGAGGACGTGTCCACCCATGGACAAAGTCTAAGCGCTCTCTTAGAGTAGTATACCCGTGAAGCAGCCTGACACTATGCACCAGTGGCAGCCTGTCAAGGCATTGATTGGATTCTTAAACACTAGCGAAGCCCACTAGTCGTTTGTCAAACCTGAGCAGTGAACAAGTTCAGCGGCCAACATGCCTTGTTGACTGAATGTGCGGGTTGGCCTCAGCAATCCAGCAATCATCGCTCTGCTACTTGGATTCGCGCTTCCAGACTGCAAGCTTCTCGTGCACGGACCCGCAACGAGCTCTTTCAAAAAGGAACAGTATTGGGACTTCGGTCGTGTTTCAAGTTCTTTTCTCAGCGTGGTGGTTACAAACAGATTCGTGAAGTCTCAAATCTAAGCACATCGCATGGATGAGGCTTCAACCCAAAACGAGGTCGTCACTGAACCCAAAATCACGAATCTCACACATGCCATCTTTGACGCTACATTTGCATGAAGCTTCTCTTGGATGGCTGTCAAAAACAAGGACCACTTCAAGAAACTGCTGGCCAAGCTGCTCATCTGACCATAACCGGCGCGCGGAAGGCCGGCAGCGCGCGAGCCTCCTGGCGACTGAATCCAACAGCCCGCCTGAGCCGTGGTTTTCGGTGATTGTTCGGGGCCTATCACTGAAAGGACCTACGCAAAGGCGACGTGGCTTTCTTTCCCCTACGGAATTCGGATTTTGGCTGCGCACAGGCTAAGGGAACTTGCAAATGGCCTTTTTCCCGCAACTTCCGAGTCAAACGAAGAAGGCAACGGCGCAATTCGCTTTGCCGTTCCTTCTGGAAGATGCTTGCTGAAGAGGTAGTAGTAGTAGTAGCAGCAGCAGCAGTAATAGTCGTGGTAGTCTGAGTAGTAGGTAGTAGGTAGTGAGCAGTAGGTAGTCAGGCAGGCAGGCAGGCAGGCAGGCAGGCAGGCAGGCAGGCAGGCAGGCAGGCAGGCACGCAGGCACGCAGGCACGCAGGCACGTAGGCAGGCAGGCAGGCAGGCAGGCAGCCAGGCAGCCAGGCAGCCAGGTAGGTGGTTTTGTTATCGCAAATGGCTGTGAAACTGGACACGTGGGAAAGTGGACTCAAACAGACCTTGGAGGCTCTAAGCTGAGGCTACGCAGAACCCACGCAAACTTTTGTCTGGCCCGACAGTCCGACCAGAACACAAGCAACAACTCCCTTTCTTTGCACAATGCAAGGTTTCGACATAGGCCTTTAGTTTAAAACAAAGGGGTTACATGGCTACGAGGCCCATCAACGCGGTCCGAGGACGCGCAAGGCAACTCCCGCTCCTTTGAGCTCCATCATCTATAAGAAACTGATCATCTGGGGGGTCCCTTACCACTGCCTTCGGGTTTGGCAGTCTCTAGAACGCTGGTGACGAAAACAACATGCCTCTGAACCACGAAAGCATGTCCTTATCACATCTGAGAACAACCGTGTTCAAAGTCCCATGCCTGCTTCGTCTTGTTACGCTACACATGTGCGCTTCAGGGTGCTCTCGCAAAGGCGCTAAAATGCCTTGGAGGATCAAGGAGCTGGCGATTTCTCTCGCTTTGAGACAGCTGCTTTGGTACTTGGGACGTGAAACGCGCCCACAGAGAAAGTGCATCCTCTCTTAGGTTTAAGTCAGGACCCTTTGGTTCCAGCCAGTCTTCAAGAGAAAGATCCGCCGACCCCTGCTCCTGAAAGGGGGAGGCGCACGGGAAGGGTGCTGCGGATGCGTTGCCACGATGATAGTTATCATCACCATTCGGGATGCAGAGGATGCTACGATGATAGTTATCATCATCATCATCATCATCATCATCATCATCATCATCATCATCATCATCATCATCATCATCATCCATCATCATCAGCACCACCATCATCATCATCATCATCATCATCATCATCATCATCATCATCATCATCATGCGTGGACATGATTAGTGATGCTGATACGTAGTCGTCACCATGTCTTTGTGTAGTATACATTTCAAGTGTGGCGTTGGAGCTCATTGGTGATGCAAAAGATGCGTGGACATGATTATCATGATGATGAGATTGGAGATGCAGAGGGTGCGTAGTCATCGTTATCATCATGACTGTTGGTGATGCAGAGGATGCACGATGTTGGTTATCATCGATGATGATAACAGTGATGATGACGATGCAGAGGGTGCGTAGTCATCATTATCATCATGATTGTTGGTGATGCAGAGGATGCATAATGATGGTTATCATCGATGATGATAACCGTGATGATGACGATGATGGGCCACGGCTATGATGAGGATCCTTTTCTTTTTCATAATGCAGAGGGTGCGTAGTCATCATTATCATCATGACTGTTGGTGATGCAGAGGATGCATAATGATGGTTATCATCGATGTTATCTTTTTCATATACGATTCAAAAGTCCCGTTAGAGCCGATTGGAGATGCAGAGGGTGCGTAGTCATCATTATCATCATGACTGTTGGTGATGCAGAGGATGCATAATGATGGTTATCATCGATGATGATAACCGTGATGATGAGGATGATGGGCCACGGCTATGATGAGGATCCTTGTCTTTTTCATGTACGATTCACAAGTCCCATTAGAGCTGATTGGAGATGCAGAGGGTGCGTCGATCATTATCATCATGACTGTTGGTGATGCAGAGGATGCATAATGATGATCATCGATGATGATAACCGTGATGATGACCATGATGGGTGAGGATCCCAGTCATGATGATAATGATGACTACGCACCCTCTGCATCTCCAATCAGCTCTAATGGGACTTGTGAATCGTACATGAAAAAGACAAGGATCCTCATCATAGCCGTGGCCCATCATCCTCATCATCACGGTTATCATCATCGATGATAACCATCATTATGCATCCTATGATAATGATGACTACGCACCCTCTGCATCTCCAATCGGCTCTAAATCGTATATGAAAAAGATAAGGATCCTCATCATAGCCGTGGCCTCTGCATCACCAACAGTCATGATGATAATAATGACTACGCACCCTCTGCATCTCCAATCGGCTCTAACGGGATCATCATAGCCGTGGCCCATCATCGTCATCATCACGGTTATCATCATCGATGATCACCATCATTATGCATCCTCTGCATCACCAACAGTCATGATGATAATGATGACTACGCACCCTCTGCATCTCCAATCGGCTCTAACGGGACTATTGAATCGTATATGAAAAAGATAAGGATCCTCATCATAGCCGTGGCCCATCATGGTCATCATCACGGTTATCATCATCATTATGCATCCTCTGCATCACCAACAGTCATGATGATAATGATGACTACGCACCCTCTGCATCTCCAATCAGCTCTAATGGGACTTGTGAATCGTACATGAAAAAGACAAGGATCCTCATCATAGCCGTGGCCCATCATCGTCATCATCACGGTTATCATCATCGATGATAACCATCCTTATGCATCCTCTGCATCACCAACAGTCATGATGATAATGATGACTACGCACCCTCTGCATCTCCAATCGGCTCTAACGGGACTTTTGAATGGTATATGAAAAAGATAAGGATTCATCATATCATCGTTATCATCACGGTTATCATCATCGATGATAACCATCATTATGCATCCTCTGCATCACCAACAGTCATGATGATAATGATGACTACGCACCCTCTGCATCTCCAATCGGCTCTAACGGGACTTTTGAATTGTATATGAAAAAGATAAGGATCCTCATCATAGCCGTGGCCCATCATCGTCATCATCACGGTTATCATCATCGATGATCACCATCATTATGCATCCTCTGCATCACCAACAGTCATGATGATAATGATGACTACGCACCCTCTGCATCTCCAATCAGCTCTAATGGGACTTGTGAATCGTACATGAAAAAGACAAGGATCCTCATCATAGCCGTGGCCCATCATCGTCATCATCACGGTTATCATCATCGATGATAACCATCATTATGCATCCTCTGCATCACCAACCTTATCTTTTTCATATACGATTTTTCATATACGATTCAAAAGTCCTGTTACAGCCGATTGGAGATGCAGAGGGTTTTTTAGTCATCATTATCATCATGACTGTTGGTGATGCAGTCCAACTGAAGGGGCCCTTAAATATGAGCTCTGGACAGAATTACTTTCCTCAAAAGGGCGTGGAAAAATTCTTCGTGGGCCCCGATGTCCCCAAAAGGCTACCCATAAGTTAGTCGATGCTTCAACTCTGGGTTTGAGGGCTATTGGCAGTGCTCACGCGGCTCCTCTGCGCTCAATGGTCTCACCAAGGGTCCTAGGGTAACGCACAAGGCGTCATGGTGTTTTTTGTTGATACGAACCCTTCTTTTAAACCTCAGTGAGCAGCCTGATCCTTTTCGGATTCCCAGATTCCCAGTGTCAGAGAGAAACGGAATCAAAAACGAGGAGGCTACCAAAGAGACAGCATAGAAGGGGGGCGCCGCGCAATCAAAATGTCACTTTGCGTTTCTTCAATTTTAACATGGCGGGCTTTGATTCTGATTGGGCTGCCATAGTGTACACACCAAGTAGCAAGTAGCAGCCCCTTCTCTCAACAGTGTTGCATTTCATGAGCCATTCAATCCGAATGGTACAGCCATTTTATCCCAGCGTGAGCTTGTACAAAATGGCTTTGAGATTTGAGCGACAAGACAGGGTGGCAAAGCCCTGCGCAGCCAGGCACGAAGGGTCCAGACTCGCACAACACCATAAACTGGCAATTTTGAGATGAAGGCCATACATAACAGGATCAAGATCTCCAATCGATCTTCGCAAAAAGGCTGCATGATCAAGATCTGCAATACAAACAAGAGGGGCTGCCAGGCCTTCGCGAAAAAGGCCCAAAAGATCCGACTCTCTTCGAGCGAAGCGGCTGTGGCCATCGAGTTCGACACCTGAGAGTGGCTCGAGCGCAGACCTTTGGGGGTCTCGTCTTTAAGGTTGGACCCCCCAAATGTGTGGTTCTCCTTTTGGTGTCCCTTGAACACCAACCCAAAAAGGGGTATACCCCCCACCCCCCGCAAAACAAAAGACGGGCACACAAATGGCAACTCTATTTGAAGCCCGGAGTAAACTGCCTCAACCTGAGATTTTCAAACATTCACCTGGAAGCTTCACAGATTCATCCAAAATGTCCTTTAAGCAATAACTGTGAGCCTGTGCGAAGCCTCCCACCACTAACATGCAACATAAGAGCTGCCTGTCAAAAAGAGAATGATCATGATTAGTCTTCCATTGGCCGTCAGATTCGACGCTAGTAGGAGTCACCCACTGTACGTCAGTCCTATTCCATCGCTCCAGCCCGACGCTGGCAGGTTTGCGCGCGTCTCAAACATTTCCTTCTAAGGACTCCTTGGCAAACCTACGCATCGATGTGGGTGTCAAAAATAGGGTAACCCCAAAATGGCTTGCACTGGTACATGGAAACATGGACTAAGACCTGCGGTCCGATTCCTGGCGGCTTCATTTTGACCCATACCCATGTAACCAAGAAAATCATCCAAGAGCTGCAAGCACCATGCTTGGTCTGGTTGCACTCGTGGCAAATGTCAGGGCAAGATGCTCACCCAGCCGAAGTCGGGGCCATCCCCTCTCAGGCGCCGGAAGTGCAGCCTGTTGCCCTCAAGGGACAGCTCCTGAGGCTCAGAGACCCTGGCTGTGGTCGTCAAAAACGAGGCAACCCCAAAATGGCACCCTGGTAAATGGAAACAATGACTAAAACCTGTGGTCCAATTCCTGGTGGTTTAATTTTGACCCATGCCCAAATGAAGATCACTGGCAGTGCGTTGGAAACCAGCTTGCTCAAACCTCAGTGTTTCTTGGTGCTTGTCCTGTCACGAGAAGTAGTAGGTGTGTGATTGGACAATGCTGCAAGACGGTCACAAATAATCCACCAGGTCACAAGAAATTGTGCTCATGTGTGACGGCACGGCACAAGTTCAGCGGCAGATTCAGCATCTTGCATCTGCACCAGGCACCAGGTACAAATAGGTTCACATTCTGCATAGTAATCCCGAATGGGCATATCATATGCTGTCACTCTCAAGTAGCATTGCTTAAAACATTGGGTCTCGTCTCGTCACATGCAAGCAACCCTCAACTTGCCATGGTAGTTTTCCGACTCGCAAAGATCGGCGGCTGTTCCAAACCCAACGCCTGCTTAGCGTTCGCGGATTTTGACGCTTGCACTCTTTCACGTTGACTTGTTTCAACAGCTCTGACTCCATCTTCGTGTCTCTGTCTTCGGCCCAGCTAGTGTCCTCCAGCCAGCACCCGAAGGTCAGGCGCACGTGCAGTGCCTTGCAGGCTGCATTCGGAACTCGTGGAATGCATCAAAGTGGCTTGATAGAAATCCAGGGGTCGTGAAGGGACAGGCAATCCCATCAGAGTGTAACGGCAGGTCGTGAGCACTGCTCAGAACAGCAGCTCTACGGCAAGCCTGAAGGCCTCGCACAACGTGACTAGGAACTAGTCTGAAAAAAGCCATGGCATCACTTTGGAGATTGAAGCCCTTTGCCAAGAAGCAAACATGTTAGTGGAAGTCAAGGGATTGCCGATCACTTGAAAGGCAAGTAAGTATTCCAACCTGAGGGGCATTGTATGGAAGCTGCTTATCTTCTTTGGCCGCGTTCCGCTTGCGTATGAATTACTGTATATTATCTGCCGAATCAAAGCTCCACCAAACCACGGACAGCTCTTTGGCAGTTGTGCAGTAGCTTTGTGAGAGCTTTAACAGATTGTCATTCAGAACCAGAAATCGTAGCAGCTGAGTAGCAGCCAGCAGTGGTCCATTGCATGCGTGCCCATGCTATCTGCTGATTCCGTGTCTACATCTTCACACCATGGTTTGCCAAAACCACCAAGCCATGTGCAGGAAAACGACGTGTTGAAGTCGCATAAATCAAGCCTCCTGAATGCAGCCACACTGACTTCTCAGCTTAACTGGGGCTTTGTTTGATTTCAGCGCCCAATGCCCCCTCTGTGTCAAAAGTCTTCCAGCTCCCAGCCTGAGACTTGAGGCTGACGCCCGTGCGAACAATGATGCCGCTGGTGCCCTGACCTCCCACCACGATCCACTTGGAGCCCTCTCCTGCCGTCGATCCGGCCGGCGGCGTCTGCGCCGTCAAGCCGCAAACCGCAAGACGTCTGGGGATCAGGTCTTTGCTGGGCCAAGTCTCTTCCTATGACTCTGCAAGTTCAGAGTTCAGATTGGCATGGGAAAAGCCAATCTTCGCTTGACCCATAGGAATGCCAACGAAAGCAGCGCGCAATGAGACACGGTTCCTGCAGTTCCTCAAACTTGTGACACACTAAACCCACCTGCTTCCATGTCCATGTGCAATGGCGTGGATTCCACGTACTGTCGCATCGCTTTGTCCACCTTGGCATTCAATCGCTGCGAGTCTTCCGATTGGCACCCGGACACTTCCCAATTCTTCCGTGACAAGTTCCAAGGCAAGGTCAGGCAGGGCTCCCTATATTTCCCCGTAAAACATCACCCCCATCAAGGGACACTCACCTTTCATGGGCATGTTTAAAACCAGCAAAAGGGGAAAAAACTTGGGACCCCTGTCAGGGGTCGTGATACTGATCCCTTGAAAATCCCTTAACGGTTTCACAGTGCGGCCAAGGCACTTGTCGTCTGGCTCGTTTTTTCGGTCCCAAGGGCTTCTTCTCCCTCTTCCCGGTGCAAGCAGCCGACCTCAACCCCGATTTCCAGCTACTTTGTTTCCTCTCGTTGGATGGCCCACTGAAAATCTGGAACAGCCTGATGCGTGTTTCCAGCAAAGCAAACAAATACACGGACAAACAAACGAAGGCTCAGACAGACACACCTGGACGCAGTCGGACACAGACTGACACAGACAAAACCGTTCCAACAAACACTTCCATCCACAGATAGAGACATATCGACAACCAGGCAGGCAGGCAAACACGAAAACAGAGACACAAAGACGCACCCATAGACACAAACACAACCGCGCAGACTAAATAGGCAGGCAGGCAGCAAGGAGAAAGGCACACACCAGACACAGACACAGACAGGCAAACAGAGAGACAAATAGGCAGGCAGGCAGGCGGGCGGGCGGGCAAGCAGGCAGGCAGGCAGGCACGAAGGCAGGCAGGCAGGCAGGCAGGCAGGCAGGCAGGCAGGCAGGCAGGCAGGCAGGCAGGCAGGCAGGCACGAAGGCACGAAGGCACGAAGGCACGAAGGCACGAAGGCACGAAGGCACGAAGGCACGAAGGCACGAAGGAAGGCTCGCAGGGCAGGCAGGCAGGCACGAAGGCACGAAGGCAGGGCAGGCAGGCAGGCAGGCAGGCACAAAGGCTCGCAGGGCAGGCAGGCGAAGGAAGGCTCGCAGGGCAGGCAGGCAGGCACGAAGGCACGAAGGCAGGGCAGGCAGGCAGGCGCGAAGGCTCGCAGGGCAGGCAGGCAGGCAGACAGACAAAGAGACAGACAGACAGGCAGACGGACGGACGGACAGACAGACAGACAAATACAGACAAACAGACAGACAAACAGACAGACAGACAGACAGACAGACAGACAGACAGACAAACAGACAGACAGACAAACAGACAGACAAACAGACAAACAGACAAACAGACAAACAGACAGACAGACAAACAGACAGACAAACAGACAAACAGACAAACAGACAGACAAACAGACAAACAAACAAACAAACAAACAAAGAACAAAAAGATACGTCACTCACAGGCATGGTCGGGGGGAGGGGGGGGGCGCCCAACAGTGTCTGCAAAAGACTCAACCACAACATGGTTAGACTCTCATCATGGCACGTCCAAAGTAAGACTTGCACACAGCTTCCTGTATTCGCCCTTCCAGCAAGCTTTGCGCTGGCATATCCACGATTTCCGCTGGCGTATCCTGCAGTGCAAGGGGAGGCACGACAAAATGCACATCACGCAACAAGTGTCTAACCTGAGTTTCACAATGCTTCCCTGGCCCAGGCGCATGTTTGCTTACACCAAATATAGCTTTAGCAAGCAAGCTTAAAAGATTGTGCCTATGAAACCCTGGATACAATGTTACCCCAAGTTTTGGAGCTGAGCTTCCAAAATAGATTAGAGAAACAATGTAAAACATCCCTCGATCTGGGTATTTCACCCAAGCTTCTGTCAACTTTAATCGACGGTTCCTCACAATTGTTATCAAGTCTTTTTTGGAACCAACACACAACATGGTGGGTGAATTCTTCGGGTTCTTGCCGTTCTCGCTCCTTTCCTTAAGGAATATATTGGTGTCTTGTTTTGGCAGGTTACCTTGGCATTCAAGGGAAACCAACCGGAAAACTGTTGCCCCATTTTGTGGGCTCCAACCATAGGTGTCCTGTTAGGGGAAATAGATGGCCCTGGTCGATGATTAAATCACCAGGTAAACCAGGGCCCTTTATTATTACCAAAACCGTTGCCCCATGTTGCCAGCCCGCAGCCGCCCGCCGCCCAGTGTCTCCTCCTGGGTGGCCTGGACCACCGCCTGGCGCACGCTCTTTTGGTGGCGCCGCCGTGCCTCCGCCATGGCGTCCTGGCCGCGTCACGGGACCCTGGGAGGTGCTGTGGCTTGCGGCTTTCACTAAGCCGAGTGTGGCCAACCCACCAAAAAAAGATCCGAGTGGTAGGTATGTGGCCAACCCAGTAGGAAAAAAACACAAAAAGAAAAAAACCTGTGGTAGGCGGCGCGCGAAAGCCAAGTAGCTACTCAGCCTCTTCGCTCGGCTTCCCATGATTTTCAGTAAGGCAAGGGGTATTCTGCCTTCAACGCAACCTAGAAACAGTCGAAGCATCGGCAGGCTTGGGGAGGGCTATGGGGGTTGGGGTCGGGAGATGGGCTTTGGTTCGGACGTTGAGGATTGAAGTTGGCCAACTCGTAAAGGGATGTTGGTTGGGCAGTTGGGCCTGAGCGGACTCTCGTATTTCAAGTGGTTACACTGGCTACACCCTCCTTGGAGACAAGCAGAAGTAACCCCCTCACGGCCTTGCTATTGGTCGTGCCGCATGCCACCACCATCACTGTCCACCAAAGCTGATGCAAAAGCTGTCTGGCACGACAGTCTCTGAAGCAGAAGTCCGGGCCTTCCAAAGGAACCCGTGTTTTTGCCCGGAAAACACTACTTTTGGAGTGAAAAGGATCACAATGAACACAATGCGTCCTCTGCTGGTGCAACCGTACCGGCTCGCTCGAGAGGAGCCAATTCGCGCACCACAGACCAAAGGCACCAAAGGCCGAGCCTTGACCAGCTAGTAAAAGCCAAACGCAACAGAACACAAAGAACAGCCAAAACACGGGCCGTGCGGGCCAACAAAACTGTGACAGAACAAGCCCGTAGAAACATGTGTCCTAAACCTCATTCCCAAAGGCCTGATTCTCTCAACAGAAAAACACAATGCGTGTCTTCCGCGCGAATCGCACATCTCAAAACTCGACCTTCAGCGCGAACACAAGAGGACTCCTCCACCAGCTTCAGCTTCTGGCCCAGCTCAGGGAGAGCCTCCCAACCCGTTGGACAAAAATGCCAACAGAGGATTCACGTCCCATGTTGCGCGGAACCACGATGGGTCAATAAGAACGGGAATAAATCAAGAACCCGCAGGTTCAACAGGCACCAAAGGGTTGAAGAAACATGTTGAAGTGGTGGGTGGACTAAAAGTGCCAAGTGCCAACGAGTTTTGGCGAATGGCGGGAATTGTCAACGGCAGGCATCTACAAAAACGGTGCAAAGCCCAAACCATGACTGCTGAACGTAGTTGGGTCGGGGGTGTCCATCTTTTTCCTTTGCAGACCAACCCAAACAGGTGGTACCGGCTCAAAAAATAAGCGCTGCCACCTGGTTCGCCCTTGTCGCCTTCTTGCGGCTTTCCATTGACTAATCCAATCATCCGCCGCCCACCCAAAACCGAGACCTTCTGAAATAGTGTCAGTGACTCATCCATTGACTAACCCAACCATATCGCCACCGACAGGGGCCCACCCAAAACCCCAAAACCGAGACCTCAGAACTCAAGTGTCCTCTTCTTTTTTCTGAAAATACCCCCTTTTTCCGAAATTCAGAGAACCACGTCTGGCCCCGCGGAAGGTCCTCCCGAGCCGAACCCATCGCTCCACTCGCGCATCGCGCGCCGCATCGCCTCCGGCCCCTTGGCCCGGCGCAGCAGGCTGCGCTTCGTGGCCGCCAGCAGAGCGCGGTCGCTGGCAACGAGGCGCCGGGCGCGGCGTTTCGGCGTTTCTCATCGGACCTGTCTTCTTTTGTGGGGAAACCAGAAGGAAACCCGGGGTGGGCACCCCCATTTGGAGAACTCCGTTTCGTAAGAGTGTGCTTTTGTGGATGGAAGAGCTGTCAAGGGGCATCTTCTTGCCAAAGTGCTGTGAACTCATGGAAGAGTGTCCTTCATTGCGATCTTTTTCGGGGTTAGAATGAACAAGTGTAAAACCTGGCCTCGTGGTGCGGTAGAGTTTTCCTTTAGTTTCTCACCATCCCCGAACAAGGTTCCCATTTTGGAACAAGCCTTGCAAAGCGAGATGGAGTATCGACAAGCTGGAAGGCAAGCAATTGGCAATGTCTTCAATGATAGTTGGAAGTGTTGTTGGCGATATGGGCGATATGTGCGATTGTTAGTTCACGAACTGGATGTGTTAGTGTGAGAAACAGTGGGGAGTGACCCTTCGACCCTTCCTCTGGCTCACATGAAAGCATCCGCAAACTTTACAGAGGATGTAGGCGTTTCCTCGTGAACTGGTCTGGTGGCTCCATTGACCCAATCGTTGATTCGTGACTTTGCACTTGTGCCCCAAAACTTCGCCGAGTCTGAAAGCCCTTCATTGGTCAAGGGATCCTAGGGCAGGTTGAGCCACGCACACACACACACACACAAGCTAATCGCCCCAACTAGAACCAGCAACATTTGTGTGTGTGTGTGATACTCTGCATCAATTGGAAGGCTCAGCCGAATCGCAAACATTTGGAGCTGTCAGGTGCTTTTTCCCGAGCTTTCCTGTGCAAAATGTTCCACGGCTTCACTCAGCATGAGCACGCACATGAGAGTTGGCATTAGCATAATTCGGGTCAAGGACCAAGGCTAGCTATATCTGAACTGCTGAAAGCAACGCTCATGGCATTCACTTACAAAGTCTATAAACTACATACACACACACACACACAGGGTGTTTCCTACACCCCGGAGTTGCGCCCTCGGAATCACCCTATTCCAGCCTATGCCCAGTTTCTTGGTTTACTTGGGGTCTTTTCGAGTCATGTCCCGAGGGTCTAATCCCAGGGTGCAATAGGAATCCGTAGACACACGCCATTTGACCACTGGAGAAACAAGATGCCGGGCCTCTTCCAGCCAGGCCGGCTGCCTTCAGCCAAGTTTTGGTCAACTGGCCTTTGTTTCTATGACCTCACCGGTCCATCCCCGAGACTCTCCTTGCGGCTTTCTATCGAAGTCTAGGTCCAGCAGCAAAAGTCAACGTCACATGTTTCAAGGTCCACAGATCCACCTAGTTGGCAGTTGTTGGCGTCTTGGCCTACGTTTGTGGGGGTAGCTGATGCCAATGTCAGCGGAACATAGCGCAACATAGTGGCTGTTGGAACAAGTCATGAGCGACAGAGTGGGCAGTCGACCATTCATTGAAGCTGGTTCTCAAAAGGTTTACCAAAAGCGGGAGGTTCCAAGTTTGAGGCGTAACCACACTTCACATCCTCTGAACTTTTGCGTAGAGAAACTCACAGCAAAAGTGCTGGCACTTCAGAGTCACATGTCAGCCTTGCTTCCAGCCAGCGTGGCACTGCTAAATTCACATGCTGCATAGAAATCGGAGGGGCAATTCCCGCATTCAAACCAAGCTTCAACCACCGGAGTCATTCACCTAGAATGAATGCTATCTCACTTGCCCAAAGGACCTGTTTATAAAAGGTTAACCTTTTGGGACTACCAAAAATAGACCGAGGGAAAACCAAAAGGTCAAAAGGTCGATTCGCTTTGAACAACAGAATGCTATGCTTGGTGGACAACACAAATTACAAGGATACGTAGAACAACGGCGCTGTGACGCACATCAGCTGCCGCGCTTGACGCAAATGTGATGCGCGATGCGCGACCCCCGCAAGCGAATCGCCGAGCTGCTCGTGGCCCTCTCCGGCCTGGGCATTTACCGCCATCCCAATCCAACCACTAAAATAGGTTCTAAAATAGGTGGTGCACCTACCCCAAAATGGGATCCCATTGGTTTTGACCCACATGTATAACCATTGAAGGGCCAAGCAATGAAACATACCGCTAGCTTGTTATGTACATCGTTTTTCAGGTTCAAACTCCAAGTCAAAACATCTCCATCCATGTGACAGACACTCACTCACACACACACACACACACCACATGTGGGTCCGTCTTTTTTAGCGACCCCCCAAACTGGTGCTTCTTCTTTTTGGTTTCCCTTTAAACCACCCCCAAAACGGGACCCTTAAAACAACAGATCCATTTGTACTTTGGTTGACTCAAAGTTTGCAGGCTGGGCACTCCTCGTCTGAAGCCTGTGCCTGGAGAGGCGCAACGGCAAGACCCAGAGGTGCGTTTGTGGGGAGACAGGTGAGTTGGTCTTTTTGTGAGGGCCCCCCAAAAATGGTTGGTTTCCCCTGGGTTTTCCTGGAAAACCAAGACACACCCGGGTGTTTTGCCCAAATAGCAAGTCATTGCGGACCACGCCAACGGGATAAAACTTGTAGTCAGTCTCTGGATTCACCCTTGGAATCTCCAGTACGGTAATATCTTTCAAGGATCTCCTCCAAGTATTGGATCAAACAAAAGTGTATTAGAATGAAGATCACCCAACATTAAAAGAGGTGTACCAAATAAGATAGACAATGTTCCTAAAATAATGAAAGCTGCAATCAAGAAAGAGAGGAAACAATGGGATAGTCTTTACTATAAGATAATAAGATCTCATATGGTCCCAAAGAAGAGCTGTAAGACATGCAAATATACCAGAGGTAAACAATTCGAATACGTAAGATGTCCTGTACTTGAAGGTGATGACGTCATAAAAGAAGTTAATAATGGTGGATGTAATGTCATTACCATGGAGTGCCACCTCCAAATTCTGAGAAGCAAATGGCAAAATATACAACAGTAAGTATGGAGGATATACCTCTGCAGATCCTGGAAAGATAGGTACAACATTATGCCCAAATCCTCCAAACAAGCCAGGCATTACAACAAAGAAAATCATAAGACAGCCATGCAAGGCAATGCTTAAACTATAGAAGTTCTGGGTTCTGGAGATACAATCCTATTTCCTGATGAATGTAATTCTATTTTAATAGGGACTGATATTAAATCGTACCAGAGATGTCAAGGATGAATCCAAAATATAAACAATAATTTCCTAAGCCTTATTGTTTTTTTGTTCAAATATGGCAACATAATAAACAGAAATATAAGTCCATATGATTAATATGCTTGTACTTTGTACTCCTCCTTCGGGGTGCTTTCTATAGCGGACAATGCCTGAAGGAATAGATAGAATTGAGAAGTGACTTAATGAATAGAACCATGTTGAGCTCTCATTATCCTATCAACTCTGTGACCCAACAGATTAACAACCAGACACAGAGAAAGGATGGGATAACACAGAAATTGACAAGGAAACAAACTGTTTCGCCATCATGCCAAGTTTCCGTGAATTATTATGAGGAAAAATAAACTGATACATCATATTCATGGCTCACAGATATCTCGCCAGGAATTGTTATCTCTCACTCTCTTTTTATATTCTTCAAGCCTTGTCTGTCTCTTAATCAGGGTGCACTCCTTCCAGTCTTACCGCGGGACGGTCCAACCAGCAAAAAGGATCTTTGAACAGGCCATCATTTCATTTTACCCCCAAGATCTCACCAACAAACATGAGGAAACAGGGATTTTGAACAGGCCGTCATTTCACCAGTTGACCCCCAAGATCCAACAAACGACCTGACCAACAAACCATGAATTCTTTTCATCATGTTTTTCCCCCCAGCATCACAGACCTGACCAACCAAGACCCAACTTAACAGCCAAGACCCGACCTATGCCCTCCCTCGACCTCGAGGCTGCGGCTTGGCTCCTGCCTCCACCTGCTCCTCGAGGCTGGATGCCATCGCCTCACAGAAATACTCGGAGAGGCACTCCAGGTCGCTGCCCTCCGGTGGTTGCTTCACAGGACCCGAAAGTGGCCCTCCAAAACGGATCCAAACTCGAGATGTGTGCAAAAGCTGTGCAAAAGGTCTGACTCTTTAAGTCGATCTGATTCACCCCTATGTTTGGATGTTTGCAGGGTGTCATGATGTGAATTGGCGCTTTTGCCAACAACAATTTGCTGGTCTTGGGCTTAAAGCAATTGTTGACAAACAAACATGTACTTGCGGATGCCTCTTGATTGCCAACAGCTTCAAGCACATCCGAATCGAATCTGGAACGGGTTGTGTCGTCCATCCCGGACTTAGTCTACATGTTCTGGGACATCAAGTCAGAAAAAGCCCAAGCGCCTCGACAACTTATGCATAGAAACTGAGGGAGCGCATTGCCATCTTTGCCCCACTTCTTTCACTCGCTGCGAACGGCTACCAAACAAATGGGTAGGGAACACAAACTGCGAATCAACATGTTCGGCAAGCCCGGAAGAAACCAAACCAAAACCGAGTGCCTGATCGACCATGCCGGCCAAAGCATCAGGGTCAAAGCGATATTGCTCCTGTGGATCAGTGACGCAATTGTGGAGCATCGCAGTGTACCCTTTTTTGACTCAAGAGACGGTTCGCACTGGTACTGGATTCTGGAAAAGCGAAGGCCAGCAAAACTGGCCTATGAGTCAACCGCCAAAGAAAATCTTGCATCTGCAGAGTGCACAAACCATAGCTTACGCAACAGGCATGGGCGTGTAGACCTTTTGTCAGTGCCGATCCAGCCACATGCCTGTCCTCGATCTCGAGCATCTCTAGGATCTTTTCCCAATCATGAGGCTCCTGCAAAATGCTCGGCTAAGACACATGCGCACTGGACCTGGAATAGCGTGACGAATGAACACAAAGCTTCCTGAGCCACAGGGGCCAAAAATGGGTGTCGAATGGGACAGTATGCTCAAAATGGGGCGGTAGAAGGCTGGGATGCTGTCTCTGCGTCAGAAAGGTATGTTCGATCGGGAACATGCTGGCTCCTGGGCATGCCTTGCATTTGGATGACAAGGGTAAACTTACAAAGGCGGATAGCTGCCCCACCAAAGCTCTACCACAAGAGCAGTGGAGGAAACTACCTATCTGGCTCGGAATCATTGGTGGCGGTCTTGCTTTCGGGCTAGACCATCTCGCTAAACCTGCCTTTGGTTGCTAGTGACAGCTTTCAACACAAAAGACGCAAACGTTCAGTACAAGTGCAGCGCGGAAGTACATCTTGGCAGCTCCGGCTCGACAGTCGCAACTTTGCAGTTCAGCGCAAGCATTGCGCGTGAAGTAAACTTTGGCAGCTCCGGCTTGGAAGTCGCAACTTTTCCACACCAGCGCAGCACGCGAAGCACGAGTTGACAGCTCCAGCTCAGAACCGCAAGATTGCTCCCTTACTATCTATGACTGCAATAACTTGTCGGATGCTCACATGGAAACTACGTGAAAAGGGATACAAAGACAAGGTGCAAATGGGCGCTCAATGATTCACTCTGAAGCTCTTGAGCCAAAATCGGCAACCACCCTTCACTTCACATTCTTCACAGCTGGTCCCACTAAACTATCAAATACCCGACGAAAACGAGGCAAAAGGAACCTGACACTGCCCTCGTTCAAAGAGGCATGACTCATGTTCCTCATAAACACCCCTGGTGCTTGGTTGACGTTGGAAGTTAAGCGGGGATTTTCCACTCAACCACAGGAAGCAAAAATGTTTCAAATGTTTCCCAACTTCCACCATGGGTGAGGGAGGAACTGCGGTGCGCGACCGTCGGCTCCGCCGGCCCCTTCCTGCTCAGAGTCACTCAGATCGAAAGCCGGGCAGGTATCTATGCAGCCCGAAGCAGAGCTGGTCAGGGCCTGTCAGCGCGAGAAGATGCGATCATGGCTCCCTCAACGAAGAGAAGGAAGTCAAGAGGTCTTGTTTGAACACATCTGGTATTTTTCTCAGACCTCGGTCCAAAACCTACCTATACTAGTTGCTTTAAATTGACTCAATGGTAAACCAGCACTAAAGCCCAAACAACCTGGGCCGTGTCTTAATTGATACGTTTACATATGTTTAGCACTGTACTCCAAATGCCTTCTGCCAGCCCTTTCACTCCACTCTGCACACACCAATCCAACAGAATTGAACAGAAAACTGCCAGCACTCAACGAGCAACAACTCAGAAAACACTGAAACTCATAGTTTTCACTCAAACTGTTTTCAACACGGCAGGACAAGTCTGAGTGAATAGATATCAGACGAAAACACTGAAACACAAAAAAAAAGTCAAGTCGGATTTCCCTTGGCAAAGGAGTCAATCGCCGAATCCTGCGGCTTCGGAGCTCGGCTTCCTTCGGGCTTTGGTCCCATGATACCTCGAAGCCCGACTTTTGCTTCATGGAGAAGACGAGGGCCTTCTCAACGTGGGGGAAACGGATTCGCATTGCCAGACTCTTTTTGTCTGGCACCTTTCAAGGCCTGGTGCTTTCAGGACATACAACAAAACCTCCATCCTGCGTCCTTAACCAAAAAAAACAAAAACGAAGCGGCCATGTCACTTCAACATTCCAACTATGCGCTGCCTGCAACCCAGGGGCTGCTTCATCCGCTTCGCAGGTCTCTGCATCCGAATCTTCCAGATAAAAATGTATGGCGCCCCCCTTCGCGCCGAAGTCATCGCAGGCGCCCTCTGCGAAGTCCTGGCGACAAGTCCGCAAAACAGTCAACGCCAAGGCGCCCCTTTTGGGAGGCGAACACGAACCAAAGAGAAAACCCCTGTTTTGGCGTTGGTCTACCGGGCCTGTTTTGATAGGCTTCAGGACAAACCAAAAGGACAACCGCCATCCATTTTTGGGAACCCCCATTTTAATGACACACCCCAACTATCACAGTTTGTCAGCCTGTTGGGCCGGCACTGTGGTTCTCCACATCGAATACCAAATCGACTGAGCAAGCATGTCGTCCTTTGGCTTGGACCAGGGTGGCACGCCATCGGGACGGCTCATGGCCTCCCCGAGTGAAACTTGAGCCAAACACACACCACACACATGCAGTCAAATAATATCTAGAAACACACAAATGAAGATTGGATCTCTAGAAGCACAAAAGTTAGACTGGATGCTGATGGCAGCTTACTCAAGGATTCAAGCTGCAAAGCCCGTGGCCTTCAAACACATAAAGCCATAGTCTTGAGTTTAACCAATGCCCGCCAATATTGCTCACTTGTCTATGCGGCAAAGACGGGATAGCATGGTGAGCAGGTTGTTTCCGATAACTCCCAAACACCCCTTACATCGCGAACAACAGAACATAATTCCGATTCCCAGAATCTATGTTGTGGGGCATTGACAATGATTTCTGCTCTCAGCACCTCAGCACCCTCCTGTCCAATTCTAAGTCGCCACGCTCTGTAGTCCAGTCCAACAAAGGCTCTCGGATAAAGAGGGCGCACCTGCCACATCCCCAAACACTCGCCCTGCACCCCGGGGCGGAACACGCTAGAGCCATAGCACTTGGTGCTTCATTCCAGATCTTCCCTTAGTGCAAATCCGTTGGATGGGAAATGGACTTTGCCAGCGCCGCAAGAAAGACTCAAATTGGAACCTCGTGTCTCTAGGAGCTACTGAGAATCAATAGACGCGCTGGAGCAGTTTGAAATGCTCGTCGCTCGCATGAACGAGGTTCAAGCAAGATGCAACTAGATTTCGACCATTCAGGCAGCTTCCTCTCGTGCAGAATCTGTTGTCCCTGCTTCCATCGCAAACTGGCCACGCCAGCCCCCATCGACTCACATCTACTCCGTAGGTCGGCCGGAGTAGGTTTCTTCTGCTTAGCATCGGCTGGGTGCGTAGCACAGGATCCGGGAGCTGGGGCCTTGCAGAGACTTTGCTTTGAAGATCAAGGCAGCCGCCAGCCAGCAGGCGAGGGGACTGAGGCTCTGAAAAAAGTGTCAAAATGCAGCGCACAGGCTTGCCAAAAGTGGCAAACCAACGGCCACTTTTAGCGAGTGAGAAAGGCCGCAACTTGGTAGCAGCAAGGGAATCGCGTTCGTGTGCGTTGGGCCAAGCCATTTTTTGGGTCACGTGCAGGTCACTGACAAGTTCAGACAATTTGTTTGTTGCCCGCGGTTGTGTAAAGCTTGTTGTGCACGGCACCAGTGCCTGTGCTATCTCAATGTCACAAGGGTAAAGGATCCATCTTGCCTTGCCTGCTAATTTGCGCCTGCTTCGCTGAGTTAAACCGCCTTTCAGGGCCCCCAATCCTCTTGCCTGCTGCTTCTGAAGTTGCGGCCCTTCTCGCTCGCAGGCGGCGGGTTTTTCTCTTTGGCAGGCCCAGTCCCCGCAGCCGGCTGGCTGGCCCCGATCTTGAAGGCCGATGCCAACGTCAGGGCGCTTTCCTTCGAGGTTCGCTGCATTTTGCCTTCGCCTTTTCGGAGCCGTCCCCTTGCCAGCTGGCTGGACCGACCGACCAACCGACCGACCGACCGCCCGACCAAGAACCCACCCACCCACCCACCCACCCACCCACCCACCCACCCACCCACCCACCCACCCACCCACCCACCCACCCACCCACCCACCCACCCACCCACCCACCCACCCACCCACCCACCCGACACCAAGGCGGTGCTAAGCAAAAAAACATTCCGCCCGTAGGTCGTGCAACACAGAAACATGCAATAACCCATTGGATGGACACGGACACATAATTGGCTCTTCCTCAAAGCCCAACGCAATAAATTCGGCCGAGGGACACATCCAAAAGCATTCCGCTGCGCGACCGGCAAGTGCTCAAGACCTCAGCTCCAGCGACAGCTGGCCACAGAAAACTAATTGCTATGTTATGTTGGACGGAATGTGAAAATATCATTCCCGTCGCAGAATGAGCGCGTTAGAGTCACACTCTGGGCCACGACTTCGAGCAAGCGGCCTCTTCAAGGCTGTCCCTGAAGGTGCCATGCCTCGGGAAATGGAGAAACAAAAAGCCCAAGAAGAGCTGACCGCGGGGCTTCTGTCCTCGCCTCTTGAATCCTTAGGGGCCTTCATGTTGCTTTTCCGCTTGCAGCAGCATGCCCTACACAGCCATCAAACCTTATCAGCTTGCGTTCAGGCCTATCGTCAGCAATGTGGACCATTCCAGCATTGGTTGCAAGCCGCGGTTTGGCTTTTGTGGGGGGTGGCAACCACGTCGCAAGTCCTCAAAGTCAAACTGTTCGCTAGCTGCGTTTGGGACCCCCAGCGCCCAAGGGCCCGCCAGCGGCTGCAAAGCGCTCAGCAGGAAGCCCGTGAGGCCTCGCATCGTGTTCGCCTTCAAGTGACTTAAGGGAAACAGTTGGCAACGCACTGCGGCCACGCTAGTGGTGCAGAAGAACATGTTTCCTTTTTTTCCGGTGGATCCCAGTTGCCCATATAGTAGGCAACCAGCTGTTTTCCTTTTGGTCGGTAGGTGGTTCCCTTGGTTGCCTATTCTGGCAAATGGATGCGCTGGGGAAGGGAGCCACTTGCCCTCTTTCGCTTCAGCTGAGCTGCGAAACGGCATCAGCTCTGGGACTGGAAGCAAAGCTCCGATGCCGAAGGAGTAGCCGAAGTCAATCGGGACGATCTGAGGCTTTCTTCATGGCACTGCCCGGAGACTCCAAAATGACTGCTTTATGGGCAATGGTCACGTGTGAAATGACCGCACATATGGCGGGGACCCCGAAAATGGATTCCTTGGCAAAAGTCGCATGCTCTACTCCTTGGCAAGCACTTGTGAATTGCGCATTGCGAGAGGAAGTGATGGCTTCCCATGTCAATGCATCAAGGTCCCGATGTGAGTTTGCCGGTGGTCAGCACGCGCACTCGACATGCATCTGTACGACCAGCTGGTTTTGTATCATGATTGTCTTTGTACCATAACATCGATGTGTTGCTTATACACCCAACAGTTTGTGAAACCCAGAGTCGCGTCATGCATTCTGCGTTGCACTCGCCCAGCCAGCCCCAGCCTCGGCTGTTCTGAGGCAAAGCAGGTAGTTGTCCAAGTGCCTAGCCAGCGGAAAGCTTGCGCCCGCTACAAAATCCAGACAGATCCAGTGGGAACGACAAATCAATGGCCCTGGTAAATAGCAGACACCCATCTAAACCAATATGTTTATAACTACCCTAAAAAGGACACCTATGGTGGGAACTCCTTCCTTGTGCCCCAGCTAATCCACTGAGGGCTCACTGCTATGGTTCTAAACAACCACTCCGGGCCCATTTGGCTGTGGGTCAAAAATAGGGTAACCCCAAAATGCTTTCTTATTACATGGAAACATGGACTAAAACCTGCGGTCCGATTCCTGGTGGCTTCATTTTTGACCCCATTCTCCGGCCAAACCTCAACGTCACGAGCGGCCTGTCCCCAATGCCCAGCAGGTAGCAGGCTGCGCTGGCGGCGGCCAGCGAGGCTGCGAAGCGCTGCCGGGTATGCCAGAAGGCCTCGCGCAAGCGATGCACGGATTCTGGCACAAAGGCGCTTGGGGGTTGATCAAAAGGTCTGATATACCCACGAGGGAAACCACCCAACAAGGTAACTTTCACCACTTTACATGCGTAATATGGCCCTCGTTCCCTAGGGCTCTTCCCAAGTCTTGAGCCGCTGTGCCAAGGTCAAAAGACTTGGGTTTGATGGGTGTTCAACTGTGCTGGACAGAGACTTAGGGCCCTTAAGGGCTGGTCGACCTCACTCGATTTGGGTGTCTTTTTGTTGAGGGTTTGTTGGATGGTTTTTAAAAGGGCACTAAAGGGGAAACCACCATTTGGGGAGGGGGGGTCCAACCTCAAAAAGTCTCACCCGTTTAAGACATTTGTCCAAGCGCACATGACACCCATCTGTGAGGAACCCCCTCGCAGTCCCCAGTCGCGGCACGCCTCCGGACCCATTGCGCTGCTCCAAAAGAAGGCCTCGGAAACGGCTTGCGAGAAACAGCTCTCTGCCCGGCTGGAAAGCAAGGCCTGGGTCCCTTGAAAAAACACACCCACTGCTACATGGGGTTTCATAAGGGAGTCCCTCAAACCTCGTCAACTGGCCATGCGGAACAAGTCAACTCAGATGTTCCGCTGGTTGCCAAAAGGCTCAAGCATGTTTCTTTTGCAAATGTGCTTGTCCCAAAACCAAACAAGGGAAATCCACTCAAATCAGTTTGTGAATACAAGGCCCTCCTCTGCCCGAAGCGATTGGAAACAAAGCTTGACTTTGTTTGGAACCTAAACCTCTTTGACGAAGCTGCAAAGCCAAAGGTGGCCATTCTTTTCACCCATCCTTCTCTTCAGAAACCAACTATTTCCCAGGGGTTTGGCCCGGTGGGCTGAAGACAAAAAAACTCCTGAAGAGAATGTGGAAGCTACAACTGGATTTATATACATGAACGGCACAACTTCCTTTACAGTGCGGAGGATGGAAGGTGCCATCGGCCCTCCCGCCTTCAGGGACGCTGAGAGGGGCATGGCCGCCACGCAGCGCTGGAACCTCGCTCTGCCGAGTCCGACGGGCAACCGGAAACTTGCAAGCATAACACGAGCGTATGAACAAACGGTGGCGTGCATACATATATATATATATGTATACATATATATATATATATGTATATATATATATATATATATGTGTGTATGTACACATGTACCAAAATTGCATTTTCCGTGTATTGAGAGTCAAGATTCCCTGGCAAGCGAAGTCTTGAATCCTCAATCCCATCCACTTGTAGTAAGCGAAGTACACTTTGGGCGCTCCAGCTCGAGCAAAAAAGTAGTACGTCAAGTACATGTTGGCAGCTTCAACGTGCATGTAACAGCGCTGTTATCGTTGTGTACTCTTACAGTGAAAGCAGGACAAAAAAAGAAAGCCTTCAAAATTGAGAAAAACAAACACTAATTAATTCTTAGCTAAATTGCTGCTTGACATTGAAACCCCGTGCCCGTTAATTCACATTCTGATTTAAACTATGTTTGTATGATTCAAGTTACGTTCAATTTCAACTCTATTAACATACCATTTGGAAAGCAATTCCTAATGGTATGCGTTGACTTTTTTTTAAAATCTAGCTCCATCAATAACATCTATTGAAACTCAAATATGAGAAGCTGCAAGTAAGCAGTAAAAAACTCCTCAAGTTCAAACCAAATGCAGCTTTAACCGGTTGGATGTCCTGATACATTTAGAAAAAACGCAGTGAGATATCACTATTTATTTATTTATTTTTTTGAAAATTACATCAAGTTCAACTTCAAAAGGCTAATTGTCCTCATTTATCAGAGCATGGTTCCTCCCCTCAAAAAGATTGAGCAGCGTATGTCATGTTTCCCGTGAAAAATGAGGACCAAACTGGGCACCCCCTACGTCGAACCAGAAAAGCCTCTAGGTGAAAAAAAGCTTCTGGATAAACTTGAAAGTTTGTTTGGCTGGATCCTAAGTCAAGATCATTGCACAAACAATTGCAAGTTTCTTGGGCACGTTGCGCAACATGTTTGACAACCTCTCAGCTTGGTTCGCAAGAGTTGCGCAAAAAAATGTAATGATTATCAACAATCTCACAGAAAACCACTGAACAAAACAACAAGCAACGAAAAACAATCCTACATCCACCATGGCCGCAATTTGGCTTGCGTTGTTTCTTTTCTCTTTTTTTCCCGGTAGTTTGGTGTTTGGGTCCCTTGCAATATCTGCCAAGTAGAGATTCAGTTGCACTAGAAGACCGGGGGCTCGAACCATGTTCTTCCTAATACATCTTTGACACTAAGGAAGGGAGGAACTTTAGTTGATTGTATTGCGAGGGTGAAGGGATGAATGCACACCAGTTCCAGCTCAGTCGCAACCAATCAATGGCATGCGCCTCCCACATCGGGGGCCCGGGCGCTACCACGGCATCAGCTTTGGGCAACTCGGCAGTCGAACCCCGAAGCCATGCCATTCCCTTCGATAACCCGAGAACTCAAACCGACTAGCCGTCGTGCGATGTTTGCACGTGTTGCGCCTGACTCATGGGTAAGTTGTTGCCTACCTGTCACAAGTACGAGCAGTTTCTCCACCAAACGGACCCTGTCGGCTTGTCATATATGTCACCTGCCTCGAAAATCTTGGCGTACCGCGCCACGGGCTGACCCCCGAAGCGTTTCGACCTTAGCTGTGGCCCTGGATTCATGGCCCCTGAATATTTGTTGGGGGAATCTGTTTGCTTTTAGGCGAATATTGCGACGATTCTCGGCGTATCCCTCATATTTGAACAGTGAACGGTCTCCATCTGGAAGTAGTGTTTGTTCAGCCTCAGTTCCGACAAAATGAAGATGCGCCGATGTGAGCATACAATTTCCTGATTACAGGGTAATCCCGTTCTTGGGGTTCCCCTGTCTGGGGCAACCTTGATTTACCTGCTCAGTGTTCGCTGAATTTCAATGTCTGGAGCTGGCAGCAGCTTAATTGGTTCCAACTCACTCTGGGTCGGCCGCCATTCGATGCGGAGCTTGTGAGCCTGTTGCTTCAGGAATGGCCGTAAAGCACTGACATGTCCACGAACAACATGCATGACTCAAGGTCAACTGAAACCGTTGCTTGGAATGTGGCTGTGGGTGTCGTTGGTGGGGGTGCCATTGTCGTTGCTATTATCTTCGTCGTTGTCGTTGTCGTGGCCGTTGTCGTTGTGGTCGCTGTTGGTATCGTGGTTACTCTTGCTGTTGTTGATGTTGTTGCTGTTGCTGTTGCTGTTGCTGTTGCTGTTGCTGTTGCTGTTGCTGTTGCTGTTGCTGTTGCTGTTGCTGTTGCTGTTGCTGTTGATGTTGTTGTTGTTGTTGTTGTTGTTGTTGTTGTTGTTGTTGTTGTTGTTGTTGTTGTTGTTGTTGTTGTTGTTGTTGTTGTTGTTGTTGTTGTTGTTGTTGTTGTTGTTGTTGTTGTTGTTGTTGTTGTTTGTTGTTGTTTGTTGTTGTTGTTGTTGTTGTTGTTGTTGTTGTTGTTGTTGTTGTTGTTGTTGTTGTTGTTGTTGTTGTTGTTGTTGTTCTTGTTATTGTTCTTGTTATTGTTGTTGCTGCTGTAGTTGATGTAGTTGCTGTAGTTGCTGTAGTTGCTGTAGTTGCTGTAGTTGCTGTAGTTGCTGTAGTTGCTGTAGTTGCTGTAGTTGCTGCTGCTGCTGCTGCTGCTGCTGCTGCTGCTGCTGCTGCTGCTGCTGCTGCTGCTGCTGCTGCTGCTGCTGCTGCTGCTGCTGGTTGTGGCGGTTTTGCTTGGCCGTGAGTTTGAGGTTTGAGATCAACAAGCTCATGATGTGATATGCCACACAATTGCACATACACTACAATGGTATGATGTGCCCAGTTGTGCCCAGATTCTCTGAATTCACTTCCATGTTCTGCATAACTTCCAGTGCCCTAAGCCAGGACCATCAAGTTCGCTCACCATGACCTTTAATCAAAGATGCATCCGTCCCTTCCTGGCGCGACTCGCTGGCCCACCTCGATCTCCCCCATGTCCTTAGCCTTTGCCGTCTCCTGCACGATGGCCTTCAAAGGCTTCCTGAGAAAGCGAGTCTGAGGCGCTCCTCTAAGTGGGCCTGGCTTCGTGGGGCCTGGCATGAGCTTGCATCAACCTGACAGACTGATTTGACTGGAGGCTCAGTGTAGAAATACAAGGCTCAGGATGTGGATAGTGATTGTGGAGCCCCGCGAGACCATTCCGGTACCTCTTGGCTTGGAAACTGCGGTTTTTTGCATGCAGAAGCACGTCCCCCCTTCCCCCGTCAAGCTAGCCCGAATTGTGGCTCTCCGCAGCCCACGGTCGCCAATCGTGGCGCGAGCAAAAGCAACCGAATCATGCGAATACGGTCGGGCATTGAAGTCTAGCTCGCCGTGGGTGTAGAACTGATTGCATGCTTATCATGCTGTATCATACTGGCTGTGTTTACCACTGGTTGGAGTTCGGCCTTGACTCTGAGGCTTGGGGCTTTTGCGTAGGAAGTGAAGATCCGCAGATCCGAGTTCCCAGAAACAGCAACTATGTTGGACAATGTTGCACCTTTGTTTTCCCCTTGCCATTCGAATCACTGTTGTAACTCCAAGGTCTTTTGGCCCGGCCCTTTGGCGATGAGCGCCTCACGTGTCTCGCACCCACTCGAGGACTCCAAGGTCTGGTAGGAGCGGCACCACCGCGTAGGTGCGGACCCTGCCATTTGTGAAAACACCTATGCCGATGAATCTGTGCCAAATGCTTGTCCTGTGTATCAGCCGGATGTGTGTCTCTTTCTCATAAGCAGGCCGGGAAGCTTGAGGGAATCCCGCAGTGTCAATGATGCCCGCGCCGGGTTTTAACCGCATGCAAGTTGCCTTGTGCGCTGAATTGGTTCCAACCATCCGGGTGCAGCCCCGGCATTTGCATGCCGCCAGCTAACTTTGGTCTGGGCAGCCCTACACGCTTTACAAGCAACACCTCGGGTGGAAAATTCTCCTGAACCGGGCCTGTAGGTCTGATCTATATATCAGACTCCTTGAATTAAATCCGGTGGCGGCTCCCAAGCTTGTGAAGGATGGCGGACGCCACCGATGTGCCCCTTTTCGTTCAGAGATAACACGGCTTAAATCTTGCACGCAATGGATGAGCCATTGCAACCACTGGCTAGCCCTTGAGCCACTGGTATCTTTTTGGTTAACTCTCAGGGAAGAAGGACTGACTCCTCGCTGCACATCACGCTCTCATATGCACCCTGGCTCACAATGGTGGCATTGCCCGGGCACGCAATGCACTCTGTCATCCCGAAGGAATCGCCATAGAAGCCGTAGGGGCAATACCTGGCAAGGGAGTGAGATCTGAAAGCAGTCCGTTGCACCTACGCACTCCAAACCTCAGGTTCTCACCATGCTTTGGTCTGATTCAGCTGCTGCCGGTGTTTGAGTTTTGGAATGCTGGCTTGGTAATGTCGCAGGCGGTGGGCGTCATGGACTCCAGATTGTTGTGATCTTACATGGGAACACGAACCTTTCCGGCTCCTCGCACGTAACTTGCTCAAAACAAGGCAAGTATGGTTGATGTGGGATGGGCTACGGTAGGGGTAGTACCCTCCTGCAGAGAGTAGCATTCACCTGCATGAACGCTGTCATGCCTGAGAATGGACTCACCAGGTTTAATTTCACAGACACACACGCAGGCACAGGCACAGACACAGACACAGACACAGACACAAACACAAACACTGACACAGACACAGACACAAAAACACAAAAACACAAAAACACACAAACACACAAACACACAAACACCTTGAACGTCATCCATGTTTGGTGCCGGTCGTATTGGGGTTTCTAGACTGGTACATCAAGGCCAAGGCCCAGCGGCTTTCTTGCAGCTTGTGTTATACTCTTGCGCGCATCTCGTGCTTGGGTTGGCCTTGTTTTAATGTTCCAACAGCTGGCATAGCCAGCTTTCCCCACCAAAACGGGATGCTCCGTATCAGCTCCAAGCACAATCAACCTCCCATTTCTGCTCTGCGTAGGACTCCAAGCCCCAAATCAACAACATCGTGAAACCACTCATTCTGCACTGGGAAAACGATGGGTTCCCTCAAAGGAGGTTCACACTATTAGCAGGCTCCCACAGAAGAGGTGTTCAATCATCACAGGGTTGCCGGGGACACGGCATCACAAGCAAAAAGAAATGGTTCATGGCCCTGATGGGATTGCTTGTAAAGTCCGTGACGGCCCTTCATGAAGATTCATGCTTATCTTCCGCAAGATGGTCAGTAGCATTCATGTTGATTCCTCTCAAACAGTTAGTGTCACACTTGGCAAAGCGCCTAGAGTTTGGAGTCAAATGAGTTCGAAGCCGAAAGATTCCTTACCAGCTCCAGGAAGGCGCGGATGGGCTCACAGAAAGTGGTTCAACCGTTCAACCTTGCCACATTCACAGCGAAATCACCATGGGCGGTGCCCTTTTGTCTCGTGAAATGGGAATTAACTGAAAATAGTAGTTCACGGGGTGTGCCTCTTTTTGCGGGACCCCCTCTTTGGTTGGCATTGAAGCGACGTTCAAAGGAAACCCACCGTTTTTGTTTTGGGGGTCGGGGGTCAAAAAGGCAGACCTCGTGGAACCCTTCGAGTTCTCCTTTCAACCAACCGGTTTGAGGAACCCGAAACACCGAAAGACACGGAACCAACCCGCCCGAAGCTTCGGTGAGCGGCTGGCACTCGCTCTTCCCAGGCTCTGCGCTGAAGTTCCCTACAGCGCAGGGGATGCACAGGGAGACGTTGCCAGCGGCCTTGATCGGCTGGTAGGTGCCTCAAGTTGAGGGCTGGTATGCATTACACACACGCACTATATATATATATATGTATAAAAATTACAGCCACAGTGTCCTGCCCTCACAAATTATTACATATGTGTTCAATCTAACAAGGTTCAGCGGCCCAAACCTCCAATCCCCATCCCACCCAACCTTGCCACCCCCCACCCCACCCCCCCAACCCTGATTTAGATTGGGTTGTTTGGGTTTGCTTATTATGTAGTGTTAACTATGTGTTGGTTGAGGTTGGTCTGCGTCGGTTTTTGGTTGGGATGTAGGATCGATTTGGGAGGTGATTTAGGGCTGGCATGGGCTTGCCACAGGTCGCACAAAACTTCTGGGTCGTTGGAGTGCTGAAGTCGATTTGATCGGAGGGGGTGGCGATATAGTGGCAAAATAATATGTATATTAATATGTAAATATGTATATGTACATATATATATATATATACTTTAGAGCCTCCGGCTCAGTCCGCCGACATTGTCCTCTCCCTTTTCTCCTTCTTCCCTCTCCCTTGTCTCCCTCGTGCGTTCTGTCGTCCTCTCTCCCTCCCTCTGCTCCCCATTCTCCCCATCCCCCCAAGCCTCTCTCTCCTCAATCTCCCACTCTCTCTCTCTCTCTCGCTGTCTCTGTTTCTCTGTCTCTTTCTGTCTCCCTGTCTCCTTCCTGTCCACGCCCCTCTACAGAAAAAGGGCACCCTAATTCGAACCTCTCTACTCTCTCACTTTCTCGCTCTTTCTCTTTCTCTTTCTCTTTCTCTTTCTCTCTCTCTCTCTCTCTCTCTCTCTGTCTTTCTGTGTCTCTCTTTCTCAGTCTCCGTCTTTCTCTCTCTCGCTGTCTCTCTCTCTGTCTGTCTCTTTCTCTGTTTCTCTGATTCTGGCTCTGTCTCTCTCTCTCTCTTTCTGTCTCTCTCTCTGTCTCTCTCTCGCTCTCTCCCTCTCTCTCTCTCTCTCTCTCTCTCTCTCTCTCTCTCTCTCTCTCTCTCTGCATTGCAGCGTCACGTCCCCCCCCGAGTTGCCTCGATGTCCGGGCACTGCCCCTGCATGACCCTGAACTGTCATCTCACTACTGGCTTTCCCCCTTCATGTCCTTGTCACGTTTCCCATGATGTCCTGGTCCTGTCCCTTCCATGCCATTCAGCCCCCCCTTCATGTCCCTGACATTTTCTCGGTATGTCCGCTTCGTTTGCCATGTATGTCCCGTTCTTTCGTTGCGAGTCATTTCCCTACATCTCCCGTCGTGCTTGGTTTCCTTGTGCTTTGTTTCCTCTCCTTCCCCCTGCACTCCCCTTGTTTTCATTTCTGTCCCTTGCATGTCCCTTTCAGTTCCCCTTTGTTTCCCTTTCATGTCCCGCTGCTTTCCTGTCATGTCGACTTCCTATTTCCTCCCCTCATTTCACTTGCACTTCCTTGCATTTCCCCTCTGCTCCCCAATATTTCCAGCAAAAAACACGGGTTTTCCAGCGTTTTCACAATTAGGACGTCCAAAAACACAGAGTTTTTCCAGATTTTCTGCAAAAGGAGGCAGGAACCCCAAACCAGCAAAGAGCCGGCAGGGGGAATCGAGCCTGGGACCCCTGTTTTGCGACACCGGCTCCCCGAAGACTACGTTTAGTGGAACGTCATCAAATTGCCGCGCGGTCCTTGGGGGGGGGCCCCCCCCCCCCCCCGACCCCGGGGGGGTTACGGGTATCCCTATCCCGGGTGTCCGACACGCCGTTGTCGGCGGAGTATCAGTGTCGGACACCAAGAGGCCCTAACCCCCCACCCGACGTCTGATACCCCCCCCCCCAAGGACCGCGCGGCAATTTGATGACGTTCCACTAAACGTAGTCTTCGGGGACCCGGTGTCGCAAAACAGGGGTCCCAGGCTCGATTCCCCCTGCCGGCTTTTTTGCTGGCTTGGGCTTCCTGCATCCTTTTGCCGAAAATCTGGAAAAACTCTGTGTTTTTGGACATCATCTTTGCGAAAACGCCGGAAAAACAGTGTTTTTTGCGGGAAATACTGGGGAGCAAACGGGAAGTGCAAGGATACATACATACATACAGACATACACACAGACAGACAGACATACAAACATACATACATACATTACATTACACAACATCACATTACATTACTTTAAATTACATCGCATTACATACATACATACATACATACATACATTACATTACATTACTTTACATTACATTACATTACATTACTTTACTTGACTTTACATTACAGTACATTACATACATACATTACATGCATTACATACATTACATACATTACATTACATTACATTGCATACATGCATACATGCATTACATACATACATACATACATACATACATGCAGGCATGCATACATACATACCTACCTACCTACCTACCTACCTACCATACATACATACATACATTACATTACATTACATTACATTACATTACATTACATTACATTACATTACATTACATTGCATACATGCATACATGCATTACATACATACATACATACATACATGCAGGCATGCATACATACATACCTACCTACCTACCTACATACATACATACATACATACATACATACATTACATTACATTACATTACATTACATTACATTACATTACATTACATTACATTACATTACATTACATTACATTACATTACATTACATTACATTACATACATACATACATACATACATACATACATACATACATACATACATTACATACATACATACATACATACATACATACATACATACATACATACATACATACATACATACATACATTACATACATACATACATACATACATACATTACATACATACATACATACATACATTACATACATACATACATATATACATTACTACCATACATACATACATACATTACATACATACATACATACATACATACATACATACATACATACATACATACATACATACATACATACATACATACATACATACATACATACATACATACATACATACATACATACATACATACATACATACATACATACATACATACATACATACATACATACATACATACATACATACATACATACATACATACATACATACATACATACGAGAGAGGGAGATTGGGGAGAGAGTGGCTTGGGGGGATGGGGAGGATGGGGAGCGGAGGGAGGGAGAGAGGACGACAGAACACACCAGGGAGACAAGGGAGAGAGGAAGAAGGAGAAAAGGGAGAGGACAATGTCGGCGGACTGAGCCGGAGGCTCTAAAGTATTATACTACATATATAGTGTAAGATTAGCGATATGCATTGAAGGGACCCAGCCCTTTCTCAACCATGCTGTTGCCACGCCTCTTCTTTATTCTGTTTTCCCCTGGATTGAAAAGGCGACACACAAGCAGTGCGCGTGCTAACTAGTTTTGTGCTCTCCTCTGACGGTCTGTGCAAGTACTAACCACCTGCAGTTCTGTCTCGCCTCCCCAAATGACCCACCTAACAATTGAGAGCACACCCACCCTAAAGCGGAAAAGTGAATGAAACACTTATGTAAAAAAAAAAAGGGAAACACAAAAAACACAAACTTCCAGCCTGGCGCGCACACCTCGCAGACGTCAGAAGAGGAAGCGCCCAGCTGCATGCTGAAGGTGCCGATGGGGCAGCTCTGGCAAGCGCTCTGCTCGGTGGCCGCCACCTCTGTGCTCCACCTGCTGACTGACTGGGGGTAACAAGAAATCTGCTGAGTGACGGACTCTTGTGGCACACAAGGGTGCTCCACCTCTTTTGTGCTCCACCTGTCAAAAATAATCTGCTGACTGACTGACAGCCCAAAAAAAGGGGTTGACAACCGGAAACCGAAAGGAAACCGTGCGAAAAAAATGCGCCATATCCCCGCCTGCCCTGGGTGCAGGAAATGCAATTCTCCTGCGACATTGCGCCCTCCGCCGGGTTCCAGGTGCCTGCAACCGGGATCTCTCAAGCACCCGGATGAGGAAACGGCCTCATCCGAAAACCCCAGAACTTGAAGATGGGGATGTTCAATTGCTATTGCTGCTAAATTCCCTTCCTTCTCGCACTGCATTCCATTTTCAAGACGCAGAGTCCGAGTTCCCCTTTACATGTTTTACACGCTCGTCTGACAACATAGAACGGTTCAAGGCCAATATCGCCTACACCACCCCGACTTTGCACGCACTCTCCGGCACTGAACAATGAGCTCCTATGTTCTTCTGTTCTCGCGTTGACGTTAAGGGAAGGTCTGGATGATTGGCAGGGGGTCCTACAGACCCTCCAGGCCACAATTAGTTGAATCCGATCCAAGTGAATGGCTTCGGCCGAATCAGAAAGCTCCCAAGTTGTTCAAGCATGGCACATCTGAAATGATCTAAAACTCCAAAGGCCCCAAATCAGCTTCCCTCTGATCGGCGGTTTGGAGATTCGGGGGTGGCTTCCCATTTACTCAGAAGAACGAGGCAATCCAAATCCTTAACCCAAAATCCAAACCAATCCAAGAGCCTACCAACCTGACGAATTTCCCTGCCCAAAGGCTTCACCCCCCACTCCCTTCACTCCCTGTCCCTTCCCGTCGGGTTCCCTGAAGGCTCGTCCCTTCACCCGGCCGTCCCTTCACCCCCCCGTCCCTTCGACCAACGCCCGTCCAAACCCCACGCCCGGAGACCAACCTGACGAATTTCCCTGACCAAAGGCCCGTCCAAACCACCCCTCGCTTCACCCCCCGTCCCTTCACCCCACGCCCGGAGACCAACGACGCCCATCCAAACGCCCAGCCTTCGGGGCACTCCTGGCACGTCTCCAAAGTGGTGGCCGCCTTCTCAGAGCTCCACCGCCCCGGCGCGCAGCGTGCGCAGTCCCGGTGGCTGGAGGCGCCCGACAGCCCGCCTCGGATCGGATCGGATCGGATCGGATCGGATCGCAGGCGCCGAACAAAGGCAAGGCAAGGCTCCAGAAAAAAAGGAAACCCAAGGGAGACCAAAAAGGCGAAAAACCAAAAGAAAAAAAGAAGGGAGGGAACCCAAAGGAAAACCCACAAACAAACCATCAAAAAGGAGGGAAACCTTAGGAAAAGCATTTTGGCCTTATTTTGAGAACACGGGGGCAAGGGAAACTGCCAGCCGGGCCGCTGTACCGACCCGGCGCACATGCCACGCAACTGTCGCTGGAGGTTTGGGCCGTGCCCTGGCTGAACCGCCCAGCCTCGCACCTCGGCAAGCGCACGGACGAAATCCTCGCACCGTTCAGAAACCCTTGGAAGGATTCCCTTGTACATACCAATACTGTCCGAACGCCGTCAGAGAGAGAGAGAGAAAACATTGGAGCCAAAACCATGGGAATTCCTGAGAGGAACCTTCATGTGTCTCGACAAAAAATAATTACGCCGCTGGATTTTTGCCCAGAACAATGGCCTTTTTGTATGATCAAGATGTCGCAGGTATTTGCGTAGAACCCCACAGTCAGATTTTCCCTTCAGACCCCAGATCCCTGGATTGCAGCTCGAGGGGCTTGAGGGTTTTCAAGGGTTTGTCCGATTCGGCAGATGGCTACATGGTCATGTGTTCCCTCGTTCTCCAAGCCTGCAGCTGTTTGGACTCCTCTCATTGACCTCGAAACTCCAACGCCGCATGTTGATCTCTACCAGCTACGTCATGCATGTGGTTGTGATTGTCATGGCCCTAAGTCGTGTTGGGGGGTGTTTCTACCTCGTTTTGCGCCTGATAATTCAGTATGTTATCCAAAACATGTCTCTGCCCGGTCGCTCATATTATGTGAATGGAATAGGCAAAGCTGAACCTGCATCCAAGAAATTGAATTGGGATAAACGGATCCATAAATCAAAGACTTGCTCCAAAGTCTCGTGTCAATCTTGGGCCTGATCCCCTGATCCCCAGATTCTTTTGACAATCCTTTCATGTTCAGAGAATCCTTGAGTACCACATACTTCTCATTTATACCGATATAAGTGTCATACTATAAGGAAATGTGCATAGACTCTTAAAACCGCATTAGGGAATCTATAATCATCCACTGAATCTACTAGCTCATAGGCAAAGTCTTCAAATTCCTGGTAGTTGTCTTGAGAATAAGCACACCTGCTTTGTACAAGTAATGAATCCAAGGCGACTTCATAAGTGCCAAAGATTGCATCTACCATGTAAATTCATGAGCGCGATCTGCTGAGCCAAAAAAAATCCCGCGATTCAAATGTCTAAATTCCCGGTTTTGGATTACTCCCGGAATTCTGAGATTTAGATCTCCGAGAAGGCAAAAGGCCCACATGTTGTGTCAGAGAAACCGGGGGGGGGGGGGGGATGAGGACTTTCAGGAAGGCACCATATATCTAATATATATATATATATGTATGTATATACATACATTACATATATATATATAGCACATGTTGCATAGCACATTGTGTATGGCACCATGCATATATATATATATATAGCACCTGGTGTATTCCTTTGACACACACACGCATACGTATATATATATATAATCAGAGAAGCCGGCCTGGTGCAGGCCACCTCCGAGTCCAGAGCAGTCTGGTTGCTCCAGGTGCCTTGTGGGCAGTGAAGGCACTGGTAGATGTCGCTGATCCCCGGCTGGGCGCTGAACGTGCCGGCCATACACGCCTGGCACGCCTCCATGGAGGTCGCGCCCTCCTGCTGACAAAATGGGAAGGACTTTTTGAGGGACCCTGTGGTGGATTTTGAGGAGGGAAATCATTTTGCTGGACATCATTTTGGTGGGGATTCATGTCCACCGCTGTTGAGGGGGTTCCCCATTCATAGCCAGATGGGTTAAGACCCTGAGGCAAGTGAAATGGGAGCAGGTTGAGGTGAACATTCCCCCAACAAAAAATGCTAGGAATGCGAGAGAACCAAGAGTTGAGGTGATGCTTGACCTTCGAAGGGGAGAAAAGAGAGCGAGTCAGCCCCGCCAAATCGTACGGGAACCCTTAATGACACTCCAAGCCAAAGTCCAAAAATACGTTTTTTACAGCGTGGCCTATTTTCAACGCATGCCAGGCTGTGACTGCCTTCCCAGCCAACAATACGTTCTTTGCTTGCCAAGTGATCATGGCGCCATCCCTGTAGCAATCAACTCTTTTGTGAAATTTGCTCGCTTGCCGCATATGTGGGCATTTAAAAACAGATAGGCCGTTAATAGGGCGCTCGTCGGATTTAACTGCTAGACTTGCTCAGCATACAATAATTCGCCCTTTGGGACTGTCCTCTGTATGGCAAGCTGTTGTGTTTCAAGCGTATCAGGTATTGAAACACCGTCAACTGGTTGCCCTTCACCTTCGCAGTTCTTAAAGTTCAAAAAACCACAGACATGTCGACACACTCAAAAGTAACCACAGAAAAGATGCGTCTCAACTTCATCTGGGTGTCTTTTTTTGGAGCAACGTTTTTCCTTTTGGAAAACCGATCAAAAATACGTGGCCTTCCTTCAAAAGACGACGGTACCGCATCGTCTCCTGGCTGGACCACCTGCCGGCCGGGCACTCCTCGCAGCCCGCCAAAGCCGGCAGCTGCTGCCGCCCGGAGAAGGTGCCCGCAGGGCAGCGGTGGCAATTCGAATGACCCTCCGAGCTCCAGGTACCCTCCGGGCAGGGCATGCACGGGCCTCAGTTTGGCTCAAACCAGCCGGGAGCTTAGGAGCCAAGAAAAGAATGTGCGTCCTTCAAGGCCTTCAAGGCCTCTCTGAGTAAAAAACTTTGACTGGCACCCGAGCCTTGAATGACTGAAAGAAAGAAGCACCCACTAGAGGGTCTTCCACATCCACGTCAAGAATCGGTCTTTTTTGGGCTCCGGCTCTGCAGTTCCCCACCAAAATGCATCCCCTTTTTGGGGGGGCTTACAGAAAACCCAAAAGAAGACCCACCATCTTGGGCAAATTTTGGGGCTCCAAGCTTCAGAAAGACACGCCCCATGCCATTTTTGTTGCTCGCCTTGCGGGCAAGGTGCTGTTCGGCACCGGCCGGCCCTTGCCCGCAGGGCAAGGGCCCTCCATGAGCGAGGGCACGGATTCGCCCAGCTCCGCCCAGGCGCACCCCAGCCGCGCGACAAGCGTCGCCAGGAAGAGGAGGACCATCGCTTTGTGATAAAAGCTTGGGATTAGGACGGTCAAAAACCTGCCCTTGAAAACAAGGGCTTGAAAGGACGCGCGGCAAAAACAAATACGAGCGGTTGCAAGACTGGCAAGATATGCTTGAAAGGGCCGGAGGAACAACATGATTTATGCCCAACCTGGTCATTCATGAGAGTTCCACTGTTACGTCATTATGCATACAGTATGACAACTCATGTTTGCAGTCAAAGCTGTGACAGAAAGCCATCATGATGCCAATCAATGTTTGTCAAAAATAGCCAACTCTTGCAAAATGCACCCCACTCCCTGCCATCTCACTTCGCTTATGAAAAGCGCTGGTATGAACATGCTCTTTAAAATGAGATTGTGTTTTGAGAGTTCTGACCAATACGAGCGAGTTGCATGCTCACACATCCCAAAGAGAATATGACCTTCCTCTATCAGCAGAGCCACTAAGATCTCCTCGCCCATTAAAAACTGCGGCACGGCCCCCCCAAAACTGGGCCCTTCGCCTTAACGAGGACACGTCGGGTAGCAGGCTGTTGATGATCCCAAAGAGCTGTTCCACCCGCTCGTCCAGGCGCACGTCCTTGCAAATTCAAGGCAGTTGGCTTCCATGAGAGGGCTACTCCGAATATGCACAGAAAAAAATGTAAAGCCTTATCAGGTGTAGGTAACCAGGGATGATGTAAAACCTAGAGGTAAGCTTTCCAGGTTAGCTACTAGAGTGGAAACTGGCAGCACTGGAATTTCACATTCACGGTCCAGGGATGGCGGACGCTTATCCATCTACGATCAAGACCTCAGGGTCATGTGGCCACTGGGTGCCTGTTGTGACCCGGCAGGTGAGTTTGCTATGCTGTGACTTGAAAATGACTCTGTGCGCGAGGAATGACACATTTCGCTGTACACTGTGGGCTTCTAACATGGATTAAAATGACCGTGCTGCGAAGCATGCGGCGTCACACAGCCCAGCCTCACCACCCTTCACGAGGAACCAGTGCTCGTGCTCATCGCTTCCCAGTATCACCTGAGTGGCCCTTCTTTCAAGCACCCCTTTGGCCCAGAGACGGTTCTCCTTGAAATGGTTCCCAGGATCTGAATCGGAAGCTGAAAGTCGGAGTGCCCTTTCAGCCTTGTGGCAAGCCGAGTAGGTTGCAAGACTTCAAACCACCAGACCCGAGGGGAAAACCCGGCTGTTTCGAGCAGCTCGGACACGATCTTGACAAAACACATGTCTGAAGTGGCAACAGCATTTCTCAAGACGCTTGGGAGAACACGTGGCTCTCCTCGGTCAAGAACATGGCCTTTTGGAAAAAAAACACTTTCCCCCCTGGCAAATAGAAAGAAGGCCCATCTTACACCAGTGCCATCTATACATCTAACCAAACCTAAAAAGGCCACCTATGCTCAACCGGGCTCTTCAAAGTTTAACTTGTGGGTTAAATACGGAGACTGCCACTAAACCAACTAAAAGCAACTCAAAAGCTAAGGAACTGGACGGCTGGGAGCCCCCAAGTCAAGAACCTTCGGGGGTTCAAAAGGTTCCACCCATCCTTCAGCACGACAACATGTTCCGAGCTCCCCGCCAAGCGTTTTGGCATCTGCTTGGAAGCCATGATGAGGAGCTGAGCCGGGAACCCGAGAGAACAAGCCGCGAAATCCACTTGGACTTGCTTGAAACTTGTCACTCTTTCTGCAACCACTCGTTCCCAGAGACATGGTTTCACGATCTAGGGACCTGAGAGACCTCACCTGGGCACTTGAGAATGAAGACCTAAGGATTCAACGAGTTTTGCCAAGCCGTGCGGATCCAAGACTTGCTCGGAGCTGAGCACTGATAAGGTCTTAACGTGCTGCCTTTCTTGCTGTATCTTGTAAAAAGGGGAGCAACTGACTACCTCGGCATGCAGAGATGTTAGCTTGGCGATGACCATATCCCGACATCCTTGCTCATCAGATTTTGCAGGAAGCACGTAACTGGCAGCTATCATTGATGCGTGTATTGATTTATCCGTTTGAGAAAAAGAGGAGGTTCATTCGTTGATGGGATCTCAATGATCCAGGAATCCTGTTCTTGCTTGCCCGCCACTGGCCACTGCCACTGTGACCTCCGTCCCTGCCTGCGACCCAAATCGCGTAATTCGGGCATGGCGTTGCGGGTCTGGACGCTCCAGGCCCCTTGCAGCAAGCGGGTCCCCTTGGAGTTGGCAAATGGGGGGAAACACTAAAGCAAAATGGGGGAAAACCCCACGGAAAATTTGGAAAATCCAAAGAAAAATCCTAGGCTTATGCAAAAGGGAAACCAAAAGCAACCCCTTTTAGCGCCATTTCGGGGGTCCAAATTTGCCAATTTGCTGATATGCAGATCTCCCAGGTCTCAAGATGTGTGTCGGTTGTCCTGTGCGCGCTCTGCTTACAAGGCTGAAGGTGGCCAAGACGCTTGCGGTCACACTTGCCAAATACAAGTGTGATCTCTGAATCCGGCAAGTGCAATGGTGTTCCCTAAACATCGCTGAAAACATCCGGCACAATCACATCGCATGTGCAATCGAGGTTGACTTAAGATGTCATTGATCGGGATGTATGTTTGCGCTTCCCATGTTGATAGTTGATGGAAAGCAATCAACAGTGGCATGATGCAAGCACGCTAGACTATCATCATCTGAGCTCGGAGATGTGTTCCCCAACAGAGTTCCCATGGAGTGACACGCCAAGGGAACGGCCTGCACCCGTAGTGGTGCAACATAGCATTCCACAATGAATCAAGAAATTGGTTTTGCACCACAGCCGGCCGAGACATTGGCAATATCAGCACATGCAAGCAACCAGCTATATGAACCGTGGCTATAACCACTACAAGTAGCAGGATAGTACATTGTCCCTACAAGAGCGGCGAGCGTGTCAAGCGCTTTATAACTTTCGGAGCCGTACAGTTGACCCCCTGAATGCGGTTTAAAGCCAACGAAAAGAAGACTCCTGCCAAGCAAATGCAGGAAGGTCCATGAATATATTTCATCTATCCTTACAGGACAGGGTGATGGCTACAAAGTCAGATGGTCAACCATGCCTGGCAGACTCTGCAAATAGATTCAAAGGCTGCTCTGAATCCTCAAGAAGGCTGATGTTGTTAGGGAGCAAATTCTGGCTGAGTATGTTGCGTGTGTCTCTAAGGTTCTATTCAAATCTCTGACTTCTTACTCTGAAAACAAAAACAAGTCCAACCCGAAACATTTAAACAAAGATCAATGGGCAGGTTCACTGCGGGGCACCCTTTCACCATTCAATCTGCAAGGAGATCCAGCTTCAGGTCGGTGCGCGCCTGTATTGCCCCAAGACTTCCAGTTGCTCCTCACCGATGGCAAGTTCAGTCCCGAGCAAGCCAACGTGGAACTTTGTCTCGAAGGCTGGTCTGGGCTGCTGCGCGGCAAACTTCCCAATTCACAAGTAAGGAAGCAAAGATGCTTGCAGAAGCTTCCCCTCATCTTTAGCAGCATCGTCTGCTTGCTGGGTTCACAGTTTTGCCAAACCCGCGACACGTTTGTGCACTTGGAATTGGAATGGGGAAGTGTGAGCATCGAGGCCATTTCAAACGGCGCCGCTCTTGCTCGACTCGCCTTTGTGACCCAGGCAGGTGACAAACACGAGGGCAGACTCGCGCAGCTAACTGCGAAAAAGCTCGCAGTAGTTGCGATGAAGAAATCGTGTCGGAACGGTGGCACACTATCGAACAGGATCCAACATGGTGGCGGCTATCATTTTGACCCCCAACATTCGCGTGACTCTGGCCCTCCCTTTGTCCCTCTCTGCCCCTTCATGGGCTGCTGCAGTTCAACTTGAGCTTGACGGCCAAATACAGGAGGCACCCCGGGTCAGTCCACTCCCTTCCATTCTATATTTTCTCATTGACAAATCATCCTGTGAATGGTCACATTGTCACCTTGTCGCCGCTCTGTTAAGAAACATGACGAGGAATCAGGTCCCAAACTCGAGGACCCGAATCGACAAATAAGTCAACCTGGTAACATGGAACGTGCGCGCAAGTGCCAACCTGGGTATGGGTCAAAATGAAACCCCCAGCAAACCGCAGCTAAGTCCATGTGTCCATTTGCCAGGGTTCCATTTTGGGTACCTATTCTTGACCCACAAATCCCCAAGATCTTCTCCGTCCTCTGCTTCTAGCCAGGAGTTCCGTGCGTCGAACTTCGCCAGCCACGGGGAGAAAGCTTCTAGCGGCGCCTCCCGTGTTGAGCCATGGCCCGGTTGGACGGCGCTTTTTCACCCTCAGGCCACCTTGGCCTTTATTGGAATCAGTAGACTTGGTACATCAAGGGTCTATCACGTCCAGGTAAGGAGGCAGACGCAGAAAGTAGAAAACACCACCAATCCCATGAGCCTCACTAATCAACGCTTTAATGCCGGACAGCTAAAGAGGCTCTCCCAAGTCATAAACGCTTGAACTAGAGACATTCCTTCAAGGCTTCGCTGTAACAATGAACCCCTCCCCAAAGCGGCCCAAGCATGCTGCCGGTTCACAGTTTGCCGGTTTGCTTTTTGACCACTGGGCAAACCAAGCAACCCCGAAGTGTAGCATCCCTCTTGAACCATGCCCAGCGATTCTCCCAAAACGGGGACTCGGACCGGCAGCTCTGATGCCCCAAAACAGGGTGGTCAGATTGGATAACTTCAAAGGCGGCAGACTTCTTTCAGCTTCTTTCAGCTTCTTTGAAACTGCCATCTACTGTTCGAGAGAACATCCAATCCACCAGTTCCGAAAGAAAATTGGTCCTTTCCCCGCCTTGCGGTTCGGCCATTGCCTGGTCGCAGGCGGCTGTAGCTCTTGGAAGAACTTCATCCAGGCCTGCACCGGATGGCCCGGTTCCCAACAGGCGTAGCAACTCAAATCGAGCCCTATCCCCCCCATCCAAACAGAAAGGCAGATCTATGAGTTCACGCGCCTGACAACGTCCCTGCTGCCACTTTGCTCACATTGATTGGACATCATTTCGGCCAGTCGGACTGGACTTGGCTTTGAAGCATCTGAGCTTCGCGCAGGGCGAACAAATTGAGGGCTATACAAATTAGGCAAGACCCTCCTCGACTCCTTGTGGAGTGGGAAACTTACCTGGATCCTATGAGCCAGCATCCTTCTCAATGCCAGCTCGCTGGACATTGCAAGTTGGTTCCCCAAAAAAGTTGTTCAATGGTCCAAGCAGCAGAATTTGGAGAATGTGTACATGCGCTTAATGAAGATGTGCATGAATGCGCGCGATATGTGTGTGTATGGCCAAACAAAGAAAACAGTGCGGGGACCCCTTGCTTTAATCTGAGGCTGACATTATGTGTGTAGCTGTGTATGTGGGTAGGTGTAAGTGGCTGTAAGCCTGTCTGATTTTCTGTCTGTCTGCATGTCTGTATGTGTATGTGGGTAGGTAGGTCGGTAGGTCGGTAGGCAGGTAGGCAGGTAGGCAGGTAGGCAGGTAGGTAGGTAGAAAGGCATGAAGGCAGGCAGGCAGGCAGGCAGGCAGGCAGGCAGGCAGGCAGGCAGGCAGGCAGGCAGGCAGGCAGGCAGGCAGGCAGGCAGGCAGGCAGGCCGGCAGGCAGGCAGGCAGTGATATGTCATGTTATGTTATGTTACACTGCGTCGGCGTGTTGTTATGTCATGTTCCATTGCGTTATGTTACTTGGCTGCCCTCAGAAACCCCCACTAAACACTAAAACTGAAAAAGTAAGGAACCGGATGGCTGGGAGCCACCAAGGTTATGTTCCGGAATATTTTATGTTGTAGTGAGCTAGGCGTAGTATAAGCTCCACTCGACTAAAGTCCGCTCCTCGCGCTTGCTGGGCACAAGCTCCGAGTCGCGGAGGTCGGAGGAGGTCAGCACCAGGCCCAGCTTACGCCCAATGTCCTACGTGGCTGGGGTCATGGGGCACCCTAAACTGATCAGTATAGATTTTGGTTGATATAGCTACTGATATCGTGCATATTCGGACATTCCCACCCCGTAACCGGGGGGATGGGGGGTGGGGGGGAGGGGGGGCAATTCCATTTTTTCGGGGGCTCAAGAGCTGATTGGCTTGTTGTGTAGTTCTGTGCTTTACAGTATCTTCTCGTGGTAAAGCTCTTGTTTCGGGGCAGCTCTGACGATGAGGCGACAGACCTCTGAACTGCAGGCGGCTAAAACGGTCAGCGTTTTTCTGATAGACCTCTGACCAGGACAAAGCGGCGGACCTGAACAGGTGACGGCTCGCGCAAGCAGGCCCCAGATGGTCCTGGCAGGGATCTTCCGAGCAGGGGTGGGCAGGCGGGCAGGGGCGGGGGTGGGCGGATCGCTTACCGCCAGCGGCCGCAAGCAATCCAAAGCACTTTCCAGCAATCCGACCTTCAGATTTCATGCGTGAATCGCTCGGATGCAGGCCGGATCGCTTCCCGCCAACGGCCGTAAGCATTCCATGCCCCGGCCATCCCTCCTCTCGCAAGGCCTGCGACATGGATCATGTTCGTGACGTTTTGCGCCACAGCGGCCGCAATGCGGAAATTCATGCATGTGTGGCAGTCTGGCTTCTGCTTCTGCACCATTTAGGTCTATAGGTAAAAAGACCTTCGGCTTGCAGTTTGTGTGGAGGGTAGCTAGCGCGCGGATTTGCAGCTCATGAAACGCAAAAGTGGTAACGCTTTTGTTGTTGATGTGGCAAGGGAAGCAGGCATCAGGGCTGAGTTCTGCATGCTGCTATGCACTCGATAAATGGAATTGGAAGATGAAATTCCATTTTCCCCGCCCCCCCCCCCTCAAATTCCGGGGTGGGGATACTAGGATTGACGTTTGGGATTTTATTGTAACTAGAAATCATGTACATGCGGGCGTAGGGACACTCAAAATGTCCCATCAAACGGTCTTGCGATGGCTGTTCGGTCTGGTTTCAAATTGACATGATAGCTTTTTCCTGTAACCTTTGGCCAATCAGTTTGCTGACAGTACAAGGCATCTCCTTGCCTGATTCCCGGTCGGCAATTGCACGGCCGGCACCAATTCGGATGCCTTGGCCATCTCACGCTGAAGTCCCCGTCCTGGATACGCTGCCGCACACGCTGGCCGAACTCTGTGTGCACCTGACAGCGCACCAATTCAACTCTAAACAGCGAAAGTGTAGGAGACACCTGGTATACTTGGTAGGCTCTGTGTGCGTCCCTCGGCTCCGTATCCTTCACTCTACAAAGCTGATTGCTCATGGTCAGTCAGATATATAGATTATCAAAGGAAGTTTAGAAGGAAACTTCCGAGTTACGGAAACTAATTGAAAGGTAGCTCTGCGCAAAGATGAGATGAAGAAAGAATGAATGCATGCGAGAAAACGTGCGTATACGTGTGGCGGGGGAATAGAAATCTGCAAAAAGTGCAACCCTCTGCGGGTTTTGGCTTCTCCGGCTGGCTGAAAGCTACCCCGGTCGCGGCGTCTGACGGACGACGGGCTCGGGACGGGCTCGGGACGGGCTCGGGACGGTCTCGAGACGGGCTCGCGCCGGGACCATTGGCACGGACGCGCATACTTTCGCAAGGTTCAAATTTCGTGGCAGGCGCAGCATTTTGGCAAGGTCGGGTACAGATTTCGTGGCAGGTGCATCACTTTCGCAAGGTCAAATGCAGATTTCGTGACAGGCGCGGCATTTTCTTACTTCTGGCACGGACGCATCGCAAATCCCACTGGCACGGACGCGCAAGGCGGCGCATGCAGATTTCGTGGCAGGGGCAGCATTTTCGCGAGGTCAGGAACAGATTTCGTGGCAGGGGCATCATTTTCGCAGGGTCAAGTACAGAATTCGTGGCAAGGTCAAGTGCAAAATTCGTGGCAGGCGCATCACTTTCGCAAGGTCAAGTACAGATTTCGTGGCAGGCGCAGCTCTTTCGCGAGGTCAAGTACAGATTTCGTGGCAGGCGCAGCACTTTTGCAAGGTCAACTTTCGCAGCCGGGGCTCGAAAATCGCAACTTTTAAGTGCGAAAGTAGTAAGCGAAGTCAACTTTCGCAGCTGGGGCTTGAAAATCGCAACTTTTAAGTACGAAAGTAGTGCGCGAATGCCGGGCTTGAAAATCGCAACTTTTAAGTACGAAAGTAGTACGCGAAGTCCACTTTCGTAGCTGGGGCTTGAAAATCGCAACTTTTAAGTACGAAAGTAGTACGTGAAGCCCACTTTCGCAGCTGGGGCTTGAAAATCGCAACTTTTAAGTACGAAAGTAGTACGTGAAGTCCACTTTCGCAGTGGGGCTCGAAAATCGCAACTTTTAAGTACGAAAGTAGTACGCGAAGTCAAGATAGAAAGAGATAGAGAAAGAGATAGATAGATAGATAGATAGATAGATAGATAGATAGATAGATAGATAGATAGATAGATAGATAGATAGATAGAGAGAGAGAGAGCAAGATAGATAGATAAATAGACAGAGAGAGAGAGAGAGATAAAGAGATAGAGAGATAGATAGATAGATAGAGAGAGAGATAGATAGATAGATAGATAGATAGATAGATAGATAGATAGATAGATAGATAGAGAGAGAGAGAGATAGAGAGAGAGAGAGAGATAGAGAGATATATAAATAGAAAGAAAAAGAGATAGATAGATAGATAGATAGATAGATAGATAGATAAATAAACAGATACATAAACGATAAACAGACAGATAGATAGATAGATAGATAGATAGATAGAGAGATAGATAAATAGATAGAAACAGAGATAGAGAGAGATACATACATAGGTAGATAGATAGAGGAATAAATAGATGCATAGATAGATAGATAGATAGATAGATAGATAGATAAATAGATAGAGAGGTAGATAGATAGATAGATAGATAGATAGATAGATAGATAGATAGATAGGTAGAGAGAGAGGTAGATAGAGAGATGGATATATAGGTAGATCTATAGATAATTCGAAATGCAGATGGATAGATAGATAGAGAGATAGAGAGATGGATAAATACACGTGAGATAATGAGATAGAGAGATAGATAGATAGATAGATAGATAGATAGATAGACAGATAGACAGATAGATAGATAGATAGATAGATAGATAGATAGATAGATAGATAGATAGAGAGATAGACAGATAGAGAGAGAGAGAGAGATATGGATAGATAGGTAGACAGACAGATATAGAGATAGATAGATAGATGAGATAGACAGATACATAGATAGATAGATAGATAGATAGATAGATAGATAGATAGATAGATACGCGGGAGATAGATGGAGAGATAGATGGATAGGTAGATAGATAGATAGAAAGAGATAGATAAAGATATAGAGAGACAAATAGATAGAAAGTAAGAGAGATAGAGAGATAGAAAGATAGAAATAAAGAGGGATAGAGAGACAGATAGAGAAAGAGAGAGACAGAGATAGAGGGATACCGGTTCCGCCCGAAGTGGTGCTGTCCGACGATGCCGACCCTGCCATAAAACATTGGCAAGTGATGTTTCACTGTCCGGCTTCTGATCCAGAAATCGATCAGTTCAAAGCCCGGCGGCTGCGACACATGCCTGCGCCCGCTCTGCCGGCGGGGTCTGCCATTAAGCGGCTTGGAGAAGAGCTGATTCAAATGACGCCTTTGTCTAAAGTCGCAAAAATTAAGCGAACCATGGATTCACCAAGCTACACACAATAGCGCACTAAAAAAAAAAAACGCGCGTGCAGTTTCAAGCCGCGCGCCGGCGACGCGGCGCAGCCTTCGCTGCGTGCCGCTTCAGGCCGCAGCCGAACCCGTTGCTTTGCGCGCTGTTTCAAGCCGCATGTCGATCAGTTGGATTCGGAGCAAGAGTGTGGTCAAAAAGAAAAAAAACGTCGAGAGGAGAGAAAGGGCGCGGGGAAGACACGACAAACAATTTCACCACACAACAAGAAACACACATCTGCCATCATTCTTCTCTATAGGTGTTCCATGTTTTGAAACTTCCGCCACCCGGCTTGCCGGCTTTACTGGTATAGACATTGATATAAACATGTATGTGCCATACTGCCACGAGGACTGATGCTGCTTTGTTGGGCATTGGCAATGCCATTAACATGATCTGGTCTGCGGATCATCGAAGACAAAGTCGCGGAGATGTTTCCTGGTTCCTAATCGGATTGCCCAATGAGCGCGGCACATAGTTCAAATCAAAACAGGCGGTGAGGTTTATTCATATTTGACTACATTCGAGATTGTCCTTATCAGGACCAGCCAAGCCACTACTAAGTTGTGCCCTCGTGTGTTTCGGAACTCTGGCCTTTTCAGTAGGAGTTGGTGTTTGCATGATTTGTTTCCAATGTTGTCAAATTTAAGCCCCTCTCTGCTTCAAGTTGGAACCCCTAGAGCTTTCAGCAATCTGAAAAATGCAAAAATGAGATTAACTCTTTGGCGCTATGGAACATGGGAAAAGGTCAACATGAACACATGAGAGACATGTTGACTCCTGTCAAACGTCTGGAGTGTCCTGGTTCGCTGGTTTTGGATACGCCAGTTGCAAGACTCTGTTCAAGGAAATGTCTTGCCTAGATTCAACCCGGCACGTGGAACTGTTAATCCAAAAAGCGAAGGCTCCGAAACCACAGGCCCGCCGGATTGCTCAAGCGCCTTGCCAACCTTTGGATACTGAGTCCCCCGCTGTCCCTGCGATGTCGCGGGACTCCACCTGTGACAACCCGATTCCAGACACCTGTAAAAAGTGCAGAAAGGCTCTGAAGCCTTTTTTTCCCCCTAACAGCTGAAAGCTTTGGGGTCTCAGCCCAGATAGGCTCCGGGGTGGTCCGGGGCGGCCCTGAGGTAAGGTTCCACGAGGGTTCCACCAGGGTTCCACTAGGGTTCCACCAGGGTTCCACGAGGTTCTGCGAGGACTGCGGGGTGGTGCGAGCACTAAAAAGAGCACCGCATGCTGTTGGGGATGTCACCTGAGCTTATTTGCAACGCAGAAGACATTTTGTTATACTTACAAGACAATAAACGAGCGAAGCACGTACACGTTGATTGGACGAAAAGTGGCAAGCCCAAATGCGGTCGCCACGCAGTTGGAAAATGAAGCAACAGTCCTTCCGGCAGTGGCCCACTGGGGGATGATGGCACTCCATTAGATGCCACACCTTCTCTCCACCAGTGGGACTCTCTGACTCTATGGAACAACTACTTCCAACACTGCAAGGTTTCTGCCAAGCGAAAGCACCTCTGCGAAATCTGCTCCATTCCGAAGCCCCTTGAAGCCCCCAGAAAGGAACAAAAGTGTTCCAGTCCGTTTATTAAGATTCTCGTTAGTTTGGACTCGGCCCAGCGGATTCGTACTGGCAAAATGGTCTTCCAACAAAATGACGTGCTAACAGGGGAAGGGTCCAAGGAACACTGCACGTACCAGCAACTGCGGACTTTCCTAAGTGTTCTAGGAAACAATTGCAGAGTTTCAACTGCGAAAGGACCGAGTTAGATGGTACTTGAACAAGGGAAACCTCAAACTGCAGCACAACCACTGAGATAGATAGGGCTTCAGATGAATAAACAGCAACGGCAAACTGCGCTTGAGCCGGAACAAATCATGAGACACTCTCTTCCTTTTGGGGTCTCAAGCACCCGAAGCGCCACTAACGCCCCTCCCAGTTGGATTCCAAGAACTGACCCGTGGCAAGTGGCCTCCACGTGTTGCAGCCAAAGGTGCCGCCACCTGGCCTGGCGACGGTTTCGACTTTGAAGCCAACTTGCTCCTGGGTGGCTGTGCGTCAAAATTAAACCACCAGGATATGGACCGCCTGTTTTAGTCATGGGCTCCATTTACCAGGGTCCATTTTGGGGTTGCCCTATTTTTGACCCACAGCCAGGGGGCAGTTGAGTCACAATCCAAACCTGGTACAAAAATGGTTGACCCAGAACCATGCTTCAAGAACTAAGAAGGCGTCCCTTACTAACCTTCACTTACCTGGGTTTTGATTGTGGCTCACTTGGAATCACATGTTCATGCTCTTTTTGTTCAGTGCATGCGTCCGCAGAGATGTCAAGAGTCATCTGACGCAGTGACTCTATACTCTTGATGACACTCAGACTTCATGTTCCAAATGTGCAGGCGGCCACTCCGATTGGTCGAACCAGTAGACAATCATGTACAAACCAATCGTTGGGCTAGACTTGCGCCTGGCCAGGATGTTTACGAGGAGAAAAAAGATCGCCAGCCTCTGCAGAATTCAAAAACAACATGCGCAGATCCTCCCGCACGACTGCCTCCCCCTTGCAGTTATGTATCATCGCCACGACAAGGAAGGGCAGCGCGATGGTCAGCAACATGCTGCCCCAGTTGAAGAGGGCGCACTACGGGCTTCACACAAAGATGGCCACTAGGTGTTGCAAACTCATCACCCTGGATGGAAGACTCGCGAGACTGCCCGCTGAGAGCTCCGTTGGCAAGTAGCCCAGCATCCCCGGCGCCTTGAACAATGCCGTAGCGATCAAAAAGGCCATGAAGAGGCTGCAGAGTGCAGCGGTAGGTCGCAAAGTAGACGATGCCTTTGACATCAAAGGCCAAAGGGCTCGGAATCAACTTCACTCGGCTTAGCCATCTCCAGTTCGTCGCGCTGCTCCGTTTCTTTCGTCTCTCGTGGTCTGGAACCAAATTTGTTCATGTATACATATATATATATATATTTATATGTAGTTACATGTGTGTTCACGTGAAGATTAATGTGTATATTGTATTTTGTATATAACTTGTATATGGGCTGCTGAACCTGAGCCCTCAAGCAACTGGGGGAAACGCAGCCCATCACGTCCAGGCCATAGGAACCTGTTGAGGAGCCCAATTTCTTGCTGGTGCTGAGTAGGGAATCAGGGCATGTACCCAGGGCTCCCCTTGAAGGAAACCACCAGCTGGATGGTTTATAAGGGTCATTCCCACATTTTTTGCTGAGCACCAGCAATCGGACACAGCCACCACGAGCGGCGTGCGCTGCCTTCGCTTTGGAAACATCCTGGGCCAGGATGGCCTCTCGCACGCTGCGCAGCCTCGGGCAAGGTGCGGATCGAAGAAGCCCTTCCAGCTCGTGGTCTCTGCATTTGTTCCAGATCAAGGACAAATAGGCCATCATGAGCAACAGTGAGGGTGGACACAAGTGCAGGCCGCTTGCAACTCCGAACAAGGAACCCTCAGACGTTTTTAGCTGCACTGCAAGCGTACAGCTTGCCAGTTGGCCCCGCCGACATTCCGAATGCTCATGTGTTTTGGACGACCAGTGACCAGTGTCTCTTTGCTTCTTGGAGTGCACCCCAACCCAAACTCGCAAGGAACACAACAATACCTTCCTCCAACATGAAACCTGACTGAGGGCTCCTTGGAAGACAATGTTGCTTTAAAGGGGACCCTCTGGTGGGTTGCATGAAAGTGGCCAGGAGGGTACGTGTTCCACTCGGCACGTCTTTGCCCGAGCGCCGGGCTCCGGCGGAAAGCTCTTCTCCGGGTGGGTTAAACCTCAAGCTGCTGGCCGACGCTTCGCGGCTCGTTCCAAACATGAAACCGGAGGGGCCCCCTCAAGCAGTTCTATAAGTTTCCCCCCCAAAAACAAACAGTCTCCAGAAGAGTTGGTCTTCGCAAATCACATCCCCACCAACACCCGCTCTCACTAACAAACTGATATCCCCGACACCTTTGGCCTCCCCACGAAACGAGGACGTTCGCATCGCGCGTGGGCTCTCTCCGAATCTCCGGGTCTCCCGGCGTTCCAGTGCTCGGGTGAAGGTGACCGCGGTCTGCACCGGCGCCTCTCGGAAGTCGGTCAGGATTGGCCATGGGTCCAAAGCCAAATCGATCCCCAGTGAACATCCGATTCAATCCCCAAAATAGGTTCTAAAATGGGTGGTGCACCTAGCCCAAAATGGTACCATTGATTTTGACCCGCAGCCCATTGAAGATGCAGGGCGTCTGAAATCAGCCAAGCCAAGCCTTGCAGAAATAGGCTGGCTTGTATTGAATGTATTGTGGGCTAATGCACGCTGACAGCCACAAAAAGATGCAGCAGCCAACACATCAGCACTCGATTCCTTGATATCATTGACAACAACTCACGCTTAATCGAAGCAAACAAATTTCACTCATCAAACTGCCATGCTCTGGAAGCAAAGCCGTGGACCAAGCCTGGCTTCTTTCTAGTGCCGCCCACAAGGGCTGGAAGGCCGAGCCGCGCTGCGCAACGACATCCTCAAAGTCAGCGATAAAGACTCAAGGCCAAGCCATGGCAGAATCGCAGGTTTCATGGCAGAATGGCATGCACAGGTTCATGTTTTGGTCGCCGCCCTTGAAGTGGAATCCGACAGATTCATCTTGTTTGGCCTCAGAAAAAACCCACGCTCCTAAAGACCCTGTTGGCCCTTTGCGTGTGTGTCATTTCCATATAAATAAAAAATAATAATAAATAAATCAATATATATATATATATCATTGCCACGCATGACACCGTGGAATACCACTCAATCGCTTCTTAGAGCCGCGGCCAAAGGCTGGTGTGCACAGAATGAAGCCAGACTACTTTAAGGCACTGGATACAGCATCACAAGGTGGATCACAACAAACAAACAGAAACGCAAGTTGAAGTTTTGCGGGGCTTTCGGACCGCCATCTCTGAAAGCCCGCCCAAACCTTTTCGGCTCTCCTGATGGGAGGAAAGCTGCAGCGGCCAAATGAGAGCCTGGCGGCAAGTCACCAGAGCTAAGCATTCTGAGGTCAAGTGGTGCATTAGTTCCATCTCAACGTGTCAGTGATGGCTATCTTCAATGCAAAGACTATCGCAGATGGGAGGCTGAACTGCAACCCCACCGAAAACCAATCAACACAAATCAGGACGTCTTGGTGTGACAGCTCAATGAGCTGAGCACTGGGCACCAGAATCCCCAAGGCACTAAAGGCACGCAAAGGCTCTCGGGCCTGTGGGTATTCGCTGGCAAGTGCCTGACGGTCATGTCAGCTGAGTCAATTGAATGCAACTGAGTCATAATCAAAGCCGGCATTAAAATGGTCGACCTTGTTGGAATTGTCCCTTACTAACCTTCACTTACCCAGGTTTTGATTGTGACTCAACTGACAAAATCCAACAGGCCATTGAAGACACTTAGTATTTGCCAAGATTGGTATGCAACCTAAAGCAGCTCGGCCCTCCACAACAGCCTCAGGTGTTGTTGCTCTCACATCGCCACGCACCCTCAATGCGGTTGCCGCTCGCAAAGCACGTCAAACCTATGCTGCCATGCTAGCAGGCCTGCAACGGTCCTTGCAAGGCCGGCACATTGGGCAAATGCGCCAAAGCCTTCCAGTGGCGACAGCGCAAGCCGGAATCGCACGGCTCAGGGTAGAATGCACACTGGAAAGATGATACTACAGACAACGTCTCCAATTGCGATTTGCAACTCTGAGAGCTTAGATATTCTTAAATGGATATCCCAGTCCAGCACTCTTGATTGCACTCATGCCTGTGGTAGCCACCGAAGGAAGGGCCACGCTGGAACAGACCTCGGGGCGCGCAACAGCCAACTAATGTGGCAATAGTTTCCTGCAAGAAAATCCACAAGCCGGCCTTCTCGCAAGCCGGCAACCCCCACCCAAAGCTGCCTCGCGCTCGGCACATCCTCTTGGCTACCCTGCACCACACCGGCTTGAAAGACGTGACTGCATCCTGGCCGTGCAGAAAAGCCAAGAGGTGCCTGTGCTAGGATTTCAGAAGTCAGCTTTTGAACCTGGCAGAGTCCAAGCTCAGAGTTGATGCAGCGACCATACGGAGATTCTTGCATGTGTTTGGGGCCCACACTGGTGCCACAAGCAACAATGAGGGACAAGGATAAGAGCAGCGGCATCACTCATCGCCACAACTACTGCAATCAAAGCAACAAACAAAGCCACAACCAGCACAATGCAAAGCTCTCTCCAGTGACAGCTGTTTGGACAACTCTTGGGGTTTTGGACATAGGGGGGAAAGCAGTCATTGAAATGTGCTGGTATCTCCCCATGTATGTGTATATATATACATTATACATATATATAGAGAGAGAGAGACACGTATGTGTATATAATATATATATATATATATATATTGATAAGGGTTTTGCCCAGTCATGTTTTCGTCCCCGATCCACCAGTCGGCCTTTGAAGAGCGCCAGCAACTCAAAGACCCTTGGCAGGCGCTCGTGGGCTTGACGGAAGGCCTGCGGCTCGGCGGATTTGGCCGGTCGCGCGCTGATTTGACCCTGGTCTGCAAGGCCCGGGATTTTTTTCGAGGTCTTTTACAAGGCGCAAGAAAAATTGGCAGCGGGGGGAAAGATGGAAGAAAAGGGGTGGGAAAGCAGGTGGCTGTAGTTCAAGAAGTACTTTGGGGTTCAACAGATCTCTTTAACGCAGCAGAAATGCACAAAGCAAGAATAGGATGATCGTTGCGCGAAGCTTGCATCAGGCATAAGGCGTTGGGACAGTGCACCGAAAAAGGAAAAATATCTTGACATAGGTGGCCTTTTGGACAAATAGATGGTCCTGGGTACTGGAACAAAAACAATCTGAACCAGCGCTGCCATCTATCAACCAAGCTAACCTAAGGACACCTACTAGGTCCTCCAGTAGAGAGGTTAGAATAAGGGTACCCTTTTTTATGTAGTCTATTTTGGTAGGGGAGCCCCGCCCCAAAGAAACAGGTAAAAGGGCACTACTGGGGGACCCATATAGCCTATGGATCTTGAAAAACTTTGTTTCGCTCGCTCTGCCTCAGTGCTTCCGGCTCCCTCGCCCAGGCAAATGGCCTCAAAGCACCGGCTTTGAACGCGGATCGATCCCCTGCCCTCGGCCGCCGAACAAAGCCCTCAGTCTCTCAGATGCGCCGTGAGTGATAAACTGAGAAATTGATTTGCACACCTCTGGCTGCAAAGTGTCCGGCTGGGTCTCCACAACGAATGTTCTTTTTGCGTAGAATGGTCAATCCAATCGAATGGCCTGCTTGGTCCCCCAAATCACTTATCTCCTCCTGTCTTCCAGATTGGGACGACTGTGACGTTGCAAAATCTCAAGAAATGTCCGGAATCGATTTTTGTTTGCGTAAAACACAACAAAACAAAGCACACCCGGCGCCATTGCTCATGGAAAACGCCAGAGGGTAACGGACTGCGGAGTAATAGGGGGCCCTTTCATGGAAGGTGCCCGGAATCTGGGAGAAGTAATGGGGGTGAGCACGAATGAAGGCGGAAAGCTGAAATCTGTGCAGGAAAGGAACATGTTGCACTTAGCATTACTCTCCTACGGTTCCCCGGAATTGAGATTCAAAAAAATATGTCTTGGAGGAACAATCATATCTCAAAACCCGGCAGGAGGTCCCACGTCCCTGACGGACCAAAATGACCAAAACCGCCTGCCCCTCGGGCTGGCACAGTCAGCACTCCAGTGATCAATGACTCCACCAACTCCACCTAGTGCACCAGCTTGAGAAACCGAGTGGCTACGTTGGCTTCCAAGCCCGGAAAGGTACACTTGATGCAACTTCTAGAAGCTACTTCCACACGCAACTTCCGCAGCATGCTTGCTGGGCGATAATAAAAATCAAAATTCAAGAAAGCCCCCCCCCCCCCGGCATGCCGTGGTTAGCCCGTTTTCATGCTGGCCAGTTGCATGAAAAACTTGCAAAAAGATGTCGTCTTCTCCGCTCCCCATCGCATGCGCAAGTGAGCTCTAGACCAAATGCCAAACGCCAACTTCTTCATGACCTAAGTTCATGACAGGACCATCTGAAACTCCAAAGCACTTATCTAGCGTGATTGGTATCTAGCTGCTGAGGCTGTTTGGCTGCATGCCAAGAAATTCGAACATGTTCAAACTCCGTCAAAGGTAGTTTCATGTTTGTTTCCCTGCAAACCGGCACGAACCGACTTGAAGGCAAGCCGCGCATTTGAACCTGATTGGACGCTGGTTTGAGTGTTGCTACTGCACAAACCAAGGGCTGATGTGAAACGGAGTACGTGTGAATGTCCCCATGGTTTACAACATTTCCCAATGTTTTCCACATATTTGCCGTATGGCGCTTCTTGAGGAACTCTTCAAAAGCCACGCAGTACTGCCTTGGGCAAGGAAAAGTCAACATGCCTGCGTAGGCACGAGCCTTTGCTGGGGGATGATTCAATAGTACACCCGTCCCTTGGCAACACACACAAATCCAGTTAGCAACAGAGGTTGATGGCGAAGAAATTCACGTTGCCAAGCCCAGACTTTGAGATCCAGAGCGAAATCGCCGAAAGCGCTACCATGCCAGAAGGTTGACCTTGCCTGCTCCACGTTGGTGGCTGACAGGCCGGAAGCCTTGCGCGAAAAAAGCTATGGTCAGCGTTGAGCTTTGAGCATCCAATGGCTTTGACAAATGGTATGTGTATGAATATGTATGAATCGATTTAAGTGCACACGTATTCCTCTACATACATCCGTATATGCCCCCATGTCACGAAAAAAATGGCCGCGCTTCTGTGAACACATCCGTTACATATATCATATAGCTAATTATCAACAAATTATGATAATAGCAAAAGCTATATCATCCCCACAAAGCAACAAATTGTGCCAGCCGAAGGCGCAACAACAATATCCGTGCTGATAAAGTGTTGTGTTCTGGTCCGTTTGAGGGAGAAAAAGCTATTGGACCCAGGCCGGAGTCGGAGCTGTTGTTGAATTGAGTGGTGTAGAACTCGCGGTAGAATGTGCTTGTTCCTTTGCCACTATGCATGGCAAACTTCAAAGTGCCAATTCTATGCGGTGCATGTCTGCGTTCTCATGTTGGCACCATGCATGCATCAAGCCTGAGTTCACTTAGCACACACCCACACCACAGAGAACACCCCACGTAACAATCACCACCAACAAAGGATGCTCCGCGTAAGCCACGCTTTGAGGGTGGCTGAATGCTGCGCATCCACCACAGAGGTCACTCTAGTAGCGCGAGGAACACTCTACAAGGCACACATGGCAAAGGACATTCAAAAAGGGACACTCCAGCAAATGGAAAGCTCCAAGGGACACCTTGAACTAAAGGTATTTCACAGGAGCAAAAGGAACTCCCATACAGGAACGCCAAACGGGGCAGACGGCGCGTGAAGCAAAAGAATCATGCGTAGGACCTACGAGCAAGATCATTCAGTTTCTCAGTCTCGCTGATGATGCCCCCCAATCCCACTTTGCTCGGACTCCTGCACTCCTCGCATCTGCCTTTCTTTGCTAGAACTCGCTAAGTCGCCTTTTGGGCGCCTCCCTTCCCCTTGGGGGCAGGGCCCGGCCGGTTGAAGCTAGAAGCAGCCCAATCCTCCACGAGCTACGAGCGCGCCAAGCTCTGACTGACTGACAAGGGTGGCCCGGAAGCGCGCTTCGGCTGCCAACGAGGCTGGGCACACTGCCGTGCAGGGGCAGGAGGCATGAGATTTGTGTAGAAGCACACCATAAAGCAGCGTTCTGGGACCTGCTCTGCGACGAAACAAGCTCAAAGAAACGCGCAGCTCGGTCAGTGAGGTCTCAGGGGTCTCCCCCAACAGGATTGGCCCAGCCGGGAGCGTGTCTCGCAGCGTTTAGCCATTGCTATACAGGATCGCCAGGCGCCTGACCTGGGTTGCCAGGCAAGTTTAGTCTGATGGCATCATGAACTTTGCGCGAGTCACATTGCCGTGGCATCGCCTCGAGCCCTCAGAGCCTTGCTTCCTGGAAGCCTCCTTAGATGCTTTCCTTCACATCCCGAAATACACATTTGTCAGCCGCCAGCCGCCCTATGTGGACCCTGGTGGAGACTCGAAATCCTGTGGGCATGGGCGCCGCACGTCCACGCGGATCCCTTATCAGGTTGACGTCTTCAGCGCCCCGTGGGCCACGCGAGTCACTAGAAACACGCGCCTTGACGTAGCATTTCCGGTGGCTGGTCAGCACTGCATTCCAGCGTTCGCCCAAGCAACGCCATGCATCTGCCCTCTGGCAGTCCTGAATCTATATTTCTCTGTGGCGTAGATGTTGCCCATGTCCACAAGTAGCCGAACAGAGCTTCGGAAGTGTATGGCCATGCGGTGCCGCAGGGTCTGTCGGACGCTGAGGATACGGCTGTTGAGCGAACTTCACTCTACCTCGAAATCCAAACCTGTGTGGGGGAAAAAGCATGTCAAGACCGGCAATAGCACATGTCAATACCCTTTGAACCCCTGCAAACACAACAAGAACTCGCTTAACATAAGCCTTAAACGTACAAAATGGTTCCCGATCTTCAATGGGGGGGGCTCCCAAGCCCTTTCAACATCTTACTGCGCTTCAGGCCTCCTCTCGCCGCAGCACTGCGTCTGCAAACTCCGCCAGCTTGGCGTGGGTTTTGCTCTGCTCCGCGGTCTGGCCGCATGTTCCGTACCGAGAGGATGCGACGAAACTTGTAAGGGGCGGTTGAACCACCGGCATTGGATCTAACAAAGTTACTGAGATGACCTGGCCACTGAGGAAAACACTTCATGCCATAAAGACTCCTTGTCCCATCGCAATCCTCAACCGTTAGCCCAAAGTCAAACACAGCCGCACCCACGTCAAGTCGTTGGTATCACAGCTGAATGCACTTACTCGTGCTTGCCCCTCGGCCAAAATCATACAAAATGACTGCCCGTGGCTGAAACATGGTTCGGCCCGTTATTGCCGTTGTCTTTTTACCTGCATGGGCAAAGCATTTGAGCCACAGAAACATGTCCAGCTGTCTAAGGCTCGAGCGCTACAGCTCTCGGCGAAACCTGGCAGTCTCCAGCGTGCCACGCGGGAACCGATTCCTGCTGTGAATGACATCCCAAGGAGCCGGGGTTACTTCATTGAGAGCTGATTGAGTTTGTTCTAGCAGTTTCCAAACCAAACGCAATCCAGCGAGCAAATTGCGAGTCTCATGCTCAACCCAATTTGCTGCCACGGGTATCAGAGAGTTTTGCCGTGGCATAATGCCAGTGGCTGCAAAAACCAATCCGGCCCGAAGCTGAGGAAACCAAGGCAAGGCAACTGCACCCAGAATTCACACTCTATCTGAACACAAAGAGCCTTGCGGGTGGCGATTCATCGCACGCGACTGGGGTCAAACCCCATGTTTAAGTGGCGCGCGTGTCTACTAGAGCTTCATCCAGGAAACAAGAGATTGCTGAAATCGGGGTCATTCCCTTTCTCGTTCCCTTCCATTTGGTTAAGATCCCTGGAAAAAATAAAATATTTCCAGTAGTGAAATCGATTCCCTTGAACACCAACAGGGAAAAAAAACATATTCGCTTCAGCAAATGGAAGTTCCCTTTCTCATTCCCTGACCCCTCAAATTCCGCACCTTCGGCCCCGCCTCGCGCCGACTTGAGCGCCTGCCAGGCCTCCTGGTGGTTCATCTCGCTGCGCTCCCAGCCGGCCTCGCGGCTCGCGAAAAACGGGGGCGTGGGGCCTTTGCCCTTCTGAATAAAGGCCAACCTTTAAAAGAAATGTGGCCCAAAAGCAAAACACCCACACACACACAGCATTCATGCGGATTTGTTGACACCCGCAAGTTGCTCGCATGCATGGCGCACGGAGAGACTAGCAGCGGTTGCAAATCAAGACTTTAGCATGGAAGCAGGCTGCAGTTCTGCGTTTGTGGATTGTCGTGCGTCTACGTTCCGTGAACAGGTCAGGACATGTTCATTGAGGTCAATATCTTACTTTTCTAGCAGGTGTCATACGCGAAGTGCAAGCGCGGCCTGGTGCAACTTTCTATAAACTGGCCATCCAAAGACTCCAAAGCTTACTCCATGAGAGCTGGAGAAAAAAAACACCGTATTAAAACTCTTATCCGAGGATGTTTTCATTGCAAATCCAAGCGGCGGTCTTCATAAGAGTGAGGTCCCCCAAAAACATGCCCCTTAAGTGTATGAGGTCTCAGGTGTGTACACCGCTGCAAATTGTTGCTGGCTGCTGCTGCTGGCTGCTGCTGCTGCTGGCTGCTGCTGCTGCTGCTGGCTGCTGGCTGCTGCTGGCTGCTGCTGGCTGCTGCGGCTGCTGCTGGCTGCTGCTGCTGCGGCTGCTGCTGCTGGCTGCTGCTGCTGCTGCTGGCTGCTGCTGCAACTCATTGCTGGGATCTGCAGAAACAAAGAAAATGCAAACTACAGAAATGGGCCACTCCTGATCCAAGGCATAAACGACTTGCGCGCGACTTGCGCGCGACTTGCGCGCGACTTGCGCGAAAATTTAGCAATCTTCCGGATTATTTCGACCATGCGGATGATGATGATGATGATGATGATGATGATGATGATGATGATGATGATGATGATGATGATGATGATGATGATGAATCATCACTGCGTCACTTGCGCTTCACTTGCGCTTTACTTGCGCGGCCCCATGTTTGACTTGTGCGGCCGCTCCTGCAACACACTCCTGCCATTCAAATTACAAGCGGCGGTGCAGCTAATTTGATAGGTCCAAAAGACCTGGGATCATGCCTGACATTGACACATACAACGTTGTTTTTTTTTTTTGTTCGACTCACCTTAAGTTGGAACTGAAAGAAGAGGATGGGTGTTAGCAGCTATTTGTCCTTTGAACAAATCTCGCCTTGCAGAAAGCTCGCCGCAGCTGGATAAATCAGTTTTGCTCGTGAATCCCATGACTCAAGGCACATGTCTTTTTTTCAGGAACATTATGTAAGTATCGTACACTTGCCGGAACCTGATCCCCCAATGAAGTCCCTCAGATCCAAGTTCTTTGCACGTTCCGCCTTGGCAATCTTGGCCAGAATCAGCGTGTAACGAAGGCAGGTCTCTGGGTCCTGGGAAAAAGAACCACCATTTTTTGGCACGGGTGCTACATTCCTTCGCACTCTCGTGGACAGTTCCGACAGCTGCCCCACAAATCACACTGTGACATTGACCATAACCCGCAAACGGACAACACATCCATGCAGGACGTGGAAAGAACATCACGCTCTTTCAGAGATGCTGGTAAGATACTGAGCACAGGCACCATCATACTGCAGCAGTATGCTTGTATTCGAAGCCAATGGCGAAACCGGTCTGTCTGCAATGGCCGAGACGTATTCAAATCAGTGCAAATAAACGAATAAATACACCAAACTATCAATGAATACATGAACAATACATTGAAACACCTTTGAAAAGCAAAAGCTAACTAAACCATATTTTGTATATACTATTTGTTCGCCGAAGATGCAAAACAAATGCACAAGAGATGCCCTCCAGGATACCTCTATGCCTCTCTGCCAAGCTGCTCAGCCGACTGAATAAGAGCTAAGCCATCGTCCCACTATCTACGTGGGTGGAAACTCAGTCCCATCTTCATAGTCAGTATCTTCCCAAAAGGTCGAGACACTGGCAATGCGGGTCTTTCAAAATGCGAAAAGCCGTGTCCCGTCCTGGTGCTTCCCGAGCTCTTTGCGCGCCACGGAGCACAGCTCAAGGCATTGCTTCTCCTTTTGACAGAGCTTCAGCTCCAGCACATTGTCGAAGAAGCGGTAGTCCTGCAGAGACACTCGATGAGACTGGCGAGTTCAGGCTTGCATTGGGCCACCAAGCAAAGCCAGCAAGCATTCAAGTACATCGGATTAAATCCAAGAACGGAAAGCCAAAACAAAGCTAGTTACCCACACCTCGACCATTGCTCACCACAACCGCCACAACAACCACTGCAAGAGCAACAAAACGGCAACAGCCACACCAACGGCAACGACCACAACCACGACCGCTGCAACCACAAGAGCAAGGACAAGAACAGGAACAACGACAACGAAACACAAAAAATAAAACGACAACAACGACGACGACAACGATGATCGCAGCAACAACAACAACAACAACAACAACAACAACAACAACAGCAACAGCAACAGCAACAGCAACAGCAACAGCAACAGCAACAGCAACAGCAACACCAACAGCAACAGCAACAGCAACAGCAACAGCAGCAACAACCGCAACACCAACACCAACACCACACCAACACTAAGATCGACACCAACACCAACACCGACAAGAACAAGAACAAGAACAAGATCAAGAACAAGAACAAGAACAAGAACAAGAACAAGAACAAGAACAAGAACAAGAACAAGAACAACAACAACAACAACAACAACAACAACACCAACACCAACACCAAGACCAAGACCAAGACCTAGACCAACACAAACACAAACACAAACCCGCCACCACCACCACCACCACCACCACCACCAACAACGACAACGACAACGACAACGACAACGACGACGACGACGACGACGACGACGACGACGACGACGACGACGACGACAACAACAACAACAACAACAACAACAACAACAACAACAACAACAACACACCAACACTAAGACCGACACCAACACCAACACCGACAAGAACAAGAACAAGAACAAGAACAAGAACAAGAACAAGAACAAGAACAACAACAACAACAACAACAACAACAACAAGAACAACAAGAGCAGCCAGAGCAGCCAGAGCAACAAGAGAAATCAAAGCAACAAGAGCAACAAGAGCAACAAGAACAACAAGAACAACAAGAACAACAAGAACAACAAGAACAACAAGAACAACACGAACAACAAGAACAACACGAACAATAAAAACCACAAGAACAACAAGAACCACAGGAACCACAAGAACAACCAGAACCACAAGAACAAGAAGACCAAGAGGAACAAGCAGAACAAGAAGACCAAGAAGAACAAGAAGAACAAGCAGAACAAGAAAACCAAGAAGAACAAGCAGAACAAGAAGACCAAGAAGGACAAGGACAAGGACAAGGACAAGGGCAAGGACAAGGACAAGGACAAGAACAGGCACAAGAACAAAAACAAGAACAACAACAAGAACAAGAACAAGAACAACAACACCAACAACAACAACAAGAACAAGAACAAGAATAACAATAACAGCAAGAACAACAAGAACAACGACAAGAACGACGACAACAACAACAACAACAAGAAGAACAATAACAAAAACAAGAACGACCAGCACGCCAACAACGACAAGAACAACAAGAACACAAAGAACAGTAAGAACAACAAGAACAAGAAGAACAAGAAGAACAAGAAGAACAGCAAAACAAGAAGAACAAGAAGAACAAGAAGAACAAGAACAACAATAACAACAGGAACAACAATAACAGCAAGAGCAGCAAGAGCAGCAAGAGCAACAAGAGCAACAAGAGCGAAAAGAACAACAAGAACAACAAGAACAACAAGAACAACAAAAACAACAAGAACAACAAGAACAACAAGAACAGCAACAGCTGCAACAGCAGCAAGAGCAACAAGAGCAACAAGAGAAACAAGAGCAACAAGAGCAAAAAGAACAACACCAACAACAACAACAACAACAACAACAACAACAACAACAACAACAACAACGACAACGACAACGACAACGGCAACGGCAACGGCAACGACAACGATAACGACAACAACAACAACAACAACAACAACAACAACAACAACAACGACAACGACAACGACAACGACAACGACAACGACAACGACAACGACAACGACGACGACGACAACGACAACGACAACGACAACAACAACAACAACAACAACAACAACAACAACAACAACAACAACAACAACAACAACAACAACAGCAACAGCAACAGCAACAACGGCAACGGCAACGACAACGACAACGACAACGACAACGACAACAACAACAACAACAACAACAACAACAACAACAACAACAACGACAACGACAACGACAACGACAACGACAACGACAACGACAACGACAACGCCGACGACGACGACGACAACGACAACGACAACGACGACCACAACGACAAAGACAACGACAACGACAATGACAACGACAACGCCAACGACAACGACGACGACAACGACAACAACAACAACAACAACAACAACAACAACAACAACAACAACAACAACAACAACAACAACAACAACAACACCGACAACCCAGAGGATCCAGGATCAAAAAAAAATCAATCCATGAAAATGAAGATTGATATTCGCATATTTTAGGTGTTTTTAAGTGTTTTTTTAAGCTATTTTTTTTGAAGGAAAAGATTGATATTTTCTCCAAAAAAGATTGATATTTTTTGAAGTGTTTTCAACCAAAATATCAATCTTTTTTTCGATTGTAAGGTTTCTTAGAATGAATGCAGGTTTATGAAATGGTTGCAGCTCGCAGAAGGGGACAGATCAAAGGGCATGCTGCTTGCCTCAGAAATGGGCAGCGACCAAGAGGCAGACTGCATCAGATCATATTGCAGATGTTTGAAAACTGCAGTTGCCGCGTTTGGCCTAGATCTTGCAGTCAACACATAGGCGCAATGGGAAAGAGGGAGCAGGTGACACCACTGGACCAGTCAGTGCTGGACATGGCCCTGCACAGCAATAAAAGCTGGCAGGACTTGGGTGCCTATGAGACCATCAGCAAAGCACAGGCTGCAGATGGAGAAAGTTTAGCCATGCACTTTGACTTGCTGAAGAGCTTGCTGCTGGTTCAGCCTGAAGGCCAGCTTCTGCTGACCCAGGTGAGAGCTTCAATCCTGAAGGCGGTGAGCTTGGAACCTGAGTTGAACAAAACCAGCTTGAAGAATCTACTCTGGGCTGGAAGCAGGTTTGACAGGATCTCTACCATGCTCTACCACTTGAGGAGGGCAAAGAACAACACAGAGAAGTGCCAGCAGCTGGTTGCCAAGTCATCATCTGGTTCACTTGTCCCTCATTGCCATGCTGACCAGTGAGGCAGGGCCAGCTGAGGGTGAGGTAGGGCTTGCTGAGGATGAGCCATGCCCTGCTCAGGGTTTGCAAGAAGATCTCCAAAGTGAAGCACCACACACCCCAGTGCCTGCAAGCAAGCAGCAAGGCCAAGGCGCAGAGGAAAAAGAGCCATGCTCCTCGAGCTCCTCAAGCCGCAAAAGCCCAAAGCTAAAGACAAAGAAGCAGCCAGAGCATGGCAAGAAGAGCCCTTTCCACTACAGAAAGGAGTACTACAAGAATGGCAACAAGTTTGGTGTTAAGAAGTTTAACAATGGGAAGTGCGTGGGCCAGATTTTTGCTTTTGGGCACAAGGAAATCCACAAGGTGGAATTGGATGCCTTGGCATCCAAAGTCCTACACGATCTTCATTTGAGGCCAGGGGACACGGCCAAAGAAGAGGAGATCATGCTCCTGGCCAAGCACAAAGTTTGGAAGATGCTGAAGAATAAGCATGATTAGTTTGGCATGCTGTCTATAGCTTGGGGTTGTCTCACACGTAAAGACATCAGAGGGATCCATGCAACACATTCATCCTTGCTAGAGGGCTAGCCTCTGCAGAAGAGGTGCGCCAAGTAAACCTTGTTTTTTGTGGAAGTTTGTTATCCATGCAACACATTCATAGAGGGCTAGCCTCTGCAGAAGAGGTGCACCAAGTAAACCTTGTTTTTTGTGGAAGTTTGTTATGCCAGAAAGCCCCTGCAGAAGGGGAGCTGAAAAACAATTCCCCTGCAGAAGGGGCGGAGAAGAGAACAAACAGCAAATCCTCTGCTGAAAAAGCAATTCCCCTGCAGAAGGGGATGGGGAAAGCAAAGCACAGCCTCTGCAGAAGAGGGTGCGCGCGCAAGCCTCTGCAGAAGAGGCTGCAGGAATATCTTGCATGAGCTGATTTGCAAGCGTTTGAGCACACACACATTAATTGTTGGTGCTGCAGTTCCATGGCTCAAGCTGAGATTAGCTTGCAAGTAAAACACTTGCTGGTGAGAAGCATGAATAACATGCAGCCTGGGATCATGACTGTGGAGCAGCTGCAAGCCATGCTGCACGCCCAGCTGCAGCAAGGGCTGGGCCAGGGGCCTGTCCGAATGCAGCCCTTGAGCATGCATCTGCTGCAGACGCAGCAGCAGCAGCCGCAGCAACAGCAGCAGCTGCCGCAGCAGCTGCCACAGCAGCAGCAGCAGCAGCAGCAGCTTGACGAACAAGAGATGTGCAGCAAGTTGCTGCAGGCTTTGAGCTCTGGGCCAGGATTCTGGACGTCAGATGATGCAGCTGGAGATCTTGACCTTGAGCAAGGCAACAGCAGGGACAGGAGGCTGGCCAAAAGGAAGGTTGTGCAAAAAGCCATTGTGAACCTGCTGGCCAACCAGCTGGACCAAGGAGGGCAAGGAGGCTGGGCAAAAGTGCAGGAGCTGCTGCAAAGCTTGCAGCCTGGTGAAGCCTCGGACCCCAACCCAGCTTCCTCAGCTGATGGTGGGAAAGTTGCAGCCAGCTGGAAAGGCTGGTGCAGAAGGTGTGGGGTCCAAGCTTACAGGAACAGAGGCTGGTGCGACAACTGCGGGTATGGCCAAAAGAGGAAATGGCATGGAAGCTGGGAAGAAGAAAGCAAAAGCAAGCGGCAGGAGCAGGGCGAGCAGGAGGCAAATAAGCAAGAAGTGGCAAACTTTGAGAAGAAGGAGGTGGCCAACTTTGAGAAGAAGGAGGTGGCCAACTTTGAGAAGAAGGAGTCACAGCAG